TGAGATGAGAAACAAGAGTATCTTTGTAGATAGTAATCGTGTTTCGCGTGACAAGGCTGAACAGGTAAAAGAGGATTTGACGAAGCCCATCAGTTCAAGAGGGGTGCTTTCAACTCCGAACTCCTTTTGAAAAACGCTTTTGAAGGCTTTTCTCCTCACACTATTGAATATATCTTCGTATGCACAAGCGACTAAAATGTCCACAGGCTGAGAAAAATTCCCAAGATAAAATCGAGAATATTAGGGAATATTAGGACTAAATGTAATCTTCCAATTTGGTTCTTCTTTGCAAATTGTGATCAAATCTAGAGTGTGTTTAATTTTTGGAGTTCCAGTTTGTGAATTTTCTCCAGCATTCTCAAATTCTCCTTGTATTCTGCCAGCCCGTCTTTTCTCTTTGATGGACGTCGTTTCACTGATTCATGACTCATCCCGACACACTCTCGCCCATCGCCGAGCGGGATTACACGAGACGGGGAATCCTTTTCGCCGATAAAATGTGGTTTTCGTTCAGTATCTAGCTCAAACGTTAAGGCCTGGCAAAGCATGGACAGATACACAACATATATTAACCTACCTTTGAGCATTTAATTTGAGGATAAGTGGCTCAAAGATCTATTGGCTGCAGTTCAGCGTTGGCACAACGGACAGGATAGAGCGGAAAGAACAGAAGTAATGGAAGTGTCTGAATATGGTGGGACTGCAGTTCGTTTATGAGCATCGTAGGCCACTACACCCTCCATTTGGCTGAATTTCGGTATTTCTGTACGGCCAAAGATTATTTTTCCAAAAACAGTGACACTATTCAACCAATCAAGAGTCGCATCTACAAATTTGTCATGATTAGAAAGCGAAAATTCAGATACAAGTCATTAAAGAACTATTCGAAATGGGGTTTGCGGTTAAGCTCCCCTGCTCGAGCTACATGTACCCATCTACAGTGTCATTTCACAAGGGAGCCTTAAGGACTGTTTACAGAGGTAAGTGAATTATTTTATCGAATACGTGATTGACGGAGTCCAGTGTCAGGAGACGTGCATCTCAAATTCAAAATACATGTCGCACTCTGCCGGCTTTTTTCCCTTATGTGCCGACCTATATACAATTTGCGGTCAAAGTTTCATCAAATCCTGCGTTTTTAGGCTTGATCTTCCATTTTAGATCGACGGCAGCCTCCACGCTTTGAGTTCAAACTCAGTTGTAATTTATTGTCATTTACCAGTACTGCGTGTAAAGTTTCGTGTCTTGCATCCAGGAAGCCGCTCAAATCTTCTGACTGGCTGCTTGGGTAGCTAATGGTAGTAAAGCTTTCCTATTGGCTAACTACTCATACTTCGTTAAGTAATGATCATTTGACGTAAGATTAACACAGATCACATGATCGGAGTACCGATGACCTCTAGCCGTGGAAATAATTTTCTCACATTCATTCATTTCCGCATACCTGCGTCCATCCCATTCTTCCACTCTTCACTTTATACAACTAACCCTTCAAATTGCTTGCAAATTTTTGTATTAATTACTCGACTCGAAATATACCCTAAGAATCTCCATACAGGAGGGGCTGGCATTGTCTGCTATAAGTCTTATTGAAGGTGTGCTTGCTTTTTTAACCTTTTTCGGAGCTGATCTAGGGGTTTTTGAGTTGGGAGAAGATGCAAGTTAAAGTGCCTATTACTTAAATCATCATTAAGATAATCACTGAAATGATGAGCTTGGTCCGACTTCCTTTTTTTCGGGGTCTGAATTCTGCTCCTTTGGGAGACTTGTCATGGTCCAGCAAAGCAAACCATTCTTTTATCCTAGCTTCGAGATATAGTAGGACAAATATAACTTTAACTTCCCTTATTAATATTTCGTGCTTGTTTCAAGTCGGACTAAGATGCAGAAATTCGAAAACATGCGATTTGTCAGACGCATCGTCGATCGCTACCGAGAACTCGAACAGGGACGTGAGGAGGCTCGACCAAAAGAGGTAAAGTTAAGTGCGTATTCAGAAGTTTCGCCTGTCTATGCAGGGTATGGAGGAAGCAATAGGTTTGAATCTTGCACTTCACACGGTAGTAGCTGGAAAGGCATTTTATTGGTGAAAACCTTCCGTTTGAGACAATTTTTGCTGTTGGAGGCAGCAACCTCAATTTCAAACTAATTAGAGTGAGTTAAATATCGTCGAGTCGAAAGAGTTTGCTTTACTGTACCTCGAGGAGATGGGAAATCTGCAGCCTTTTTTCTCGAACATCAAAATTCATGCTTCTTGTCTTTTTGACGTTTGCGTGCCGCAAACAACTCGGCAATCTAACATTCAACTCCATTTCCGTGCTCCAGAAAGCTAGTTTCAAAGAATTTTCCAAATAGACAGGGATATAATGCTTTGAAGCCTTGCAAGAGTCCTCTTGGGTTTCCTCCATCAAAATCTTATGCCTCGGTTGTGCATCATTCATCACAGGTATTGCGTTAAGGCTTTTTGGGCCCTGTGTAATATGGCATAAACGGCTTGTCAACCAAGGCTGACTCTGAAAGTTGCTTTCAAATCTGCAAAATCTCTCAACGACTTCTGAAATATGGATTCTGATTGAAGACCCATCAATGAAGTCTCGTGATCTTGCGCTTACAACCATAGGAAGACTACCGTTCAGTGGCGCCGACCGTCGTTCAATCGAGATCCCGATCCTGGTTCCATCAACCCATCTATTACTCAAAGTTATTGGTGTTTGTTCAAGCAGCGGCGCCAAAGCCGGGGCTCGTATAATGGTGACAGTCTCCCATGAAATGGCTGATTGCAGCGTTGTTCTTTTATTGGTGCACTCTGCGCGAAGAAGATACGAAATTTTGAGATCTTCATGATCGACTGTAGCAGGCAGCGTCAAATGAACGGGTATTTCAAAATCGATGCCGTAAGTTCCAGGCTCCAGATATGCTTCCTGATTTGTCTCTAATTTGGGCCATACGTGTGCCCTGCATAGAAGAGATTTGAAATTTGCAAGTCTTGGTTGGTTGTCTGAAGAAAACCAGTCATCGTGAAATCTAAATTTCGCGAACTTGCGGTCATTTACACCGCCTTGGTCGTCAAGCCTTAATTTTTCTGCATCATTCGACCATTTAAAGTCCCAGGTCTTTCTTATTATCGAAGATTTCGAAATATCTGTGAAATTTAGTAATGAGATATCTTGCTCGCTTTTGAAGACCCACTTTGTGATCGCCCAAACTTGGATTTCCCTTCAAACTTTAAAAAGACAAGTGGCATCGAAACCCTTCGGTGAGTCTTCAAAGCCAACTGGCCGCGTAAAACAATAGGCTTTTCCTCTTCCTTTTCAATGAAAACGACAGAGTTCATGCAACGGAACGAGATAGAGTATGGGGCCTCGAAACGTTCAAATCCCTTTTTTCTGTTTTTCACTCGTGCCATATAGAAAATGTCTGTGATAGAAAAGGGTTTGGTGGCAAGATCTTCGGTGATAGATCAAATTAAACAGTGATATGCGGAAATTCAGCTCTATGAAAACATATCAATGGGAATGCTTTCTGTATGTGATCTGACACAGACTTTATTCATTTTATATTTTTAGGTGAAAAAATGGGCTACGTCATTTGCCTAGAACAACATAGCAGCCTCTCAGTAGCTGGCTATTATTTATCGAGTAATGTCTTGGTAAATTTAGAAAACTTGATTTGTGATCAAGTATCCCAGGACACTTTGTACATCCCGAATTCGAACCCAATGGAGCGGGTGACAATTCCATGGGTCAGTTATTGCTCTACCCGTGGGACGCGCCACCTACATGACATGGTGAATTTTGTATAGGATTAATCGTCACGAAAAACGAAAAGCAATATGATTTGACGCAACCTTTCACGGGAGCTAGAAGAATACATTCCCTTTTGCTAAATACACAGTCGCATTATGTAATACTAACAATATAGAAATACTCGCTATTACGGAGTACGAAAAGGTTACGAAACCTCATAATCGACCCTTTTCTCAAATTGATCTCTTATCAAGATAAATGAATTCATGAATAGCTGTGACTAGGGTCATTGAGCTTCCCAGGCATCGAGCTATATGAGAATAAACAAAGATACCCCTCTCTTGCAGGCTGTAACCTAACATTCTAAAGGTGTGCTATATCATCTTAGACCCACCGTTGGAAAACTGTCGTGGAACAGCTCCTAGATTGCATGAAGGAAATGAGCCAATAGCTATTTGAAGGGGTTATGTCGAGGCAAAATTTCATGAGTTGATCTGTCAGTGGTGATGATTTGCTGATCAGTATAGTCGGATCGAGAGGACAGTGTGAGTTTTTCTCGGCCATGATAAGCGGACAAAAATACTTTGCTTTTCCAATTCTCTCTATATTCGTTGAACTCAGAAGCTTCCATTGACATAATCTGCTCGGTCCTTAGCATTCGGAAACAACACGACCATTTGTCGCCTCAGAAAAGTAGAGAGACTTGGGAAAAAAAAGCCGGAGTAGCGAAGCGGTGTAATTTTTCCACGTCTTATTGTACGACTTTCAATATCTGCGCCCATCCAGCCCCATCGTGAGTTTCGCGATTCCACCTCACGTGTCTCCGACATCTCTACTTAATTTATTACTCCCTAGCTATTGATGGATCGATGAACGGGATATCCAGATCATTCCACTCGGTATTTAAGAGCCATGCTTCCGGATTCTACAAGTGACTGGTGACGGCAGGCAAAATACGCAATCTCTTCCTCAATGAAATTTTCAGAGTTGGATGTAGCTTGCAGGACTGCATGCATTTTGTGTAGAATAGAAGATTAAAAAAATTGACTATCCAAACCAAACAATTATCAACTTCCCGTTGACCAGGTGGTCATTGTTTTTGTTGCGTCTCATTGATCAGACAAACTCCGAACCCATTTTCCCATCCTTCACTCCTATTGATCCCAGAAGCCGAATTATTAAGTATTCACTTTTCGAACTTACCAGCAGATACTCATTTTGCCGTTCAGAATGAGTATTCAGGCCTACCGAGGTCTACGCAGCCTGGATCGCTGCTTCTGTGCACTGCCGCAACTTAGAACCGAGATCCTTGTTGACACATCCGAAGAGGCCTAGGCTGGGTTAGCCTCATTTTCTTAGTAGTCGGATTCGCCGAAATTGCTCGGCTATGGCTACAAAAACTTACTATAGACAGCCTTACGCAATTCAGGTTATTGTACATCCTTGATATTGCCGACGAGGTTCTCAATGACTCTATCCTGGTGACCGGGCTTGCGGCCAATAACCTCCTACAATGCTGCGGGCTGAACGAAGTGATCGTCGGTGATCTCACTGATATAGGCGGAGACCTCCCCCGCCCACTTTTCGTGTTCAGTGTGTAATGCCAGGGCAGAAGCACTTATTCCCTTCTGGTCTTGGTAGAACTAGGTAGGTTTTATCGAGGAGCCAACGTAGTTACTGTCAAATCGCATGGTTCCGTTACGCTTAGAAGGGACAGTAAACTTGGGCCTTTGCGGCGTTGGTGGGGAGTTGCTGGTAGTTGACACCGAGGTGGTAGCGGGCTGCATCGGGGTATGCGAAGAGTCTTGCTTGCAGCACTCGAGGAAAGTTAGTCATTGCAAATGATAAGGCTTATAATTGTCTAGCTTTCTGGCCTACCTGGATCAGCGGACGTAGCGATTCCGGGGACCATTGTCGAGGGCGAGAACGCAGCTTGCTCAATATCGGCGAAGTAGTTTTGTAGCTGTTCCAATTCAGCGACTGCAAGATAAGACTCAAAATCAAAGACTTACGTTGCGGTTCATAGTAAGAAGACCAATCTGCTGCAGAGGAAATTCCTTATGCGACCAAACCTTAGTCATGTCGAAGATATTCTATTTGTACCTCTCGGCCTCTTCGGGACTCATCAGTTGGACGTAGACGTTCCAGACAGGATATTCGCCCCTATCAATAGCCTCAAACATATCACGGATCATAAAATCAGGATCTTCCCCGGCGATTCTGGTGGCGTCCTGAGAGGAGAGGTTCTCAACCCCCTGCTGCGTTTTGACGTGGACTTTGGCATATTTGAACGAGCCGTCCTATGCACACGTTAGTCGAAGATCCCGATTCCACGCGCGGTGACGGTCATTACCTACAGGATTAGTAAATTTGTATGTATGTCCGCTGTAAGAGTTCATGTAGCGAACCGATTTAAATGTGCCACGGTCGCTGAACAGAACCAGAAGTTGGTAAATACCCTCAGGACTACCGACGTGAAAACTAAATGATTAGCCTGATTCGATTACTAGAGCTTGGGAAACCACATACTCCTAGAACTGCCATACCAATTAAATCTGCGACATACTATAGGCGGTTAAGATAATAAAACTCACCATGTTCTGGTCGGGGAGTTGGGTCTGAGGATGTCGCTTGTGAGAGCGGTTCATAGACGGGAATTTGATCGGATCACGAATAAAGAAGACAACCTAAACCGAGCGAAATCAGAAATAAATAACAAGAGAAACTAAAGTGTTTCAAAGGAATGGATATCACACCGTATTGTTAAAAACAAAATCTTGGTTTCCCTCGTCGGTATAAAACTCCATCGCGGGAGGTATCGGCAGATCCGGACTCGGGCCCAACGGTTGACACCCGCTGAAGCACGGGTGTCTTCTTTCCGACCGTGCTGAGGAATTTGGCGCTGGTGAAGTCAGAGCAATCGCGTGTGGCTTCGAATTCTCCAAATGATCTACAACTGTCAAACCGAAATTCTGCGTATAGCGGGACATGACGACTTACCCGACAGCCTTGGCGTGAACGACGCTGCTCAAGATCTCTAGTCAGTACACAGTAGATAATTGAAACTCAAGAGCCAGCTGAGAAAAAAACTAACCGCTCGGGAATTCTCTCCCGAGAGAAATGAGCAAGGGTTTCGATGAGCTGGGTGTCTTGAAGTAATCCGAGGCTGCCGCCCTGTCTACCCTGCATCAGGACAGCTGTGCTGCTATTTGCGAAGGGACAGCCTGCAAAAGTCAGCCTAGACTACAAATCACAGGTCATAAAGAATTCTTCAACCGCCCTCCCCGCCCGAATCACTCAGTCTGACCTCGCAAAATGTTACAGGCCGAATAAAATCCCCCCTAGCATCCAAATTTGTCACAATTCTATGGGTCTCTGATTCCATTTTTGATGAATTAGGTCGTGAAAGGAGGGATCAAATCATTTTTCCACTCTAGGCTTCGCACCACTATCACCGCTTCACACATATCCATGATAGTTGAGTAGCGAAATCAGTAGACACGGCTCGACTATGAAATCCAGCATGTTAGCTGCAGCGCTACAGAAACAACGCCACAATATGATCCAACAATGTGTGCATTTCCTAAGGCTGGAGTATTATCGCTATGAAAACACATTTGGGCTGTATGTCATGACGGGAGTCATGACTCCCATGGAAAGGATCGTGGTCAATACATTCGTTACCACCAGTCTATTGCTCCTCTGTTGGACATTATTACTTTATTTCCCGCCTTTGCTATACCAGAAATTCGTTCGAATTGTGTGGGTACTTGCAGGCCACTGGGGCGAAAATGCGGATGCTGATGCAGGCTCTCCTACAGAGGCCTGACTCAATTACGCCGGCTGGTAGCTGAAACTCACTGTATCGCTTGATACTAATGTTGTAACTTGGTTGGCGGAATGCTGAATGAAGATGACAAATTGTGCCAAATCTCACGTCAGCTACTAGGAGCGGGCTAGCGAGACTCGGGAATGACATATAAACCCTAAGCATATGTCCGCCAGGGAGTTCAATTGTATCTGGTGATTGCTATGGTCTGTCGCACGGGCCAACTTTTGAGTGTATTGCGCAATCACCTATGTTATCCGCAAACCTTTCAGATACTGCCTTGAAATCTTTGGCTTCGGTCGCTGTCCTGTCGGCTTTTAGCAATTGAGAGGTAGGAGTAAGAAAAACCTAGGACTGACCAGTATGTGCATTCTCCGGGCTACTTGCAGAAGTTCCATTTTTAAAGTATGCCTGATGACAACGGCTCAAATATACAAACCCTATATGCAGGCCTGCCATTTTAAACAGAAAAGTTTCGGCCGGCCAGTCCTGCTCTCATCTGCTCTCGTCGTGAACAAGATTTGATTCGCAGTTTTAATTGCTTGGCCACTCGCTGGATTAATCTATCATTTTTTCAGGAGGGTCATTTGCGGCCTAGTCTTTCATTTCTCTCATCCACGAGCTCGTAAGCAGGGTGGTATCTCTCCTGGCACTTTTGCTCCGATTCCACCATGCCATCACTCCTAGTCCTAGCTTTGGTCCAGCTAAATTGTTCCTTCAATAGCTTGGGGTTAGGTTGTGTATCCGATGTTCCTCCTAGGCTTGTATACCCCTCATTATAGAGACTGCAATATTCTAGTCGGAGGTGACGGATGAACGCCCAGATCTCTCGGTAACTCCAGTCAATCACAGGATGAATACGAACGAAATCAGGCCATCCTTTGTCTGTATTGTTGAAATGCGACAAATTTTCACCATGGGGATCAGATCGGCGAGTTCCCACTAATATGGCCCGAATATCGGATTGGTGCGCTAAGTAATCTTCGAAAACATCTCGTAATGTCATGTTTGAAGACCCAATAGTGAATTTTGTGAGAGAAAGGCCGTAAGTCTTAGCAGAACTCATAACAAAATTTTCAACAGCTGGAAATGGATCGGCTGGGCGAACATATACAGCTGGAATGCTCTTCATTTCTGTGCCGAATACTGCTTCCGGCTTTCCATTCGTCCCAAGACTCATAATTGCCCTTTCGTTCCGTTGCTGACTTTGGCGGCGACCAAGTTCGGCCAGAAACAGCACCAAAAGTACAAGGCAGTCTTTTCCCCCGTTGTAAGAAATTGCAAGCTCCGAAATTTCGTACTTGTGGAGAGCTGCCGACACAACATCTAAGGAAATTGCTGTCTGTCGTTGCACGGAGCCGAGTAGTGAGTCAGAGGCATGTGGCTCGTCAAGGAATGACTGGATCTGTGCGTGTATCTGCAATAACATGATTCGAAGGCGAGAATGAGAATCGCATAGATAATTTACGAATGCTAGCATTGCCGAACCTTTTGTAAACGGGTATGAAGCGAACAGGAAAGGCGTAAAATTTCCATCACGTGAGACTTGGATCACAGCAAGACAAAGTGGAGCTACCACTAATACCGTCCTGAGAGGGTAGGGGTTTCTTTCTTTCGGGCAATAGCACTTCCGATAAGGAGATCGCTAGCTTCATTCCCTTGATGAATGAATATTACATACATAAAGGGTCCCCCTCAGAAAAGCGACCTGGTCGGGCCCAGTCGGAATTTGGTAGATCTACCCAATCCAATATTTTCATGCCGGAATGTCTAGCGCCTGATTGATTTTTCGATGTGGATACCGGTCACTGACGACATTGGTACAGACCCGGGGTGAAAAAGGTCGCAGAATGTTTGGAATGTGCTGTGGGAAGTGTCTTTCCCACATGGAGGAGATGATTGGATCAGTAGTATTGCCAGATACAGCTAACAGCTCGATGCAGCGGATGTCTCCGGCATAGCTAGCTTACCTTCGCATTTACTAACCGATGAGGGATCAAAAATGTCACGCGGAAGCGACCGGGGTTATCTTGCCAAAGGTATCGGTTGTCCAATTCCGGAGAGGCTTACCACACCAATGTCAGTGGGCCCAAAATTGATATTTCTTGCCCTGGACTGTCAAGCAAGAATTGGAATAGGAACACATTCACCGGCACAGTGGCTCTGAATCTCGAATTTCAAGGTGTGGAGTTTCCCAAAATGTATATGAATTCTCCAAGATGTACCCTTGCTTTTGACGCACCTGGATGTCACCTTGCGCTTACACATATATTTCGGTGGGAAAAGAACTTTTGTGGTAAAAGAAGGCTGGTCATACCTGGGGCAAGATGTCTACGCCCTTTTCAGAATATCAATTTGATTCGATTGCCGACACAATCGGCGCTATTAGTGGGTTTCCATTTTTACCAAATAGGTGTTCCCTATGAGCGTTTCTCTTATAGACGCGCAGGCTTTGAGGTCAACCCGTATAAAGCTGATCTGTGTCCATGCAGAGAATGGAGAATTCATCATTGCCCTCGATGACCAGAACCGAGAGAATGAAGCCGATCTGATCATCGCCGCGGAGTCGATCACGCCTGCCCAAATGGCCTTCCTAGTCCGATTCACCAGGTGAGAGAGGACCCTGAGGCCATACACTACTCCACCTCATCTAAGGAGAAGATCTTGTAGGGCAAGTTGCGATTGCTGCTTTCTAATTGTTGGCCATGTATTGATTACGTCTCATGATGGTAATCAGTGGTTTGATTTGCGCTCCCATTACCCCGAGCCTGGCGTCACGCCTCGCCCTCCCTCAAATGGTCACCCAAAATGCCGACCCAAAGGGAACGGCTCATACAATTGCGATCGACTCAAGTGCGGACTCTATCACAACAGGTATATCCGCCGAAGACCGTGCTCTGACATGCCGCACCCTAGCCTCTTCCAACGCTTGTGTGGACTCTTTCAGACGTCCAGGGCACATTATTCCGCTGGCAGCTCGGCCTGGTGGCGTGCGCCAGCGTAAGGGCCACACGGAAGCTGCGGTGGATTTGTGCCGACTTGCTGGAAAAGCTCCTGTCGGCGTTATAGCAGAGTTGGTTGAAGATGGAGAGATTGTGGAGGGGGTACCGGAGGTAGGCGGGAATAATGGAATGATGCGTCGCGACGGGTGCTTGAGATTTGGGAAAAGGTGGGGGATTAAGGTATGCACAATTGAGGACCTGTTGATATACTTGGATAGGGAAGATGGAATCGCAAATACAAGGCAATAAGCATTTGCCTATGGAATGTACACCATTCAATATAAGAACACAATCCACGGAAAAATAAGTACTGTACAATAGAAGCCAAATGACGAAGTATGGCACGGAACGAGAGAGCGAGGCAATGACGAAAGATATTCCGAATCAGTTCTTTCGGAATTCCAAAGTACAAAGTGCACAAGTCGTGACCAGTGATGGCCACATTTATCACAGAGGTAGTTCTCGTAGCGGACCTCATTGGTGCTGGAACCGTGGAAGAATGAGCTACAACACAAAACTCACTAGCCGCGACGCTGCAGCTGATAAATTCGCCAAGGGAAGTGTACGGGAAAAAGCAGACGCCAAGGCATTCGTTAGGTCCAGCCCTCATACTTTTCTCGACTCCAAGTGCATCTGTTTGTATCGAAAAAAGCGTGTTACCTAGCGTGGCCCCGCCTGACGATTTCATCGTTATCTTTTCTTCTCTTCGACAAAGAAAGCAAGTGGCCGGCCTCGAAAGAAATTGTTAGAAAGCTTAGCTGAAGGCTTCTGGACCATGTGAATGATTCATCTGCTGAGCGTTGGCACCCGTTAGTTAGCCCGACAACCAATTGAATTTGACTTTGAGACACAATGTGGAGAATTGGAATTCCAAGTATGTTTTAGAGTGCACTACTTAGGGAGATCTATGGACGGTTTCAGACTGCTGAGCATGAACCATGTAGCAGGGGCTGGAATGGGAACGTGGAGTCTAGAACCGAAGGCATGGTTGTTGCTATTCCAAACAGGCAATAGCATTCAACCAATCAGATATCTGAATAAAAGTATAAATTTTCCCCCAACCATTTCGAGAAATCTGCTGTTGGGAGTAGCACAGAAGTATTTCTTTCTTTCGGTCCCTATGATTTGTCCACACTTGCATCACCTCGTGCGGAGAACTGCACAGACCCTTGAACCGACGATCATGCCCCACCCGGTTGGGTACCCACTGCATGGCTTTTGGTAGCCCCACAACGTCAATCGCGTCACGAGTCAGTCGGATGTTTGTTGATTGGTTTGAATACCTTCACGCCACTGGCTATAAAAGTTGACGTACATAGTGGGATGATCCCATAGATAGACATCTAATAGCTTTCCTTTACGTTCCACTTAAGCAAGGCAATGGAACCACATAAGCGTTGAAATATACAGACTCGATGACTTCATGACAAGAGGAGACAGGGAACGGAATGCATGAATTGGCTATTGCTTGTAATCTCCTTATCCTAAAATTCGTAGCCAGAGCACTTATAAAAGGCGCATTGAAGTCTCTATCCCCGCCGCTCTCCATGACAATCTTTTGTTTGATACAACTACTTCAATCCCTTACACTTTCTTGGATTTGTTCTCCTCCAATATGACTGTCCAGAACAATGCCAGATTCGACTTCATTGTCGTCGGTGGGGGTACAGCCGGCAACGTCGTTGCAGGTCGCCTCGCCGAGAACCCCAAAGCTCGGATTCTTGTCATTGAGGCAGGTGTTGAGAACGCAAAGGATCTAGAGCCTATCAGAGTCCCTTCAAATGCTATGCAACTTCGTGATAGCGAGTATGACTGGTCGTTCAAAACCACCATGGTGAAGCGCGATGATTACGAGCGCATCGAAAAGCCCAATACACGAGGTAAAGTGCTCGGTGGTAGTTCATCCTTGAACTACTTCACTTGGGCGCCTGGGTCCAAGGGTACTTTTGACATGTGGGAGGAGTACGGGGAAAGGAGTGGACTTGGGATCCACTTGTACCTTATCTGCGGAAGAGCGTTACATACCACGACGATCACAACGCATTTTCCCCAGACATGAAGAAGATTGGCGGGGGTGGTCCGATCCCAATCGCTCACTCGGAGCTCATCCCTGAGATGCAGCCTTTCAGAGACCTTCTCACAAAGGCATGGAAATCCACTGGTCACCCAGTCACCGAAAATATCTTTGATGGCACTATGTCAGGCCTTACTCACAGCGTCAACACTATTTATAAGGGTCGTCGATCCGGCAGTTTCCTCTGTGTTGCTGACAAGTCCAATGTGACGATTCTCCCTCGGGCTCATTCGAAGAGTCTCATTATTGACGCTGCCGACAAAACTTGTAAGGGTGTGACTGTCATCCTCGGCTCCGGCCAAGAGCTCAATCTTTTTGCCACCCGTGAGGTCATTGTATCTGAAGGTGTTTTCGAGACCCCTAAGTTGCTGATGTTGAGTGGTATTGGGCCCTCTGCGGAACTTAAAAAACATAACATCCCAGTGGTTGTCGATAGCCCTCATGTGGGGCAACATCTGCTGGATCATCCCGGTGTTCCTTTCGTTCTGCGTCTCAAAGACGGATATGGCATGGACGATTATGTGTTACGAAAAGGAACGCCCCACAATGATCAGGCGATCAAAACATACGAAAATAATCACCGTGGTCCTCTGGGTTCGGGATTCCTGGAAATGGTCGGATTCCCTCGCATTGACGACTACCTGGAAAAGGATCCTTTGTACCGTCAGGCCAAAGCCTCCAACGACAACAAAGACCCTTTTTGCCCCTACGGCCAGCCTCATTTTGAGCTTGATTTTGTGTGTTTGTTCGGCAGTGCTTTTCAGTGGCACTATCCTACTCCCAGTAAGGGCAACTATATGACTGTCATGGTGGATCTTGTTCGTCCTGTATCGGAAGGCGGTACTGTGACTCTCCACAGCAGTGATCCTCTCCAGCAAGCCAACATCAACTTAAACTACTTCAATAACGATCTCGACATCATTGCTATTCGCGAGGGTATTCGCTACGCATATGATGTCCTCAAAAATGGAGAAGGCTTTAAAGACATCATCGAAGACGAGTATCCATGGCCAATGCCGCTGCACGATGACAATCTCATGAAGAGAACTGTACTTGATCGCTCCCAGACATCTTTCCATCCTTGTGGCACTGCCCGTCTGTCCAAGAATATTCAACAGGGGGTGGTTGATCCCGGCCTCAAGGTTCACGGCATAGAGAATCTCCGCGTGATTGACGCATCTTGTATCCCTGTCATCCCTGACTGTCGGATTCAGAACTCCGTGTACATGATCGCCGAAAAGGGCGCCGATGCCATCAAACGCGATCATTCTGATTTCTACAAATAAGCTGACCCAAGTCGGTTGAAGGATATGGACATCAGTTATTCAATATGGGAATCTATTTGTAGATGGCCATGAATTGCACGTGTGGATTACTGTTTATCAAATTGAATATGAAGAACAAATTAAAATACTAGCATCTACTTAAATATAGCACGTCTGAACCAAATCTTTCGATCATTTCTTGGTGAATATGGCTTGGAAGGGCCGACTCTTGGGGTCTGCTCGAAGGTGCTTTTGCAGTGGCTCGTTTTTGCAGTGGTTTAATATGGCATGAGGAAATTCTGTAAGCCGAGAGTCTCTGCCTTTCGTGCCCACGTAATCTTTCCTACCCAACATGACTTGACCTGAACACCTATCCTCGATGGAATCATTCAATATTTCCTTAAAGTCCGCTTCTGACGCGGCATTTATCTATCAATTACAAATACTACGAACATTCAATTAGGTTTCGAAGCATGCTATAGGGCTTGGGCAGATGAAATACCCTGTGGAGTATCAAAATCTGAGTATGGCGAACTTCTACACTAAATAAAAAAACTGTTTTTCAAGACAATCCACCACTTGTCAGGGATGAATGATATTTTCGATCTCTTAAGACAACCGTCGCTCAGCTTCCGCTATCATGCCGACCCGTGATTCAAGTCTTTTGAAACACTGCCGTTGAAGGATCGTTGATTGGAGGAGGTAACTTGTGTGAACAACTGGGCTGTTGTAAAAGCAACTCAGTAAACAGAAACGCTTAAAGTAGAGCCCAAGGACTCTCACATGCTCACAGAATGAATATCTCACGCTCCAGCGTTGAACATTGACTCAACGACCGCACTTTCAAATATGGAGATATAAATTGCAGCCTATCACATGTTTGATAAAGATCTAGTGTACGACTTAGACAGTCGTTTCTATCAATTTCTTTTTTCAAAAGAGCAGCTTATCTGATCTCTAACTAGGGCTACCCAAGAACCGGAAGCCATGATGCAGAACGACCCAATCGATGATGAACAAGCCTCACGATCGGTCTTACCACGACCGCGGATGTTTTCACAAGATTAGAATACTAAGATTAGCGATCCGTTCTTCAGTACTGAATCCAAAAGTTGGTAAATATATTCGAATTAAAAAAGCATACTCGTGGGTGTTTTCGACAATCTTTGAATGAATAGCGATGACGTTCGAATTTTTGTAGAGTGGGTCAGTGCAGTCTAACTTTTCCAATTGACAAGATCAAAAGGCGCAGCCCAACGGCAACCTTCTTTGAGTAATACTATTGCACCTATCAGATCTAATCAAAAATCTACGCAATCTTGACAGCGAAAGTTTATTTTTCGTTAGAGTTCTCGCCGCTTTTCAATCTGCGAAAAGAGAATAACTATATGGTGAAACCTTACAAATTGATAGCATGAGCCTCTACGGTTTAGGATAAATTTCGTCATTTTATAGAGCCTCTGACGCCTTTTGCATTAGTGGATAATGCAGAGACAAAAATTTCTACTGAAAGATTTTCAGCAGACGGGCAGATTCTGCTCAGCCTCGAGGATATCAAGACAGCAGCTATGCCATATTATACCCAGTACGAGAGAAAAGCCACCTGTATGTCTGTCTTAATACTTCCAATAATTTACTCCATATTAAGCTATTATCAGTCGGTTTGTTACCAAGTGTTTATAATATTTGCTTTGAAGAGATGGAGCCCAAATCTACCTTTCGTCATATTCCGTACAACCATATATTTCGTAAGCCTTACATTAACGAGTGGATAACTTTAAAGACCGCCAGCTGTCCGATTTATCATCATACATTCCATTATCTGCATAAACCACAATTTTCCAGGTCAGAACTACAGATCGTAACCAAAGAAATTCTTGCCTTCCAATAAAATATTTACACAGCTTTTGGCAGTAGATTCAGAAGAAGTTCCATTTCATGTAAATTGCAAAATGCAAGACAAATTCAAGAAAGGTATTGTAACAATACAGACAGGCCGGATTATATACTAGAAGAACCACGAAACGACTACTTCTCGCCAAATTGTGAGGGGTTTTCTTGTCCTTTACGCTCGAATCATCATACGAATCCACGACTCAAACCCCGGAGACAATTATAACGCGAGATCCACTTGCGGTTGACTTGTGGTTGAGGTTCTCGGCAAAAGGTTTCAGTGCATTCTAAATTTTTGGCAAAACTAGACACGGACAGCCAGCCATGTACAGTACCAAAAGCTTTTCTTTCCCAACTTTTGCATCTTGAGATTCTGTGCCGAAGTAATCAAAAAGTACATTTCCGTGGGATGGCCGATGGCAATATTGCAAATTCCGATCATTGTAAATACAGGGTACCAGACGCAGATGACATTCGGGCTCCATTATTCAAGTTAAGCAAGAGTGAGGCAGTGTTGACATCATGAAAGAGTCCAACTTAATAATATTGGCTGAGCTGTAGACCCTGGAATTTGTCCTTTCATTAGTCATATAAGCATGGTCATATTATCACAGACCATAAATATCATTCGAAACTTTGTCGTCTTTCCTACATCTGTTCGGGGGTATATACCAATCAGAGGCGATGACTCCGAAAATTCCCTACCTGGCCGACGGTCAAATGACCTTTTTCCTCCTGTGCAACCGAGTCATTCAGTGGTTGAGCAGCGAGATAGTTCTCGGAATAACGGTCCCCATTCATCAACGTTGGGTCTCGTGAATTGACCATCGTTTATTTGGAAATCATGGTGAGTAGACATTAAATCTGAGGACCATTATTCGATGCTGATGGAAATAGGCTGTTGGTTCCGTGGTTAAATTCCTACCTGCTTTTGTATCACCATTCCTGACCATACCAGTAAAGGACTTTGTGGTTTTCATTGATGTGATTTTTTCATATCTGTGAGGATATTTGACCCATCAAGATTCTATATTCAGTTACTGATTTTTCCCAGTTGGCTCGCTGCATTTATATTCTCCGCAGTGGACTACAACCAGAATAATTGCAATGCTAACGCATCCCCAGGGGTCGCATGCTCCAAGAAATGGGCGAATAAAGCCTTAATTTTTCTGGTATTGTATGATTCAATGACCTTCATTTCCTTATTATCATCATGATCATTATCTCACATGGTTATAGCATATTCACTTTCGTTGCACTATTTCTTGAAGCCTTGTCGCTCTGGATCGACGAGAAAAACCACCGAATCTGCTCAAAGTCGGATGAAAAGAGAAACCTCAGCGTTGAGAGGCATGTCCCAATCCGGAGGCAAGCTACTAAGGCGCCACCCCGGAAGCCACAGGGGAAAATCAGGTCTGAGACATATTCTTGCCTTCAATGGCCCTCAGAAAACCTATGACAATCATCAAGTTGACTTTGAAGACGAAATTAAGTTTAATCAGCATTGGCTGCCGACTCTTTAACAAGAATGAAGTGGTGGATCCCCATGTCTTAAAATACATTCTGTGCAAATGGCCGTTTCGCTGAAGACATCAACCTAATAGTTGTGCGTTTCTTCGTGACTGACACTTATCAAATTATCAATTTGCAACTTTCCCGAATAACTTCGCTGTTCATCCAATTCGTATGAATTTGCAGACACCTGTGGAAACTAACCTATCCAGGCTTGAGTGTACGACGACCATAATTCTGGCTCATTGCCCACAGTCAGTTTCATTAGATAAAGTTGCGTCAGTAACTTGGGGCTTGGTCGGGGTTTAGGGTCCCTCCCAGGCTTGTATATCCCTTGCCATATAAATTGCAAAATTCACGATCGTAATGAGGGACAAAAAACTTAGAAACCGGTGTAGCTCCAACCAATAATATCATGAATGCTAATAAAGTCTGACTACCCTTGGTCCATTTTATTGAAAAGCGATCAGTTTCCGCTATGAGGACAAGATCGACGAGTACCAACTGACAGTCTGACACGCCCAGAATTCTGGATTTTTACGAGCAATATATACAACGCGCACCTTACATCGTCATCTCCGAAGATCTAACGGTGATTTCCTTGATGCTATGTCAGTAGGTCCCAGTAACGTCATCCACGGCCGAGCGGACCACCCGACCGAGCGGATCACCTCAAAACACATATTAAATGCAATAAATTACATCTTCATATCTCAACAACTACATATACTTAGGAAAAGATATTGAGCCTATACAATGTAAATAGTATTTCTAACCTACTGATGTAGTAGAGAAAGATAATTTTAAGTATCGACAGAGATATATATATTTGAGTCTCAAATGTCAAAATTACACTGTAATTTATGGTAAGCTAGTAAAATATTTCCAGAAATGATCCAAAATTTGAAATACTGTTTTTTGAGCTTAGAAAAGCTTATACCCTGAAATTAAAAGCAAATTAGTACTTTGTGGTTGAATTACAGTGGAATAAAAACATCGTATCTACTATGTGTTTTGAGGTGATCCGCTCGGTCGGGTGATCCGCTCGGTCGTGGATTACGTTAAAGCTCATGACTAAATCATCAACCGCTGAGAGCAAATTGACGGTATGAATATCTACTACATACCAAAATGTCACGAATAATTGCATAGTATAGTAATTCTGGCTCTTGGTGGGTTTTGTATCCCTATGCTCCCTCAAGACCCAGCCATATGCTCAGATGAAGGTCAAGCCCGGCTAAAAGAAGAACCAGAATTACCCCAAGCTCCGAAATGATATGATTAACTTCCGCAGAGTAGTCAAGACAACAATTGAGGAAATCGTAGTCTGTCGTTGCACGGAGTCCATTAAGAGTGCGCTGGGTATGACTAGTCAAAGAATAGTCGTATTCGTTTTTGTACGCGCAGTATCGTGATAGCGACATCAGTATGTATAAAGAGACAAGAGTGTAAATAATTCTTACCCAGACATATGGGAATAATGGGAGTACTGAATGAAGAATTCGCACCGGTGGTTAAGTGAAATTGTCTCCGCGGTCACAGCGTTACGAATGGAATTGCTGGCTATGTAATCTATTTTCATACCGCGGTCTCGTCCTGGCCAGAAATCAGTCATTCAATGGCGGAGTGCCGTATAACCTCAGTTCAAGTCTTCAGGTAGACGATTTTCGAGAGGTACGTATATCAAAGAATTTCGTAGAAATTTAAATACACATCTTTCTAATGGCGAAGTAAATTCTCAAGTGGGTTAGTGTCTTATAAGGGTTTGAAGGCTCGAATGGCGTTTGTAATATGGCTGTATTCTATAGGTACTGTACTGTGCGGGTCACGATCCTGTTATGTGAACACCAATCTAATAGTATGAAATTCACGAGAATTTTCGTCGTTCGTCAAAAATATGGTCGCATATTTAGGGACCATGAAAACTATGATCAGCCTCCAAATCCGAGCCATCTAACCCATGAGGCGTGATCTACATTGTTCAAGACTACTGACCCATGGGGACTGCCACCCAGCCCCCTTAAAAAGAGAGAGCTCGTCATGGTTTGAAGTTCAGCTAAATCGGTCAAATTTTGATGCTTACAAAAGCACCAATATTTGTTAATATATTTGTTTGGCGTCATAGATTCCGGATGATGCAGAAAAAGATATGAGTCAAAGTGCTGAGATTCAGCCAAGTGGAATCAACTAAGTATTCTCCTCGCCTGTCTTATATCCTACATACTGATTAGAAGGCCCAGACAGATCCTCTTCGCTATTGATTGCAAGAAACTCCGTTTTACAAACAAAGGGCGACTCAAAAAAAGGTTTATACGGAATTAATCGTCTCCTCACGAGGGGAAAGTGATCTCCGCACGATTATGTAAGCGATACCTTAAGTCATAATTAGCCAAAATCACTCTGACGTGCGCATGCGCAGGGTACAAGACGACTTTGAGGTAAAGCCTCGGTGATAGCTCCGCAAATGCCATTCCTGGATCGTCCACATGCCAAATTTCCTCATTTGGTAATACTAGAATTCCAATCATCCCTCCCCAACTTCAAACCATGTCACACCGCCGATTTGTCTTTTCTGGAACCTAAGTGGGCTTTCCGAATCAATTTTTCATCTACCCTGACTACGACACTCGACAGCTGATTTGTAGGGAGGTGCTAGGTATGTTTTATTTTGAGAATAGAAAAGACGCAGATATTTCGGCTGAGGCTCGGCCAGCAGTGGTTGGAGCGGCTGTACCTTGTGGTCGCCAACTTCTCAATTCTGAAAACTATAAAATGTTAGACTTCTCGTTCAGAATCAGCAGCGAACCTGAACAATTCCAAAGCTACATTGTCAAATATTTCCCTCCATCTCATTTCCCACGAATATTTCCGCAAAAATGAATAAAACAACATCTGTTCATACTCATAGCCTTGCTCTGTCCTCTACAGAATCCCCACATCCGACCACGGTATCATCAGATTTCAAGCAACGTCTCAAAGCCATTAAGCGTAAATGGGGACCACTTATGGCAGCTAAAGAGCATTTAGACGACGACTACAACTTTCCTCCTGGCAGATATGCCGGTCAGGATGACTCGAGGGTATCTCGACAATGGTCAGTGCCCACAGCTAAAGAATTGGCTTTGTTTTCTAAATTAACGATGATCCACGAATATCCAGAATTAATGTCCCGAATTGGACGGCACTTAGCCTATTACAAATAGTTGATGTGCTGGTTCCGTCTTCGCAGTTACTGGATATCAGGATTTTGTATTTCAGGATTTCCGGGGCTCATTTGACATGTTGTTGATGAGATGAAGCAATCTTTGCAGCAAAGAGCAGTGTTCTTCAGCGACTTTCAATGATCTTCTATCTTGTAATAAAAGTTATAATATTCTCAAAAAAAGAGCGGTGTACGGTAACCATGTAGTAGCAGCCCTCTGGACGGACATTCGTCTCAACGAGGGCAGCACTTAGTTTGCGTGATAAATCGAACGTTGAAATTTCTTGATTTATTTGGCTGGCAGTAGACAATACTTTAAGAAAATAAGAGCCAATAACATCAAGCGAGAGAAGGCGGGGCCCTGTTTTGATATTGGCTTGTTAAAGACAGTGCCAAGCCGTACTGTAACATGGATCTCGACGCTATCGTGTACACACAGAATTAATTACCGCTCGGCGACCGAGTGGGAAGAGCAATTATCTCTAGCCTAGCAATACATGCCCTAATATAAGCCGTGATTCCTTGGAGCCCTTACGCAGTTATTTTCAGTATATGTCATTCCAGCCATCAGTAGCGTGGCAGACCCTCGTGGTAAAGTAGCTTTCTTTGTAGGCTGGCTTAAAGGCACTTCAAGTGTTCCGTGATGAAGCAGGTGAGGATATGACACCATAGGCTGTCACAGCTCGACCTTGGTAGCAATAGTGGTAAAGTCTGCTTGATGAACATAATTCCATCCTATCGACGCCTTGAATCTTGAATCTGTATTACAATTTGCTAGCAACAACACAAGACTCATCATTGGCGCCATAGAGCTCTGTGTTTTTGCGTTGAAAATGGTTCAGTCCCTAGACTATGGTTAGTGTATTGCAATATTGATTGGAATGAAACCTCACCTTGGTGTCACGTATAGACGCCCCATGTATGCGGGGCCCTGAGTTAACGCTTTCTTGGACGACGCCCTTCAGGGACTGTGATGCGTTGCAGGGACCTATAGGATATATTAGTGTTATGGTAAGCACGTTTCAGGGGCGAGTCTCTTGTGATATTCAGCCTGTTTTTGGACCACCGCGGCCGCTAACGTGTCTTCCTATGGATTGGGCTGCATGTTTGACGGATACCCATGGGTAGAGGTCGATGGGCTTCTCGAATGTATGGATGGTCTTGACTCAGTATTGGATCATCGGAATGGCTTTGAGCTTCCATTCTGCAGACCATATGGTCCTTTTTGGGGACAAAGCGGAGTGATCGAAATGGTTTGTCATGTTCCCTAGCAGCCATCTTCCGTTCCTTTCGTTTCCTCCAGTGTTCTCGCATGGCATGTTTGCGGGATTCGGCTTCATTTCCATTGAAAAAAAAGAAACGCGGGTTTTTCGTCGTACAGCTGGCGGTTGGTAGGAAGTCTGTGATATCGGCAGACATCGTATCATCGCTTTTCTGACGTTGCTGTTTTATTTTGGTCAGTAAAACATCGTGTCTAGTAAAGTAATACAGACTTGGATAGAGTAGATCAAGCCAAAAAAATATGGAAAGCAGCGAGAGCTGTTGAAGGTGAATCGAACAGACATGGAAAAGGTTTCTACTGCGACCCCCTACCCCTGTTGGAAACTTCGACAGCATTCTGACAATATATCGCCCCGCAGTTATTAGCGCATTGGAATATGAGAATGACATTTCTGACATTTCTGTTGCCAATGCCTGATGACTGGTTTACTCTATGAATTTGGCGTGGCGAATTCAATCAGTAGATATTTTCTGCGCTACGATCACTAAAATTGTCCTCGGTTCATATTCCAAGGCTCTGGTGATTACTAGGCTTGATTGTAATTTCAATTGGTAGGTGCCTATAAAGATATTTCACGACCACGATAGGCCGCTAGTTGTCATTTCGTAATGGTATTGCAGCGTGCATGAAAGTCTGGTTCATTCCATAATAGGGGCAAAAAGCTATTTAAAAAAAGGTTACTGCTTTAGTAAGCAGGCTAATTACTAATTGCCAAGTAATAGGCAATGTATCCGACTAGTAATAGTAACTCTGTCGCGACAAGATAGGTTTTTTTCATGGAAGAAGGCGGAGGAACGTCTGCGGGTACTGATTGGTCGGATTAGACTTCACTACTTTTCACTTGCCTACGGACGAAAGCCCCACTTTTACTACTTCTCAAAGGGGTAGTGCAGAGAATAGTTAGGACCCAATGCAGAGTCCTTTATGAGTCATGCGTCCCTTTTGGTTCAAGGCTGTTATTATTATGCTGGCAATAATGACTGACAAGCCGTGGAAGGTGCAGACGTCACAGCTTCCACTCATGAGGAGAGAAATCTCGGCTAACTCGCGCCCCCAACAAGGTGAAACATACCTTCTTGCAGTATTTTCGCTCAAAAAATCGGTACATGCCACGTTTCTATTCAGCGGACACGATATTGATTCTGTCTATCCCATTGTGCTGGTCAGCAGGGCCTTGTCTGTTCTACCTCGGCTACTTACTCGGTTGTAAATCAAAGAAAGATTCATCGTTGTTCGTGTGGGATTATATGGGTCTATATATGTAGGATGAGCTTCAATTTCATTTCCAATTAAACTGCTAGCTTATAAAGACACCTCGAGGCTTACTTTGGATGGTCTGACTTGATTCCTGGTCTGCGCTATCTCAATATAAATATATTCTATTCCATCAATTAGCCCGGATGTTCTATGACTCCTCGGATTTTCTCCGTACCTACTGCCAGAGTAGCCTTTGCCATGTTTGCCATGTGGGCATGAATGTGCACTGCTGTTTGGTGACCTTGCGCTCCCTCGGCATCTTCTCGTAGACGAAGCTTCTCAGTATATAACCCAGGCATTAACCTATCGGCAATCATAGCGGAAATCATAGTACATACAAAGGTAAATATTTACGGCACCTTGGCATTACGGCATAGGTTCATAATAGATCTATATTAAGTGTATAGGCAGAATAAAATGACGGTAAAAGCGGAGAGAATCTTAATAGTATTTATTGTCCATTCAACATCCTCGGCTTCCTGCTTCCTGATTCTTAGGTTACTAAGTGCTGAATCATCAATGGGGCGGGCCTGAGTCATGCTCTTGGATGTTTATAGAAAAACACATTTTAAGTGCCATCCAAGGGCCACCGGCATTATTGCAGTACTGGTGCATATTTCTCTCCTTGAAACGTGGAGATAGCCCTTGAATGATCGGACGTGTCATTTATGTACCAGGGCAACCTTCGGTAGAGCATGAACATGGAAAGTCACTACTGCATCGATGACCCTTGGTCGCCAAAGCTTTATCAGTCGCGCTGCCTCTCGTCGCCACGATATCCCACACATTCACAGATGGGAAGGCGAGACCGGTTTCACTAAGGTCGGCCTGGCCGAAAAACTGGACTCGACCGCGAGTCCTATTACACCCGTCGGCAATATTAAACAGGAGAGCCTTTTGGTAGGCGCCTCGACTTACCACAAGAAGGACGAGGTCCTGCATTTCCTGTTCTTTTAGATTCTGCGTTATGACCCTTACCCAAGTCATCCGTACCAGCGTGAATAACTAAGGTACGCTGACCAGTTGTATTAGAGTCAGTATTATTGTCCAGCGCAAGGTATATCTTACACCAAGCATACTTTCCAGGCCAATCAACTTGACGAGATGGTCCTTCATCATCCCCTTGGAGTTGCCAGCAGCATCGGTCTTGAAGTTTCCTAAGTCGCCGACATGGCGTTCCGTGTTACCTGGTCCACCATAGGCTCTACCGAAGGGATTGACTGTTCTATAGTTAGAGATAGAACCAGTTTGAAGACAAAGTGTAACGAACAGTTGGAGCCAGCGGATGTACAGGCCATTGGTGTTGTCACCAAACTGATGGATATGAAATTCACGCTCAGCATTGGCATCATTTCCTGTAAGATTCCAGGAGATGGTGGAAGGAGACTTCTCATCGATTTGCTCAAGGCTTACTACCCCCGTAATTTTCGAGTCACCCCGAACAAGAGCAATGAGTAGGATTAGTAGTCAGCGATCTTGAACTCTCTTCGGCTAGTTCAGTGCTGATGTTGGGTCCAGGGATATCCAGGAAAACCAGATTGTACAATTGCAACAACTGAGCAGAGCTGACGACATCGCGAGAGAAGAAGTCTTGCCGCCTCGCACCATCTCTGCTTCGAGGTGTGTCAAGAATGAAATTTTTCTCGTGATCGGAAGAGCAAGGACGGGAGGGAGCGGTCCCGTGAAATTTATTGGATACGTGAGCTCAAATTTGAAAGGCCGAGAAAGGCTCAGACATGCCACGGGGTGAGGTAAGCTTGATTCTTGTGTGCATGACGGGAGCGGAAACAGCAGTCCTGTTGTATCAACTAAGGCTTCCTCACACTTGGGACATATGATTGATTTTGAATATAGACAACCACCAATTTCGTTCCAGCTGGCGCCTGACTACAGCGCAAAGCGATCTAGAGCTTCTCAAACGAACGAAAATCATTATCTGGGATCGAGCTTCCAAGAGTGCCAACCTTCGCCATTTCATTTAGTGTTTCCCTATTTGGTGGCACTACACAATTGGTCCGCCCAGTCTCACGACTCCACAAAGCGGCTAATTTGGCACCGAGTTTAAAGGGTGGTAATCCACCACTCGTACTCAGCTCGGAGTCAGGGCGGGTGGTCCGCCTGTTTCGTATCACATGCGCTTGACTATGACTACAGAGCGATCATGCAGCAGTGGTGAACAATAAGTCAGCCCATCATGATTTTTCTCCGCGACAACTAATGTCTCCTGTATATTTCATGATAGTACTTCAGTGGCTAGATAACGCAAATACGAGGAGCCAATTGGTTTGAATTACATACCTTCCGCATGACAGCGGAATTTAAGTGGTACAATGCATTTCCACTACCATAAAGAAAACGAACTGACTTTCAAAGTAGCGTACACATACTAGTTATGAGTATTATGGGCTTACATGGAAATTTTTAGATGCATTTACTTTATGCTCTTCACATGACATCATGGCTCATTACTGAATGAAGCAAGTTTGATTGGCTGTAATATGGTACCAGTCTGCTCTTATTGTTGAAAAAGGCTTTGCTTGATGATTAAGTTATGTATGCTTTAGGTGAAACGAAAATTCTTTTTTTGCAATAAGAACTGTGAAAAGTTCAATTATATTTATATTCAAAACACGAAAACCTACAAATAAATGGCGATTGAAAACACAAAGTAGAAGCCGCGAGTGTCTTATGGGGCTATGCCAGCGAGTAGAAGAATGAGGTTACTCTGTGAAAGATGTTCAATGGCTTTCATCCCGAGGCCATGGACCCAAGTCAAAGCTTGCTGGAGACAAAGTAGGAAATATTCTTTGCCTCATAGAGATCCTTGTGGTCTGATTTGATGATGTCCGCGCCCTAGAAGATGCATTAGTTTCCTCGTATGATTGACCAAGATTGATTTGATCACTCACCTTCTCGCCAATCATATATACGGAGTTCTGTATACGGCAGTCTGGAATCACCGGGATAACACAAGCATCCATAACGCGGAGATTGCGCACCCCATGGACTCGGAGCTTGGAGTCGACGACACCTTGATGGATGCTCTTGGACAGTCGCGCCGTACCACAGGGGTCTATGAATTATGTTAGTGCTGTTGCAAGTCTTGATGCGGGTTGATCTTACGGAATCCAGTCTGGCTTCGATCCAAAACAGCCTTGTTCATATCATCGTCGGAATGGAGAGGCATCTTCCAAGGGTATTCCCCAACGACGATGTCCTTGAACCCAGCACCGTTGGTCAGAATATCGTAAGTCCAGCGAACACCCTCGCGCATGGCCAGAATATCCAAATCGTTAGCAAAGAAGTTGAGGTTGATGTTAGGCTGTACCAGGGCATTGGAACTGTTCAAGGTAACTTCACCCTCGGACAGGGGCCGGAGCAGATCGACAATTACAGTCATGTAACTACCCTTCTCAGGCAAGGGGAAGTGCCACTGGAAAGCAGTACTGAAGAGGCCGACAAAGTCAAGCTCGAAGTGCGGCTGACCCGCGGGTCCAAAGGGATCCAGTCCACCATTCGCAGCCTTAGCCTCACGGTAGGCTGGATACTTCTCCAGTCGTTCATCAATGCGAGGGAATCCCACCAGCTCCAAAAAGCCGGAGCTGGCAGGACCAGTTTTGTCACGCTGGTAGGTTGCCAGGGCTTTGTCATTCAGAGGACCGGGGCGGAGAATGTGATCATCCAGGCCATATCCATCCTTGATCTGAAGCACGAAAGGCACGATGGGGTGGTCCAGGAGATGCTGGCCGACGTGAGGGGAGTCCACGATTGGATTGATCCCATGCTTAGCTAGTTCCGTGGCAGGCCCGACACCGCTCAACATCAGAAGCTTAGGCGTCTCAAACACGCCCTGAGACACAATCACTTCCCGGCTAGCATAAACACTGATCTCAGTGTTGGAAGTTTCGCTGACCACAGTGACGCCGGAGCAAATTCGGGTGGCCGGGTCGATGATCAACTGTTTAGACTGAACCCCATAAAGGATCGTCACATTGGGCTTATTTTTCAAGTACAAGAAACTGCCCTGACGCTCACCACGGTGGATGGTATCCACACAATGCGTGAGACCTTTCATTTCACCAGAAAAGATATCTTCAGTGAGAGGTTCACCCTTAGAGACCCAAGCTTGAGTAAGGGCGTCACGGAATGGTTGCATCTCTGGCACCAAGTCAGCATGGGAGATCTGCACAGGACCTCCGGTTCCAATCTTGCTGAGTTCGGCCGGATACAGCTTCTCGTCGTCATGATAAGTGGCACATTTGCGAAGGTAGTCTACGCAGCTGTCCCAGTTCCAGTCACGGCCACCAAAGTCCTCCCAATCGTCAAATGTGGGTTTTGAACCAGGGATCCAGGTGAAGTAGTTGGCACAAGTACTTCCACCAAGGGCCTTTCCGCGGGTGTTGGGCTTTTCAATGCGCTCGTAATCATCGCGCTTGATCATGGTTGTCTTGTAGGCCCAGTCATATTTGCTTCCACGAAGAGTAAATGCCTTCGATGGCGTGGTGATTTGTTCGATTTGGTCCGGGTTCGGGATACCAGCTTCAACAACCAGAACGCGGACGTCGGGGTTTTCAGCCAGGCGACCAGCAACGGCGTTGCCAGCAGTGCCACCCCCGACGACGATGAAGTCGTACTCGGAGCCGTTGGAAACAGTTGCCATGATTTAGATCTGTCCTGAAGAAGAAGAAAAGACGAATAGAAGTTGAGCGTTATTCAATGTCTAGAGCGTTATTCAATGCCTACCAGACCTGAGGTGCAAACACGCTATTAGTGAGCTAAGCCAGTGAGCTTTATATGGTTAGATCTTCATAGCTGCCGAATTCCGAGACAACATAGTAAGGTCAAGTCCTCGCAATGGTAGTACTACCCATTACGGCTATTTGATGGCTCTCCTTACTTGAACATCCTGAAAACGCGTTTCTGTACCCTTAATTGTCATTGCGCAGGCGTCAAATGGAACGGCAGCAGGAATATTTGACCCCGCATGAGGGGTAAGGGTTCCCCGCACGATCATGTAAGCAACGCTGGTACTGTTCCTTCAACCGGTACTGTGCGGGAAAGGTGCCGAGTCGAGTCCGTGGAATGGTGCCGAGTCCGGCGAATACTCGGTGATGAATCGGCTCTCACTAGGCCTGAATCTCGGCCCGCCGATAAGGTTTTACTCGCTTTGCATTGCGCCGGTTTCTATTTGCCCGCAGGCTGTCAGTGTCTATTACGGATTTGTCGCCATATACGTTCCATCCGTTCTACCCCTCACATCATAGTAACCCGATTGCCACCGGGTAATGGCCCTAGTTCTTTGTTATCGAAATGGTCTTTATGTGCTGTCAGAATTTGCTCTAATAAAAGCTAGATCGCCGCCGCCATGGATATAGCATCACAGCACGTGTATTTGGTACCCCAGAACGAGAGATCGCCATGCCAAAGCCTACATTCACGCTGGCAGAAGGTATGTTACTTCAATGCCAAGCACAATATACTCCTGCTAATAATTTGAAAGGCCAGCCAATTGCAAACCCATCTGTAAGCACTACGTTGCCTACTTTAGGCGGCGGAGGCATCACAACCTTGGGTGATACGCTCCTTATTGAGACGCTCTCGCACTTCAACCGTGAGCGTATTCCTGAAAGGTCAGGGGACAGTCCGCCCTTGTAGTGAATCCAGAGCTAACACTGAGCAGAGTTGTTCATGCCAAAGCTGCTGGTGCGTGGGGAGAGTTCGAAGTCACCAATGATATATCCTCCATCACGTCGGCCAAATTCCTAAATGGCGTGGGCAAGAAGACGCCGGTGCTTTTTCGTCTAAGCACTACTGGCGGTGAAAAGGGCAGTGCAGACACTGTCCGGGATGTGCGAGGGTTCTCTGTCAAGTTTTTTACAGAGGACGGCAATCACGACATTGTTGGGAACCACGTTGTGAGTCTTCATTCCTTGGTGTTTTCCTTTTCTTTTTCTAATCCAATCCAATCCAAGCCGGTGTTTTTCGTGCGCGATCCAATTCGATTCCCTTCCCTCAACAGAAGTCACAAAAGGCACCCCGCCACGAACCGACCGGATTGGACTATGGTGAGTGTGGTTCAATCTCTCTTCTTGTTGGTGAAGCTAATCGTTCAGTTCTGGGACTTCCATGTCAATCAGCCAGAGAGTGTCCACGCGTTGATGCACTTGTTCGGCTCCCGCGGTATCCCTAATTCGATCCGGAGAGTGACCGGTTTTGGGGTGCATACCTTCAAATTGGTGGCAGCGGACGGCAGGTCTCGGTACTGCAAATTCCACTTCCGGCCGACTCAGAGCATCACCCATTTATCTGAACAACAAGCCATCCGGATGGCTGGAGTGAATGCCGACTTCCATACCCAGGACCTGTGGGATGCCATCTCTCGCAAACAGTTTCCAGTCTGGAAGCTTTACATGCAGGTGATGGAGCCCGAGCAGGCTGAGACATATGGTCGTGCTCTTTTCGACATCACGAAGGTCTGGCTCCACAAGGATTTCCCCTTGATTGAGGTTGGCCAGATGACCCTGAACAAAAATGTAGGACCGCATTTGACGGAAGGCCAAGGAGCGCATGCTGATGAGAACCTAGCCGGAGAATTATTTTGCCGAGATCGAACAGGCGGCCTTTTCACCTTCCAACATGGTCCCTGGGATTGCCATGACACCTGATCCTAGTAAGTGCATACTCAAGTGTCGCGATCGACAAAGCACTAACCCTTCCGGCCTTTAGTGTTGCAGGCGCGCATGTTTGCCTACCCTGATGCTCAGCGATACCGCTTGGGGGTAAACTACACACAGCTCCCTCCAAACCGCGCCATTTGCCCTGTTTACGCGCCCTTTGAGCGTGATGGCATGGGTACTGTAACCCGAAACTATGGCGGTGACCCAAATTATGTGCGTAGTACTCTGAGCCCAGGCATTCCCAGCCAGGTGGTCTCCGATGTGCGACACACCGAGCGCATCGAACATAATGCTATCCTCGCCCAGAATGAGATTTTGGTTGATGACGAGGATTACGTCCAGCCACGGGAGCTATGGAACAGAGTCTTTGATGAGGCCGAGAAGAGACAGTGGGTGGCAAATGTCTCCGAGGCCTTGGAGGACGTGCCTGCAGAGCTGAAGGAAGCCGTCATGGGGATGTTTAGCGAGGTCGACCCCCGTATTGGGCAAATGATAGGTGCTAAGACTAAGAGTAGCCCGCATCTTTGATAATTTTAATGATTTGTTCTGATGTACGGTTATGAAATGGGGAGACTAGGAGTATGATCTGCTTAAATGTGGTAATAGTCGCAGTCTTAACAAACCCGGTTTTTTGAACTATATACGCTTTCTGACGCGCGTCATTATGGCTTGAAATCTAATCGGGAATTGTTGACGCCAAATGTTACCGCGTGCGAAAGTACGTGGCAGTAAGCTATGTCGTTTCCAACAGTACTGGACCATGTTGGGGAATCGTTCATTATCCTTGGACATATGTAGTTTTAAACAGCCCAGGTTGATGATTCCCATCGCTAGAAATATTTGCGGTTAACAGCAACTCTCGATTTCAGTAAGCATCTCAACGACCGCGTGGTTCTGAAGTTGCATTGATAGGAGAAGCGGGATTTCCGCAAGCGAAACTATGATATTGGGATAAGTCGCGGGCCGGACAGAAGCGGGACGAGAACCGTTGAAATCCTACGGTGAATGGTAACAGAGGTAGTGGTCATCGACAAGCTAGTTTCCTGATAATTAGGATCGATGTCAGGCCGCTTAAGCAGAATCTGGATTATGGAGGCATCTCATAGCCGACGCGTAGCACTTTGACCTAGTGAATCACATCTATTGACTTGAATTTGTTCAAAAGGTAGCTAAGTCTCGTTTGCTTCTTCGTACTGATGGTCAATGGCCAGCGTAAGTGGCGTGTGGGAATTGAGTATGGCATTAATTTTCAATGCGGTAAACCTCATGAAACATCTCATAATATCCAGTCTATGAAGGAATATTGCCTAGTGAATAGCACAACTTCTCTCTGACTCCAGCACTTTCGAGAGGATTGCCATGTGATTGAAGAAGAGATTATACCAGCTAGATGACTCTCTCAGAAAATCATTTTCAAGCCAACAGTACTCCTTTGGCCGTAACCTACATTATAAGGACTACATTCCAATGCAGCCTCGGTCTTAACCGTTACTTACATCTTGTATTCGACTGCAAAAATGTAGATCGCAATGTGGGAATCTCTCGGGAAAAATTCGGGCGCAAAAGTCGGAGTAAGAGGGTGATTTGGCTATCGGCCAAGTCCACAAGACATGAATGTCATTGGTTCGATAGTATTACGCTTATGGGTTGTTCAGCATTCCTCAATGTCCTATTCAACCTGTGATCTTCCAAATTATCGATATAGGAAATACAGATACTAATGCAGATAGTGGTCAATCATTTGCTTTACAATACGTCAAAGCAAAAGCAATAAGTTCTTTTCGATATGCAGGGTTTTTATGCTAGATAGTTGATGGTGACAACATAGTGTGGCCCAAAAGTTTTCATGGCGTAACCTGGCAATTATGACACCTTTCCGCCTCTGTTTTAGTACTTCAAGTAGAATGATGATGATCCCGACCATAAAACTTACTCATATCGCGGGAATATGCACTATCATACTGGCAGGGTGCACGAGAGTATAAATAATCGGGCTAGATATCTTACAACAAATGACTATATATAAACGAATTCCCGTACGCTGAGAAAAAGTAAATGTCATTTTAGTTGACTCAGACCCCGAGTCGAGGCAAAGGCGAAGTATCTTCTTCTTATTTGGACAGTGGTCTCCACGCAAATTGGCCACAGTAAGGCTTGTCGGTATTTAAAGCATATTATTATACATTCAATCGAGCTTGTCCCTTGGGTGGGATACTCGATAAATGGAATAACTTCTTCAAACATTGAACTAAAGAAGCTCGCGACGCGTGAGTTGCTCTGACACTATTGGAATTGAAAGTGACTATCGGAGTGAGCATGGACGCTGCTGAATGTAGGTCATAAAAGGTTTGTCGACATAGTGGACAGCTTGCATCTTGCTTGCACATCCATTTGTCAATACATGGCTGGTGGAAGAAGTGTTCGCACGGCAATTGCCGAAAGATCGACTGGGAGCTCATTTCCTCAAAGCACAGATTGCAGGTCTCTGGATTGTAAGATGCCAAAGGTTATCAGCACTGGAAAATGCAGAGTTAAAACAACTTTTTTTCAGTAGGCTTACCATCGTTTGATTTTCTAGTACCTTTGTGACAGGGCATTGAAGCTAGCACCCGACTGTTCATCGGTCGCGGCGCTCCTTTCATTATAGAAGGCTGATTTGAGTACATGCTAGACATCGTGCGGGGTCGTGTCAGCGTTAGGTATAGCAAATGAGGTAATTCACCGCTAAAGCAGGGTTCGGAATCTCCAATCTGGTAAAAAAGAGGTTTTGGTTCTAGTCCTTGCCATATATCTTTATATCACGCTTTACCACTGTGGCAAATTCATGGAACAGCCTTTGAAGCTTAGCCAAGTATGTAATGATGTGACTTCCCGCCTTTTTCCAAAGCTTAAAGTGTCACTGCGGCGGCTATTGGTCGGCATTTGTTCGGGGAAATAGCATTACCAGAACGGGTTACTGGAAATAGAATTTCTCCTCATGCGGAGTGGATGGGGTGCGGAGATCTTCTTTTCAATAGCATGGATGATACCACAACTATCGCCAAATATTATTGGCACCGCAGATTCATTTGTTAGTGCCAAAAATGTGATCTGTATAGAACTGTCGGCATTCTCGGCCGGTCTGGAACCCTTCAATGACTCATCAATGGAGAGAAATGGGGTATTCCAATATGATTATTGATCCTTGGATTTCGACTAGTAGCTTAGGGTTCCAATTTTTCTTCGCAGGTCGACAACAAATTTGTAGTCACCCCATATTTTATCTCCATTAAACAGCCGCGAAAATTTGACCTGTATACTGTCAGATGTCTCGGGAAGCGCTTGTTTTATCCAAGTTCAGTGGCCCATGGTGATAAACATTAGCATCATGAAAGGAATGCGGATCCTGACACCCTGGTAGCAAAACGTATCAACCACATCCCATTCGTTCGTCGTCCTGATTCGTTCCCAGTGCATGCTCCTGTAGCCGCGGGTACGTGGCTGTCGTTTTGTTGCCCCATCAAGGTTCAAAGTTCTAAGTTCAACATCTTCCCAGAGAACTCATCCGGCCGGTAACGGGAGGAGAATATCAGAGAAAGATGATGGAGGGACAGAACGGAGAAGAGCGAAAGGTATTCCCTGCTCCAGTTTCCTGCACGACCGCCTCCCTGTGACAGATAGAGCTGATCTGGCCGACATATATTTCTCGATACTCATGATCAAGACTCCCGAAGTCTGCTCCAAACCGGAGCGGATCCGAACTACAGACATTCTGATATTATCGCACTGCGCGATAACTCAGCCTTGCCCCTATGGCATCCACGTCCTCGCAATTGAGATCGACTTTCAACAAATCACCGTCACACTCTTGTGTCTTGACGCGTCGCGATCCTAGCCATACGTTGTCCTTCCAGGAGCTTCCTGGGATGCCTATGTATAGCCTATATATATAGATAATCAACCATGGTGACCGCGATAACGAAGAGGCGACTGTCGCTTTCTGTATCTGCTCTATCTCCTGGATCGTCTCTTCCCCCCTTAACACGGCCTGATTGTCCCTGCTCTCCGTGCGCTCCCGATATTCAGATGGCAGCATCAATGGGTATACCCGTATCGCATGCGGTGACAGCAACGAGGATTTGCCGATGGCTGAGTTATTGTGCGATCAGTGCCAGCCGGATTGGCAGATCACCGAGGAGAAGCCCCATGTGATGGAGCTTGATACATCGTTTATCGATAGCAGTCCAGCACAGATACTGAAGTCCATGCCAATCAGCAGCCGCAGCCTCGTTAGTCGATCGATATGGGTAAGCAGCAGTTTAAGTAGTGCGGGGCTCAGTGTGTGGACGTTTGGAGTGCCAATGAGCCAGCAGGGTGGTGGAGACGAGGATATCTGGACTCGTATGGCCTTCTGGCCTAAATGAGACGATAAGATCGATTTCTTGCAAGAGTGCACATGAATACTGACCACGTGAATACAGACGGGAATTTTCGCGATATGTTACAGGCAAGGTGAATCGACAAAAAGGGGTGAGAAAATGCACAATATCCATGCGAAATCCAAGCCGTGGCTCCACGAAACAGGAAAGTCGGCTGGAGATCCAATAAGAGTCACACGGAATAGAAATAGGGCAGCACTGACTTAACAGTGAGAGTATGAGAAATTAACAGAAAATAAAAGTAATTTTGGCAAGAGGATAAGGCAATCAGCGGGAAGATCAGCGAAGAGATTTGGCAGTGGGAAGCACAGCAAAGTTCTAGCAGGCAGATCGCGCAAAGCACTGTAGTTGTGATCCCTTCACTCGAGTCGTTCGTTTTAGGGCACGGAGTAGTACGGTATTTTATCTGCGTGTAGATTTTGTCTCCTTTGGGAACTAAAGAGTTTGGAAAAAACAGTATGTGCTGATCATGGGCACGGGAGGAGCGACGGATATAGAGCGGGTTTAAGTCTATCGCCGATATTCCCATAACCCAGTCAGTAGTTGGAATCTCAGAGCGCCTAGTCAAATGGCGCCTGGGTGGTGGGCCATCCGAACAGCTTCGCGTTTTCCGAAAAATTTCGGAGTCGCGGAGAACGATCTGATAAGGGCAAAAGCGCCAATGTCTTCTCTCACTCCACTCTCTAACCAAGTCATTAACTGGGAGTACTATCAATGGGTGCTCTAGATCACTGGATGAACGTAATTACAATCAATATGGTGCGATGCCAACCGGAACACCCGAAACATAGTATATAGCATCCTTGCTTCTAAAATAGCATCAAATACGTGATATATTGATAAAGTTAACATATTGACTCGTCTCACATGCCAAAAGTAAGGTGTAATTAGACAACCAGATATAACTACCGACTTTATAACGTCTTTAATCAGTCATTTGTCCAATAGATGTACAGTGGGACATGGGTAGCACTACATATTCTTTGCTAAGTGATGACGATTTTACCATTTATTCAGATTGTATAGATAATAAGTAAATACTTGGGAGAAAAATAATAAGTCTAAGCAAGCGACAGAGAACTCCTTTGGGGAATCCCTCCTTCCATACCTTGAGGATAGTCTTCTGTAAATTGTGAATTACTTTGAATATTTTGAAGATTCCGATCCAGCAAGGCAAAAAGAGATTACGAAAGCTACGAAAATGGAATGAGGAAACTCGATCGTATCCCAAGACTATCTCTTAAGAGGACCCAAACCCCTCAAGCCTGGCTGCAACATCGGCTCATTGATAGCAGTTCACCTGGGGCGAAGATCGGGACTTATAACATAATGAGTCAATTTGGTGATATTTTTATATGCATTCAGCTCAGATCAAAGAACAACGCATTGCCGTCAGTAGTACATAACATAATGGGTCATTAGAGCTATTCCTGGCGGTAATCTTTCACAGTACAATTTTCACAGTGCAGTTCCAACCTGTCAGCGTATTTGCCACACCAGTGAGGAATAGTCGAAACCGTCATGTGGAATTAATCATAGTCACCCCATCCACCACCGAGCCGACTTGGAACGGCGGTAAATCAGTTCCGATGGCGGGCGACATGATCTAACAGTGGGCTGGCGCCAGATAGACGACTGAGCTCGTCAGCAGATGGTCAGCTTCGTCTGATCATGGTTGTTTGGGTAATCCAATAACTGGATAAATAAATGTATCCATGGGCCCTAGTCTGAGGCTAATCTTCTGGTCTGTGATACGGAGAAAGGCTCTTATTTCCGACTAATTCCGTTAACCTTACTTCCGTAGTCTCGGCTGACAGCCTCCAGGTTTTTCTGAGCAGTGCCTGGCCTGTACATCCGGGCTTCCGCATGATAAGAGGCTAAGAAAACTTATAAAGAAAGGAAAGACTTATCCAATCTCTAATCCATTTTTAGACTTCGTGGGTCTGTTCTCTCTGATTAAAATCGTGAATTGTTTGAAATTGCCCCAGCACTCCGAAATGTTGGGTTTGAATACTGTTTGGTTTGGTGCGTGAATGGGAAGACGACAAAGAAACCTCGGGTAGAAAGATTTCAGCATTCAGGCTAACTAAATACAGTCACTGGCTGTTCTTCTGGGGTTGGAAAGTCCCTAGCGAGCGCTATATATGCCGCTGGCCACAATATTGTGGCTACCGCACGCAACGTCGATACACTTTCCTATCTGCCGGACGAAGCAAATGTTCTGAAACTAAAACTTGATGTTACTTCTCGAGAGACCATCCTTGATGCCCTGTCTGCTACCGTGGCGAGATTTAATCAACTTGATGTAGTGGTGAATAACGCAGGGTATGCCCTCATGGGTGACACAGAAGCCGTACCTGAATCAGATGCTCGGCTACAGATGGAAACCCTTTTTTGGGGCCCAGTCCTAATCACTCAAAATGCCGTTCGCATCTTCAGAGAAGTCAACCCGGCTGGAAAGGGTGGCACCATTGTTCAACTTTCCTCCATTGGTGGCTACTTGACATTCCCTGGTGGTTCATTCTATCACGCCGGGTATGACATTATTCTTAATCAAATGATCGGGTGCTGACCCAATCACAGCAAGTTCGCGCTCGGTGGATTTACGCAATCTTTCGCTAAAGAGGTGGATCCAAGCTGGGGGATCAAATTTCTGGTGGTTGCCCCGGGTGGGATTCAGACTAATTTTGGCTCAAATGTGCACCTCGAGCACCGTCATCCTGCATATGATACCTTGACAAGTCCGTTTAATCAATTATTTCAGTACATGATGAGCCCGGCTGTTCAAGAGACCTTTTCTCAGCCGGGTATATGTGCCGAAGTTCTCTTTGATGCTATTGTGGGCCAAGACAAGCGACCTTTACCCACAAGGCTCTTGATGGGTGCTGAGACCATTCCACTTGTTGAAGCTGAAAATATGAGAGCCGCAGAGGAGGTGAAAGCTTGGAAAGAAGAGACGATAAAATGCTCAGCCGAAGTTGTCCTGAAAGACGTTCCTTCATTCTGATTCAATCCAAAGTTTTCCAGAATTCGGACAGGCACTTTTCATGAAGTGGATATCAGATGTGGTCCTCTTTATATTAGTTTTAAACAGTCAGCAGTGAAATCTCGAGATATTAGAAGCACAGTGTAAAATACTTAAAGCCCTGAAACTACATTGCTATCATGAGGGCATTATATGGTATCCCAGATAAAATATTATATTGTCGTTGTATGTATACCTGCTGTCTTGGGATTGAATTTCAGTGGCGCCGATCACCCCTTGTTGCTATCTCATAGTAAACAGCCCAGTAGACCGCCGCGAAATTTTCAGCCGTTACACGATTTTGGTCGGTGTGGGTCTGCCCATTAACCCACCCATATCCTTCTTCTTGATTCTTTGGGTTGTGACGACAGGTTTAGGCATGTTTTGGGTAGTGTGCGTCTCGTTCATCACACGTAACACATAGCGGCGACAGCAGCGGAAAGCTGTCATGCGTCGAAACTTATGGAATTGACCTTGATGGCTCAGTTGCCACGTGATTTGTTTTCGATCGACTTTATTTCAACTTATAATCATTCAATAATACTTACTGGCCTTCCACGTCGATAATATTCTTTGTGAGAGCTATAGAATAAATGTCCATGTAAGGGACGACCTTCGACCGCATTGTTGAAGCATCAAGAGCCAAAAAATTGGAAGAGTTTGCTTACTTCTGCTCTATAAAGAATTGCTGAAACGACAGCCCACATGAAGAACATAGAGAAGGATTTCGTCTTTCAATAGACTCACCGACAGGCCCATATAGATCAGCCAACCGAAAGAATACATACGGAAAGCGGGAGGCTTAAGTGGCCACTCCATTCCTGACTTCAAAGAGGGAGATGACACAAACAAAAACAGCCACCCCAGGGGAGAGAATGAAGATATGACCAGCGTAGAGATTGCCCATGTTTTGGCCCTGCTGAACTGTATTGGGTTTTGAGGGTCGAAGCAACCCCATAAACGGATTTATTCTCATACGTGATTAGTCAACATGTTTTCTCCTGATCTGCCAATCAGTCAAGTCGCTTCAAGATGATTATTTTGGGCTAAGGAAGTGAAGATTTTAATATATGATTAGTTTGTGAGCCCGTTGATTAACACAATAGTTAACTTGTCATGAGATAACTAGCACTGCTGCCGGAACGACTGGTGTCACCTTGGTGGGGTAAAGTACATGAAATGGTATTACTGGTTGTCCGGGGAGTAACGTCAACACTCGAACGGGGTTTGATGATGACTCAGACGGCCAACTGCTCCTCCCCTTTTCCTGCTTCTCCGAAGTATGCTCAGTGATAAGGCCTACTATTTACAGACTAGTTGACACGACTACTTCCTTGGTACTGACGAATCAAATAATTTGTTGTATATTAGATCGAATCACGGGTACCACCGTGGGATATCTGCAGCAAAGGGGTGAGATCATGAATAAAGGCTCCATATTTAAAACAGCTTTGAATTTCGCAGCTGACAGTTTACATTGCTTAGAATAATACGCAACCATACCTGGTGATAAGGTTTACTCCGCTCCAGCACATGGGTATAATGGATTAATATTATGAACCATAAACCTCGCATTAAGCATTATCCATTGAGTTCGGTGCGATATCGTGAAATGCTGGCACGAAATTCATGGAATCACAACCCAAAGTTCCGGCTTTCCCCCTTGCCGGCCAATTTTCTGGTTTCATCATCCTCCGTTCAGGGCAAAGCTATAGTGGACTTTAAATCGACCCTGAGGATTCTAGGATTCTTCAAATAGTACAAACTGGGAAAACCACGACTCTTTTATTCCCCGGACTGAGTATATGATTCTCATCGTTACTATCCTCATCGAGCAGCTCCAGGGTACTCGGTATTGCTGCTTCTTGCTATCATCCCTGGCCTCTTATCGATCGTACTCTCGCCGGCCAAGTGAACTGGCATAGACTTTTCGTTGGTGTAATTCTTATCCTCAGGTTGTTCTCCTCATCATCATCACTGGTCGCTTCTGCGAACAAAGCCTGATCAAAGCCGAAATGATAACTCGCCTAGAATTTCTCTGCTTAGAAATCATATCGCAAGGCAGCATCTAATCTTTTGATGAAAAATCTTTCCATATTGAGAGGTACTTTATATTTCGGATGAATTTACGATCAAAATTAACAGCCCAATCTAAGTAGGTTTTAATGTGGTTACCAGGCCTCTCCAGTCCCCCAAAAATTGATTTGGTGTAACAGCAATATTTTAACCATTTCGCAGTTTGAACCGGTGATTTCCCAACCATGCGAGTGTGCCATACATTTATTAGGACCTATTTCTATTCTTTGGCTAAGCCAAATTTGCACTATATCATGAAATGCTGGAATGCAGCTTTCTTTGCTTGGGCTCCGCATAGCCGGCTCCATGACCGGCCTGCATAACCGGCCTGCCCCATAACCGGATGGTACTAAAGTCGGGACTAAGCTGGAGTGATAATATACTAGACATGATGGGGCCACGTTGAACAGAGGCTTAGACTCATTCGTCTACTTGGGTCATCTGAATATTCAGCATCAACTAAACAGTCGTTTACCTTTCGACCCCGACGTCTATACACCATAGCAAGGTCGCAGGCCCGGAAAAATGAGCAAATTAGAGCAGGAAATTAAGATACGCTTCAAATATGCGGCTCGCTTTTTTGATCTTCCGTGTATCCACCTTTTTGTGTCTTTTGTGGCACGTGCGTTTCAATATGGCTCTATCTTATAATCATGAACAGCTTAAAAAAGCTATACCTGCATTGATCAAGCCCAAGCAATCAAACCTTCTATTCATGATGTGAATGCTGGACGAGCTAATTTGAAGCGCTCCTGAGCAGAGGTCAGCAATCCATTCATTTGCCTGGAAGCATCTAACACATCATGGATTAGGTTCTGGTTGCAGGTTGTCATGAGATTCAGTTAGATCTACAATGTCATAAATACGAACGCGTGGGACAATGAGCCTGGCCTGTCAATTCTCATGTTTATGGTGGTGGGTATCTCAGCTTTCAAGTGATACAACATTTCCTAGGTCTGACATACTATTTTGCTCTATCGGAGTTGGAACATTTTCAGTGAATACTACCTTGCTCCGGAGAATCTATTTTCAGTTCTACCTCAGGATTGCTGGTTAGCTCTGATGTAGCTTTGTGGGTGCAAAAACCTCTACCGAATTCCACTTCCGAGGGGTTATCACATAACTTTATCAGCGTTGCGTTGACAGTAATGGCCAGTAAAGCTGCGATCGGGGCTTGCATGAGGGCCACGAAAACCTCTTGGGCATGAAGCTTCACTCAAACGAAAATATGTTTTCCGAGTATACACTCCGGTGGGGCTTATTTCATTATTTAGTCACCCATATAGCTCAATAATATATCTCTTATACTTTCCTTCTTCTCAAATGCAAGTAGTTGGAAGTGATCAAAATTTGGAGTTGTGCTAGATTTTATTCCGTTCCAATTTAACTGAGACAGATTTGGGCCACCAAACGCGAATCGTGGCACCGCGTCGCAACCTACCATCTTCAACCCCACATTCAAGCAGCCAATATTCACGAAAACGTATACAATCTAACTAAAACCCCGGGGCGAAAGGATGCAAGCTATTTGGGAAAACAAATTACTATCATACTGTATTTCGCACAAATCCAATGCATTACACGTGACACTCCGATGTCGCTCCGCAGGCCATTCTCATTGGGCTGTTTCGCGCACAAAGTGCCATAAAATGATTCAATTGAAAGACAGACCACTTATAAATTGGACTGAATTTATGTATCGTTATGTTGCAGCGTCTTAAGCCTCTCATTTACGATAAATGGTCGATAAATGGTAGAAATATACTCATGTAGCGTGAAAATTCACTGATCCAAATTATTGGCCAAAAACGGGGTTTCAATTTTATTCAGCCAGAAGCAAAGACTACTATACCATTTGCCTATGTTCAACAAACAATCATGTGATATGAAGGTCTACCTAAGGATATCTATGACTTTGATAGACAGGCTGTGTGCTATCGGTCCCACAGCGACTGCAAGAAGTTTTACACATGCAGACTTCACTGCTCGGGGACCACTTTTACAACCTGGAAAATTTCAATGGGTGAATGCCCTTGAATACATCAGCGCTTCCGGCTAGGCCCTGTCACCTCGTTTGATTCTCAGGGGCACATGTGTATTGAAAGCTGGCCTGAAGAACTTGTACACGATTGACCCTTTGAAATTAACTTTCATGGATGGACTTTATATTCCGTTGGTCTTTGGTAACGTCAGATCACTTCATTCCAGCAGCTGATAGTCGTACGCATGGGTGATCTCGACTACTAGTTCTTGATGGGCATGGGGGCCATTTAACGTCGTGATTTGATCAGGTGTACAAAGAGAATCATGTTATTCCTCTTTTCATCCTGCTCAACTATCCTCAGTATCTCTAACCTTTTGTACGAAGCTGCTTTTCCTATTTTTAAAGCGATCATATGGTCGTCATGGTTGCTTCAAACGAAATCGACAAAGTTGATGTCCTTGCAGCTTACCCCAATTACACTGCACATTCACCGGTGCGACATTTTGAGTATTTCCAAAGTTGCTTTACTGCTACAGAAACAGTAATACCCAAAAACTTTCAAAGCCAATATTCAGCTTCGTACATCGACACCTCCTTGAAGTCAGTCAAGTAAAAATGAACTCAAAACAGCATAGAATATTATTAAATTCGAGTGATAGGCCTACTGAATCAAGGATTTCATTAAAACTCACTCAAAAAGCACTCAAAAAATCAATCTCGATCCTCCCAGCCGGGCTACAAACTATATTCTAAAGGCCTGTCAAATGAGTATGGTTTAGGGGTTATTACTTGAGAAAAAAAACACATAAACTACGTTCCGCCAACAAAATTAAACAAAACATACATTTTAGCCAAGAAGAATACGGATTTAAGAAGGGAGGACCACTGATGAGCTTCTTGGGGTCATAAGGCCGCTAGTTGAAGCTGAGAAAGCCCCAACCCGGCTACCGCAGCGCCATCCGAGGCACTTATTTTATCAGCTCAACCTAGCAGGAGGACATTAGCATTGTAAAGTGTTTGGATTGAAAAAGACAGATCTTATCATTGCCTTCATCAGCTAAATACTGAATATAGGGTGGATCTGGGCATTATATGTGCATTGAAAATAGCCAGGTATTGAATAATGTCCCGCTCCCTTACAAAAGACCTGCTCGCCCACCGATTTTGCTAAGTAGTCACTGGGGTCTATCGACCTGTAGTTCTTACGGAACATTCCGCCATGAGAAATGAGTAATTCAACGAGCCCAACATTAGCCAATGCGAAAAAGTGTGGCCTGGTAGGACTAGGATACGAACGCAAATTAATCCCAAAGTTAAAAACACTTTTCGTAGCCAGGAAAATATTGCCGAAATTAAAGTCGGTTCTATTTCACGAAATAGTGTAGACGAGGAACAATTAATCTAATCAATCTTCTAGTTCCTTGTACTAGAATGTATTTTTTTTGCTAGTCAACTAAGCGGCCAAAATCGGCGAGGAACTTCCAATGAACAGCTTGCTTCAGTCCTTCCTTTCGCCACCTATCTATGCTCTTCTCCGGAAAGAGCCACCTCATTCCAAGGTCATCCTTTTCCTCAAATAGAGACAGCGCATGATTGTCATGGGCGAGAAGTAAGAAGACATTGTCCTCAGCATCGAATTGTGCGATGCCTTCCAATGTTGCGAGACACTCATTGTAATCATGTGTATAATTCTTTGCAGGTTGAAAAAACGGTGCGGTTTGTCCATAACCAGAGGTTTGGCTCGACTGGTAATTGGTGGAGGACGGTGAATAAAGCGGAGCCAGGGACGAGGGCCGAAATTCTCCTGGGTGATGGGCGCAATCCTAAAAGCAATGAGTCATTTACTATCCATACCATTTTAAGGACTCTGGAGCTGCCTTACTCCAGCCATGAGAACATATGAGTCCTCTTCTACCCTAGCGAGGCCACACAGATGGCCAACAGCATGCCCTGGAGTATGGAGGATGAAAAAGCTCCCATCTCCGAACCAGTCGAGAGCTTTGAACTGACCAATTTGCAAAATATCGCCGTTATCCCCGAAATCAAGCTCTACCAGCTCTCGTCCTTCCCAGTCACTGGCTAAAACAGGTGCATCCGGCTCATTAGGATATCCATTGCCGATCGCCGCCCTGGACCCAGGCCCAACAATCAATTTCGTACCTGCCGGAAACAAAGCCGGATTGCCAACATGATCAAAATGAAAATGTGACCATATTATGGCGCGCACATCGGGCAGCCGGACTTCATTATCGGAGAGGACTTCGGAGACGTCCCTTGAGGTGGAGAGATGCCAATCGTGAAGGGGATTGCGGATGGCATCGACCACCGTCGGGGCTAAGTTTTCAAAATCTTGACGAACAGACAGATCAAATAACAATTTCTGCCCAGATGTGTGAGTAATTAAGAAGCAGAAGGAAGGGCCCTTGAGTCTGGGGTAGCCGCAGACTTTCGGCTGCACAAACTGCTCTGTCGGTATGTCGATTCGGGTGCCACTTATTTGGCAAATTATTAAATGAATAATCCGAGAGGAACTAGGAATACATACGAATCAACAACATGAACCGACACCGTATGAAAGGATTTCGGAAATATGATTTGATCAGTCGCTAGATTTTTCGAATCCGCTTTTTCCCCATAATATTAGAACTTCTCGGGAGAGGGAATAGATGTTCAGAAGGGCATGCGCTTTGTTTAATGTGCCTGTGGGAGTAAGACTACGACTCTCCGGGGTTAGAGTTGCCGGAGCTGTGAGTTCTTGTAGTAGTCAGTTTGCGCGCAATTCCACAATGGTAACTGAATTGCACTACATAATGGATGTTCTTGCGGGTTAAATTTAACTTGAAAATCGGGGGCGCAGCTGATGTAATGGTTGACGTAGTACAGACTCTACCGAGCATTGAATGACTTGGTTTGATGGGACGAAAACCTACCTTGCGGGTACAGTAATCACCAGCAAATAGTGTCGATATCAAACAAGGGCAGCATTATTTGTTCTATCGGCCGATCCGCTTTTCATACCAATATTCTATCGGCCAAAGCTTGGTCACTGACCCCGAGTGTACTGTCATCGACCCACCGCTTCCGATAATCGTCGTGCCTATCCTCGTCGAGAGCGAATATAAATTTGACGATCATCGATGAGACGGCTCAATTTACTTGGCTGGCCAACCCGTCAGACCTTCTAACCCAGCGGCAAAGGCGACACCCCGATTCGTGGCCGACCATCCTTGCGGTGGTGTCAAGGAGCAAAGCGCTCAAAACCATGCTCAGAAATTGGCAAGCGCTGGTTTGGCGACGTTAGGCTTTCCGTGGTATATTCAAGGCCCAATTAGTGAAAGAAGTTGTTGTAGTGTCTTCGTTCATCATCAGTGATGTATCGCAGTCAATTCCCTAGATATGATATAACCGATTATACTATCAATGCAAGGCCACAGTGATTCCTAAAAATATAGTGATAAGGATGTATTGCAGTATGCTTCTCAAGCCTTATCTTCAATGGAGTGGTGAGCCCTTTGATGGGATATTATCCAGAAGTTGCGGCTACAGTTTTTCCATACATCCCGGAAAAGCATCCCGGAAATCACATTGCATAAAAAGGCCCATGTCCTCTCCTGGTTACAACGAAGAAGTTAACTTTCTTATATTGCTCTATCCTCATCCTTGCCAGCATTCATATTAACTCCGAGATTATTCGACCAGTCTCGATGGCGCTCTTCAACGCCACGACAAGTAAATTGGTTTTAGGACGTGCTAAGGAACGGCGACTAGTTAATATGAATCTCCGCTTTAGTCGTCAGTTTCGTGAAGCTCTGGGACGGTTGGGATATGACCTACATATGAAGCGAATCAATGTGTAATTTTAATGGGTGGTACAGCTCTTGAAAGGCCATGAGGGTTGAGAAACAGTCACCAAAATCTCAAACAAAATGGAGATTCTCCCACAGAAACCCTGTTTCTTGATCTGAAATAGACGGATGTATCATATTCAACTGGTCCAGCCAATATCCCTGATTAAAAACGTCGGGTATCGACTGCGAAAAAAAAATCCGGAGATCCATGCCAAGAAAATGTGTTGACCTGAGAGGATTCTGACTGCAAATTTGCGCATGAATCAAAATTTCGAAGTCCGAGATCATTAACCAAGGTATACAATTCATCACCAGGGGTGCTGTGGGGGGCGGTTCTAGGCTCGGAAGTGCTATTGGGCGATTCACAAGTGATCTTCACTTTTTGATAGCAGTGCTCGACAATCTTCAAGCCTGATCTGGCTACAGGATTGGTAGACTGCATTTTGGAGAGGTCAGTAATAGCATACTGGAGGCTTTGGTCAATTATCTGTTTAGCGTTATGGCTCGATGGTGGGAATAGCATGGCGATGATAGTGATGAGAAATGAGGCGTCGACCGTATAGAATGCCAAGCCAAATAAGTGATATTGATCTTTTTCAGCCTGTGCGAAAAGGCACCGTTGACAGTCAAGAGTCTGAAGCGCCGCCTGCAAAGCGGCTCTCCGACTCTCTTCTGAAGAGAGAACATGTGGCCGATGCAATGACATAACGAATAAGTTCAGCATAACCTGCAACTCCTGACGAAGCTGGGGAAGATAATGATACTCAAGGTCCCAGGTAGTGTCCGCATTTTTGAGTCGCAAGAAAGGAGGCAGTTCGTGCATCAACGTCAATATTTCCTCGTGTAAAGTTTGAATAATCGTGTAATCATTCAGACGAGGGCTACCTGATTTAGTAGCCCTCATTTTGTGCACTTTGCATGCAAGAGCGTATCGGAATAGGGACGCGGAGATCATTATCGGGCTGCGGGTATCTTCCGGGCGCACTGCCATCGGTATCGCGGTGGAAGGATCCCGGGGAATATTGCAATACAAAGGCGGCTTTGCATCACAGTCATCCAAATTTATCATTCGAGGACGGCCGAGAATCATCGCCATGAAGCTTAAAAAATTAGATGATGAAAATCCACGTAATACCCCAATTTACCAGTCTCACCTATCCCAGACGAACAAATTGATCCATAGACGCTTCTTGTTCTCTTCGTACCAAAACAAGCTTAGCGTTTTACCAACATTTCCGTGGGGAGCCTGGTGGATTTCTTGTTGCTGATGAAGGCCAAGTTCTTGTGCCTGTCTATATATTGATACCAATAGATTAACCTGATTTGTGCACAACCTGATTAGAAAACATTCTGGGTCGTACGAACCTGATAGCAGATCCAACCGTGTGCCAAGACTCGGTACCTCGTCCGCAGTTCTTCAGCCACGATGACCGCAGAAATTCCGCTTGGATTGCAGTGAGAGCTAATCCAGGTCTCCCTAACAGCGACAGTAGCTCGTCGCCTAAGTCGCTGTATGTCTGCGAAGACAAAGATCTGGCTGCGGGTAAGTTGCTCAAGATATCCCAGTCAACTGGTGCGAATTGCAGCGACAATGCAAGAACCTGAAAGAGCAAAGCGGGAAAATATCGTATCTCAATGGAAAGTTCTGTGGGCGTTAGGTAGCCCAGACCCTGCATGTCTTCAGCAGGTGGCCATCGAGAAAGTAAGCTATCAAAATAAAATCTCTCCAGGATAAAGTAATGCCAATTAACATTCTCAAAGAAGAAATTCACGAGTGTTTGGATGATAGGTCTTGGCGGCAATTTTCCAATGAACGTCTCGATATCCTTTTTGTTGAATAGCACGGTTCGTGTTGCATAGTTGCGTGGAGTTGTGATGTTTTCAAACTCCTCATTCCCGATGATCTCATTTCAGTCAGTAAGTTCTTGGAATTTATATTGTGAGAAGCATTTTGCATACTTCTTGCAATCCCGCGTAGGTATTGCTGCCTGAAGCCAGCGAATAGCCAAGGTCGGCCGAGCCTTGGGCCGTTGGCCCTTCTACGGAGCTAAGTGATTCTCTTGGGTCTGTGCCAGCCTGTGCATCAAAGGACGATCGCTGGTGCTCTTTTGGCGACTTGACTCTTAAGGATCGAAGATAGACGGTTCAGAAATCGCAATGTCCGACTGAAGCGAGAGCTCATTACTTACGGGGAGTATGTATCGTAAACACATTGCGCAGTGACATTTCGTGATATGCAATTGATGCATGGAGTTTTACGGTCGCACTGGATGGACATCAGACGACAGAAGATCTTTTCAAAGAGATGCAGAAGGCAACGATTTCGAACCTTTTGCTTTCGGCGATAACACTCGGAGCAAGATGTCACCACTCGTTTGCGTTTAGACGACTGCTGCATACTCGAGGCCGACATGATCACCACCGTCCACAATCCCGGAATGAGAAGCGACAGCAGAAAGTAGACCAGCTTGTTGGTCTGACAAGAAGCGCGTGATGGGCCATTGACAGCACTAGCCAAGAAATTGTCCTTGATTACGTAAGATGGCATGTGAACGTGACCATAGCGTCCGGTTCATAGTTTTCCCGAACTCCCAGGCAGAACAGAAGTAGTATCAAATTCAGACTAGCTTACTATCTCATTCGTTCGTGGAACTGGGGGCCCACAACAAATTCCAGCATTTGAACTGGACGCTTTCTACACCGCCCTCCTTCCGGGGGCCGTAGAAAACAGAAGCACATCCCTCGAGCGGACAAGATGTGCCGCTACCCAATGACGTACGGTCTTCCACACGACCCGAAGCGTTTCGGTTTTCCCGACAGCCGTCGGCCGAAAACGACCTCATGAGAAGCATCTCGTCGCAGATATGGGAGGGTAGTCACCCTTTGAACTTCAGACCACTTCACAACACATCCCAAAAAAATCAAACCATCAGGTCCTATTACCATCCTACCTACAACGAAAATCCTTAGTATGCTAGTCATTGCCTGGTAGACCGCAGCTAATATTTATTTTCCACGCCATCTTGACTAATTCATACGGCACTCAGTAGACTTATCCCTGCTGACACCTCCCCGACTCATGCCAGGAGCCTGCTCTTGCTAACATGGAGAGGCCATGACAGATTTTTGTTACCTTTAGCGCATCTTTTCAGGCTATCTAGAATAAGAAGCCTCGGTTCATCGCAAATCCCGAATTACGCGTCTCGACGTCCGATGTATTGTCGACTGAATTCAGACCATGCTGCTAAAGTGTGGGTGCCTTGAACACCACGCCTCAGGTATCCAATCGCCCTTTAACCATCTCTCACCTCAGTAGATAGCCATCTCCATCTAATCCAACACCTTCTGAGTTTCTCCTGTTCCTCAGTATCTAGCAATTATCATATGTTGATACTGAGCATATGTGCGTACTCGGTATTGATGGTGCAGGTGGCTATGCGATAAAAGCATCTCTGGCTGATTGTCGCTCCAAGTGCTGCATTGGTAGTGCTGTGTTTTGTCCGACCGATAGTAAATAGTATCTGCACATGTTATGGATGAAGTTCCGATGATTATGTTTGCATGATTGCTTATTCTAGCGATCAAATCTTGCAAGCTCTGTTCAATGCCATAGTAACTACATGACAGGCAACACATATGAAATGAAGGGAAACAGAGGTGAATGATTGAAAAACGTGGTTAAAATGTTTTGATCTATATTAAACAAATAACAAATTTTACTTCAACACAAGCCTTGATCTGTCAGTACAGCACGCGGGTAAAGACAGCTAGGAGCGGCACAGAAGCCTGCGCAAATTATGACATAGCACGAAATACTGAGACTTGTACACGGATCCTTTTCAATAATGCACGTAGGAAACTTCCAACAAGTTGATTTACCAACAAATGAGAAGACCATACCCTTGACCTGCGGCTTATCGTTGACCTTGATATTTCGAATCACTATGACCCATGGTATGGCACAGACCATGATACCCATGTCAATGGAAAGCAGCAGTCCAGCGTCCGATTCTGGTAGGAGCCCCAAGTGGATATGTATCATCATATGCGTAGTCGGGTCATTATGGATTTTATCAAAATTCCAAGAAGTTGATTCAGCCAGATACATCTACAAAGCCGAAGTATAACTTAATAATATGTTCCCAAGCAGTAGTGCTGATAGTTAGACCTCACTGCTGGCAGTTGTACTGACCACATACAACGAGAAAAATGCGGAGGCGAAGTCCTGTTGATCAAGACCGGCTGGAATGGACAGCTGTTCTGTGGTAATGAAGACGCATCTAGCGAGAGCGGTGAATACCTAATATATCACTTGGCTTCCAGTACTCATTGCGGCATAAAGGCAATAGATCATCAGACCCTGGGTACAAATTCAGGGTGGCATGACGATATACAGAAGTTGCTTGTAGCGACTGCCGGCTAAACTATCCATCATTGCTCAAATTTTAAATCAGAACCCGGAGAAATGGATAAACTGTAGGAAAGAATGCATTGGGAAGAAGAAAGATAAAGAATATTTGTAAATCTCAACTTGTTCTTCTTTCACTCGCGTCAACAGGTGCAACTTGCTTCCATTCTTAGACCCAAATGTAAAATTCTTCTATTGGCCAAATTTGCAAGGAACAATATCAGTTCTTTTATGCTACGGGCGAAATACTGTCAAGTGGGAAAGTCGAGCGAGGGGAGGGCTGGGAGATGATGGAGAGAGATAGATATATATGTTTAACTCATATACAAGGGCCAAGACTACCTATGAATTAATTGATGCCACCAACCAATGCACCGCAGTTTCTTAACCTTCTGTGCCCAACTTCGAAGAGACAAATTCTCCAGATACATTGAGCTCTGTTTATATTACGAGACTTAATAAGTATCAGTAAACAACTACATTATTCTTATGTTGGCCACAGCGACGTATATATGTATCCGTAGACCTTACCATTGAAAACACAAATAGCAGATGGACCAAGGGGGATCTCTTCTCAAACTTTATAAACATACAATTGAATTTTATGAACAAGATCATACTACAGATACTTTGATATCTCATTCGTCTATCCCATATTGATCTGGATATATGGTAAGGTGTTTAGCGGCGGGTGGAAGATAAAATGGTAGAAGGACCGGCACGAAAACTTGCACAAAGATTTGTTTTGAAAGGCCAGTCGTATTATAGCAAGTGGCAGTCACTATAGTAGATTCATGGATATATCCACATGCAGCGGATGGAAAGTTCATACGTCAACAAAAGATAGTAAGAGCAACTGTATTTATAGCAGAGGTCCTGCAAACGCAGGCCGGGTATTAAATCCCATTTTATCTCGGAAATTTACAGTTTCGCGAGCTGTGATGACCATTTATCGCTGATCCCTTTGACGATCTCATCTTCCCAGTAGTTTGGGTTAAATGTAACTTGGTTGAGAGGATTGAACTTGTGTGCTCGGTTAAAGAGATCTTCGTACACATTCCCATCGTATCGACCCAAGGCACTGGGATAAGGTCAGTTTCCACAGGGCCATTAATTATCGACTCCAATATTTTCCAATGAGACAAATTACCTATCGAGCAGGAAATCTGGAATTTTCCATGAGTCAACCAAGTTAACTGCGTGGGGCCTTATCTTCCCCATGAGTTCTTGCACCCGACTGGCTAACTTTTCCACGTGGCAATGGGAAATGGCCCCAGATCGTAGAACTGGAACATCCATTACTAATTAACTTCGTTGAGACCGTCAGGTTTTCTTCTCTTACAGTCGTAACCCACGGACTCCATCGTATAGAACGCAAACAGGCGGTACAGGTCCCAAAGTGTCGATTTTGTAGGGCCTGGCAATGTATTCTCAGTATTAAGTGCGTTGAAAAAGGAATTCACAATTATTGCTTGAGATTGGGCTCAATAAAATATCGCTGTCAGCTGTATTTGTTTTCTGTGACCGGGAACCCATCTCAGGGGATTATACACACCTGAGCTAGTTTTATGCAACTGAATCATAATCTCTGTCCATGGCCTTTTTTCAAGCACTCTGGCCTCGTATATGTCATAGGTCTGTATACCAAGGAAACTCAGTCAAAGCACTGACGACTGGAGATTGTTTCACCACCTACCAAGATTGTCGCTCGTTGTTGGAAAGCATCAACAATGGCACGGTCGCTTGCATATATATCGCATGGAATCGGCGACTGCTTGCTTTGTTTCATATCCAGGAAAAGTTTGAACGATTGGCCCAGTTCGTCGTGATTATCGTCGTCCATATTCATCACGACCCCCGTCATGCGCTTAATAAGATAAGACGCAACTTGTTGTGTAATCATCCAATTGTCCCCTTCCACTGTAACGCGAGACAAGTAATCAGGACCCAACCGCGTAAACCCACTCGCGCCTCCATAGCCATGGCCGCCCAAAGCCCGTCGACATGTTTCGATTCCGTCAGCCACGATGTTGGTACATAGACTTTTCAATCCGGAAGACATGCTGTGCATATGTGCTAAGGTGTGCAATTCTCCACGTTCAACGTGCTGTCGGGTATCCTTGTATGTTTCCTGCATTGCTAATCCAGTGTAGTGAAGGGCATAGGTCGTAGCGAGCAGCGGCAACACGCGAATCTGAACTGTAGGGTAACTCAAAACCGAGACCTCCGGGCCATCTCTATCATCTCTGTGCGTAAATTGTCGACGAATTGAGGTATAGCGCACGGCAATTGTCACTGCTCGGGCCAAGGCCAATCTAGCCTGGTGAACAATCAAGGATCGCACAAAGGTCATTGTGCCGTAAAGTATGCCCTGAGTTGCTGGCTTTGAGTATGCACCTGACTCATAGTCAACCTGGCAGTATTTTGACAACAGTGCTGAATGTGGCACTCTAGAAGCCATGAGTCAGAAATAATCCATCCATCTGTGCGCCCAGCCACATGGCAAATAGTGAGTAAGTCTTACCGGAAATTGTCAAACAGCATATAAGCGTTATCGATGGTAGCATAGCCCAACTTAGGACCGATATCTCCGATTACGATCCCGTCAAAAGGTTGGTGAGTGCTCATATCACGAACTTGGACGATGAATGGATGAGGCCCATAAGATGCATATTCCGGAGAGGAATCTTGTCCACTTGAGCTGGGAAGAAGCAGTTGTGCAACCACGATAGCGTGATTAGCGATGCGACCCAGCGACCCATTCCACCATTTGCTGGCTGTTAAAGTCGGACTATGAAGGATGAACTCCTTTGTGCTCGGATCCCAGCGGGCTTCGAGCTCCAATCCTTGAACGTTGCTTCCATGTCCAAGTTCAGTTTGAGCGTAGGCCCCAATAATCCGAAAACTTTCAATGAGAGGAAGGTAATGTGATTTTTGAGAATCAGAAGCTTGCTCTTTGATTGTCGTCACGAACATGTGCATGTGAAGATAGTAAGGTGAGACATCATCGATCAATGTCTCCGCCATCTTGTAATCATAAATATCCCAGCCATTTTCGTCAACAAGCCGGCGAAGCCGTTTGGCTCGAGCGAGAGCCAACTTGAAAACTTCGATTCGAGAAAGGTTCGCTTGGTTCATTTTGTTAAAAAGAGGCTCTTGCTCTAAGAGAGGGAGGATTCGTAATTGACGATCTAGGAATCCATCATAGGAAAGGAGATGATGCGCTAACTCATCGACAGAAATATTGGACTGGGTCCGCTGTTGAAGCAAAGTTGATGGACCGTCGGGCTTGCCGGGTCGCAGCTTCTGAGTAAAGTCACTCATAGTGACAAGCTCCCAAGTAAAACTGCTCCTTGTATGTGTGTAAGAGGGATTTGGCATCAGGACAAAATGTTCCTAAATAAGCACTTCATACAGTGCCCTTGTCAATGAATTCTTGCCTAAATCTCCTGCTTACCGAGGCCTGGTATGGGCCATTGCCCAGGCAGGCCCATGCATGACAGAGCATAGCCGGATTATTGCCGAAGTATAGAAATGTGTATTAAGATAGAAGGGGACAAATTACCTGACTCCCGATTTCCCCTGACTTAGAATACAGTAGTAAAGTGAATGCTCAATACATTAGGGTCTCTGACATAGGGAATGGATAATATGCACTTGGGATCTTACAAGGAGAGCCTGCAGTAGCCTGAGTCTGAGCATGAACTTGAATTATATTTTAGTCCACGTACGCTCAACAGAATAGCCTTTAAAAAAATGCTGCTGCTACGGAAACAAAGCCGATGCCTGACGCATATATAGACAGGTGTATGTATATCTTAGGCAACCCAAACAGTTTTCTAGAGAGAAATACTTGAGGAAATACCACCCGTGACAATTTGCCAAAATGCTTTATCCGTCGAAGAAACCGCTTAAAATACGTCCGGCAATCCGCTTATGAAAAAGTCAGCTTCTTCATGATGATGGAGGAGCGACCATCTAAACGCAATTTCATTGGCTTACAGCTACGGGGGAGTACGGAGGTTCTCTCAATTATCTCCGTCGATTACCGGCAATTTCCTTACTGCCGACAGTGACTTCAACAAGCTATCCTTATTGGCTCATTGCTCTGTAACGTGAATTCGTGCTCATTTAAAGCAGCCGGTAGAAACAGTGTCTCCGGGCTTCCGTATCGGATGTTTAAAAAGGCAATATGCATGGACAATACCAGCTTTGAGAATCGTTTCTTCGTTTCGCTAGACCTCGGTGAATGGACTATATATTGAGTATCAAATAAAACCCGAACATCTCTCCACAAATAGTGCTGATTGAAGGCTGGAACTTCATATTACCCGAAACCTTCTCGACTCAAACACCGCACAGACAATGGCAACTGCAACGCAGGACAATGCTTATGTTTTAGGTGTTGGCATTGCGGCTTTCCTGAAGCCCCGCGGGGAGAGGATGTATACGGAGCTCGCGTTTGAAGCCGGGGCTAAGGCAATGTTAGATGCTCATATCACATATGACGATGTTGAGGTCGGAGTAGCATGCTATGCATCAGGCCCAACCTGCAGCGGGTAAGAGTCTAAATCAGAACACGTGTCTCTCCCATGTTGAATGCTTTTTAGTCAACGTGCGTTCTATCAATTCGGCATGACCGGTATTCCCATATACAATGTCAATAATGCCTGTGCAACGGGGTCGACCGGGTTGCACCTCGGTCGATCCTTCGTGAGATCAGGGGTCCATGACTGTGCTTTGGTGATCGGATTTGAGCAAATGCAACCTGGTCCACTCCACAGTAACGTTAAAGACCGACCGACTCCGTTTGATTTGAGTATGAGGTTAATGGAAACCACCCGGGGAAAGACCAAGTCTCCTAAGAATCCACAAATGTTCGGCAATGCCGGACGGGAATACATGGAAAAGTAAGTCAACCTATTTTATTGTTAGACATGTACTTCCACTCACACTGTCATTCTAGGTATGGCGCGACAGCCGAGGACTTTGCGGAAATTGCAAGGATTTCACACGAGCACTCGTCAAGGAACCCGTACGCACAGTTTCGGACCGTGTACACTCTCGACGAGATCCAGAAGTCGCCGATGATCCATTATCCGCTGACAAAGCTACAATGCTCACCGACATCGGACGGGGCAGCAGCAGCAGTTGTCGTGTCGCAGAAGTTTCTCGACGCGAGACCACACTTACAGAATCATGCCATTCTTATTGCCGGCCAATCCCTAAAATCTGATAGCACAGCCCTCTATTCGGGAGGTGCAATGGATCTAGTGGGATATGACATGACGAAGCGGGCTGCAACTGCAGCGTTGCATGAGGCGGGGGTGGCGCCGAGTCAAATTCGGGTTTGTGAGCTACATGATTGTTTCTCCACCAATGAGCTGATTTCATTGGATGCAATTGGGTTTTCCGAACAAGGAAAAGCCCATCAGCTTGTTCGGCGAGGAGACATCACTTTTGGAGGCAAAGGTCCAATTGTCAATCCATCGGGTGGTCTCATTTCCAAAGGCCATCCCCTCGGAGCAACGGGCCTGGCGCAATGCGCAGAGCTTATATGGCAACTGCGTGGCTGGGCAAATAATGGTCGTTTGGTCGAAGGAGTAGATGTCGCACTGCAGCATAATATTGGATTGGGTGGTGCGGTTGCAGTAACGGTTTACAAACGCACCGACGGAAAGAAAAACAGTGATAGCCTGTCTACCGAGAAGGAGATTTCAGCGATGAGTGGCCTTGGCTATAACCCGGCCATTGAGGATAGGTTAATCACACCTGAACAAGTCCATTCAGTGAGGAGTAAACTAGCTTCGTCTGATTATGCCCTGGACAATACACCCAACCTCATTGCATCCAGACTATGAAAGTCGATGGCTGGACCCGGAATGTCTCGTTGAAAGAGGGCTTATCTTAAATTCTTCGTGGGAGCTCAAAAACTTCTTTATCACCATGTTACCCCTACTGGCGAAAAACTTCCTTGATTGGCGTGTAAATAACTGTCTAGCAGGACATATTCCTATCCATTTTCTTTAATTACCACCTCTGTAAATGATGCAGTGCATTGTTGCCTGTACAGGCCACTAAAATAGATTACAAAAGGCTTGATCCTTGCAATGTTGAGTAGCTACCACTGGAAGATGATGAAATATGTAACATCTGAAGTGCGCATATAATACTATCTCCAACAAAAGTAGCCAAATAAATAAACTTTGAGGCTTGCCCAGGGGTTCTTACATGTTGATGCTTTTTTTGGCTTATGATGTCTACTATTGAATGGTTTCTTTGAAGTACCGCGAGCTGTCAGGGGCGACGGAACGAGAGCACTGACATTGGTATTTCTGGTCACACATATTGGTATTGGGGGTGCAATCAATAAAATGGCTAGTTTGCTACCGAGAGAAACCATTTGGATGCTTAAATGCTGGAGTAATAAAACGAATGATCAATTATCACTATTATTATTTTTTGTACGTGCAACTGGAAAGATCAGTGTGTTGGATACGATCTATTTTGGGAACATTTGAAAATACAGACCACTTGAATACTGAGGAGAAACGAGTCGAACTATCACAACTTGCTATTTATTCAACATGAAGAGCAAGCAATGTTCCTAGGAAATGGCATGATTCAATGGGACTCGTGAAGGAACAAGCCTAGGTGGATCCAGGATTCCGGTCATGGAACCTGACCGTCAGCCACACCCTGGAACTCAACTGGATCTTTCATTGGCACGCCCTTGATGAAATTGGAATTTTCCGAGAATTTATCCAGGTACCAAGTAAGATCTCTTGTTCCGGAAAACTCCCAGTCCACAAAGCCATTACCCATGAATCCCCATCGATTCCCATTCCAATATTCAAAGTCATAGTCTTGCAGCATAGGGTGCTCGAGAATTTCGAAATAAGATAAGCGAGATCCCGGCCACATCACAAGCTTCTTAGAGTCTTTCGTACCCATCTTGTACCAACTGTTGCATGGGTCAGCCCAAGTGGTTCGTGGAAGGTAGGCTTCAGCATGCTCAGAAAAGTCCCGGACTGCATCAGCCCTAGGACTTAGTCGCCGAATATGCTGCTTTCTCATTGTCTTTATGATCTCCAAGAAATGATGCGTTAACAGGGTCAGTATAGGGAGGACTGTTCCTTGCGCTACAGGAGTAAAAGGCCCTCCATAGGTAAAATAGTTCGGGAAGCCGTCCACGCTGACCCCGAGATAGCTGGAAGGAAAGGTAGCCCATTTCTCTGCAAGAGGTACTTCAGGATCCAACCCAACAATGGGAAATCGCGGTCTGAACGAAGTATCAAATCCTGTAGCGCATATGATGACGTCAACATCATGTTCGTTCCCATACATGTCCACAATTCCAGTGGGAGTAATTTGTCGAATATTTCCAGGTAGGACAGTTGTCTTCGAGCCTGACAGCGCCTCTAGATACCCATTACCAGGGGTGGGTCGGCGGCAATTCACGCTGAAGTCCTTTGGCATAAGTGTTTCCATAATTTCAGGATGTGCTGCCAATTTATGACGCATTTCTGTGTATGCAAACTGACGTAGATAAATGATTAGTTGTTTTCCAGCCTAATGAGTGGGGCATAAGCGTACCGCATTAACCTCGTCAGATTCAGCAGTGTCTCTTAGAAGGGTCCGGAACCTATTATTCAAACTGTTCTCAATGGATTTATGATAGCGATGGTATTTCTCAGGATCCCGATGAAATTCTGCTTTCTGCTCGTCGGTATCTAGCATCAGGACAGGCAAAGTGAATATTTTTTCATCTAAATATACAAGAAGGCTTTTGAATACTCACATTCAAAGTTTTGGCCTTCCTTGCTGCCCTTCTTCTGTCCAATTGCCGCAATTATCCACGTTGGGCTACGAGCCCAGGTATAAAGCTTTGTGGCATCTTTATAGGCTTCCGCCACGACTTGAATGCCAGAACTTCCATTGCCAATAACTGCAACTCTCTTCCCTTTCAAATCATAACTCTCGTCATAATTCGCGGAGTGGAAAAGATTGCCCGTGAAGGTATGGATTCCAGGAATATCTGGCCATCTCCACGAGCTACGTAGAATGTCAGTGAAGCCCAAGAACGCATTTGAGTATGTAACTTACTTTAAAAACCCCCCACCATTCAGCAATAGGTCGCACTCATCTTGGAACTCCTCGCAGTGACCATCTGCTTCATCAAGCTTTCGGACTGTAACCGACCACTTGCTGGTTTCATCATTCCATTGCGCTCCTACAACTTGGTGGGATAAACGGATGTAATCCATCATTCCTTCCTCGTCCACAATGCGGCGCATATACTGCCAAATTTCACGTGACGACGAATAGAAACGGGACCAGTCTGGATTACTCCGCCATGGGAAGGTATAGGAGATGCTTGGCACATCGCACGCACATCCTGGATAGCGATTCTCCAGCCAAGTACCCCCAATATCGGCATTCTTTTCATAACAAACCAGGCTAACATTCAAGTCTTGCAGCGACCTGGGGGCCCAATGTAAAAAGTCAATGCCGGCTGCGCCTGCACCCAGAAATATGATGCGGAATGGCTTTTCTGGGAGCGGCTCATTGATCATCGTTCTAGGAGGAATATAGCCGCGGTTGGAATGGATATCCCATTCCGGATGGTGTACAGGGCGCTCAGTAGAGGACGGATGCGGACCTCTGCTATTGCCTCCGATTTTCAAACTTCCTGGAAGGCCAAAGGACTCGAACATGGGGTTACTGCTTGATCGCCCATTTTCGTCTTGCTGTTTAGTCATTTCGGATGAGGTATTGAAGCGGGAGGAATACGTGGGGAAAACATAAGATAGATTCGGTGGATTGGCTGACTCTCTGGATGTTCCGTCATCCTTTTAAAATGGAAATTTCTCACCAGAAACGAGTGGTCCGACACTGTGATCATATTCAGGCGCTCAAAGTTCAACATAGCCGGATTTGTTCCTACCTCTATAGCCGATCCAAGACCATCGGACATGGCCGGCAAAGCATGAAGCCTGAGAAACTTATTGCTTACTGAGATCGAACAACTCCCAAGGTCAGGGACACGGCTTTTCTGTAATGTCCCGCTTATTCCTTCATAATTGCCGACCAGCACGGGCCGTGAACAATATGCATAGTCAAGTTATGCATCTCTAGATGTTTCATGCTCACACGAGCAATAGACCCCACAGTAATCCTCTTACCTTATCACAAGCTAGAAATATAGTGCGAGTTTGAATTTGCCCCTAGTGCAAAGCGCGGCACTCAATGTATAACACATATTAGAAATCTACAAATGAAACTATGTGTCTCTGGACACCTGGGCGAGCACAATAACATGGCAGCAATTGAACTCCCCTCATATTATGATGTGTCTGATTGAGAAACCGGAAATCAATAAAAGCCAGCGCAGCTCTAATGACAGGCACTGGTGATACAAGTACATCAGGACAGAGCGAAATGAAGTGCCCCGGTGACTCCTCGCTGGAAGACGGAGTATCCTTTAAGTGCCCCCTTGAATGACTAGAAATGATGAGCCAGAAGCGTGTGAGAGTCCACAAAAATCTCGTTCAAGAAAGGAAGAATATCCACCGGGAAATCCGGATCCGTGAAAGTCGATAATGTTCCATGGCATGTTAGAAGATCGGCAATCAAAGGGCTCGTATCAGTGGTCATATATGGGAAGAATTCCGTCCATTTTTCATCAATGATCATCGGAGAGCTAGTTGCCACAGGCTGCCAACGATCATGACTCAAATCTCCGGTATCTGGCTTTGCACCAGCCTGAGCACCCCCCGCTGTGTTGGCTTGATCAAGAATTCTTTCAATTCCCTGACTGAACATCTTTCCAGGATACGATAATGGCACCAATTGTACAAGAGCTGTACGAAGGACAAGTATATCCTCCTCGGCATGGTGTGTCAGCCCTTCAATGCGACGTGCGTGAATTAAAGCCAAGATAGCCAAAGCAATACTCCATGTTGCCTGGGTCAATAGAAAGCGAACTGATCCACGAGCTAGAAAGTCTTTGAAAATACGGGCAATACATGACGCAGCCGCGATTGCCGGGATCTGGGCTGTTGGTATAGATTCATCACTCTTATCAAGGAACAGCAGAGTGATGGTGGTGAGATAGCCAAGGTGGAGGTCGTGCACGTCACGATTGTAGCCGACCGATCGATGAGAGCTGAAAGGCAATTGAGCGGAAGGAGGAAGGGATTGCACCCAATTGACCATTTCGGGGATATATGTAGACTCTGATGAAAAGAAGTCTTTTGATTTGTATATCTCCTTGTGCATCCTTCCGACTATTTCCCACATTCTGACCCAGTGTACAAATATAGAGGCCTTCAAATCTGTTGGATCGGGGAAGTCATGCACGGTCACCATAGGCACACTGCAATACTCAGGATTGATGAAGCAGGGTCGGCCCTGGGCGAGGGCGACAATGCGGTCCCTGGCCTGAAAGGAGCCGAGATTAGTCTTGGACTTAGAGAGAAGGATCGTGGTAGGGCTGCGCTCACAAAGAGTGTCCACCATATTCTACGCTTCAGTCCACATCCTTCACCTATGTAAGTCTGTGCGGGACCCTTATCAAGATGCAATCCAATTTCTTCGGCCAGGCGAATAGCAGTGCCGACCCACCAGCGGCCAGTGTCTAAGCTCGCTACATCAGGTCGCCCAGGGCTCCACCAGTAGAATAGCATGATGGAGATAATCTGAATTAACGGATTACTCTCACAGTTGCCATAGAACAGGCTTTTGGCCCGCATGTAGTGTTCTTCGGGATCCGTGGGGCCGATGAGGGGGGGTCGAAGCCTGATGGCACATAGAGCCAATGCATTGTGGAAAAACGGCGATGCCAAAATCTGAGGCTCAGAATCTAGTGTAGCCCACTCCAGCACTGGACACCACACATTGGCAAATTCGAAATAGGTTTGCAGATAGATCTCCAGAAGATCCTCGGGAACATGATGGGATATCGGTTCGCACGCTAACGGCAAGGGCGTAGGTTGCACCCCATTCCCCCCCTGGCCTTTCATTGCTAAACATCTGCATATACCCAGTATTTCCCAGGAATGTCTGGTGCTGTCGATACCCTTGTGCTCTCTCATTTTGGTTATTCGGCCAGATTCCTAAAATATCTTGGGTACCGTCTTGGCTTTCAAGCGCACTCTGTAGTGAAAGAAGCGGGGATGGCTGTTGAACAGGCGGTGCTATTGGATCAGTATTGCTCATTGATGGGAAGATTGTCTAAACGCTACATTAAAATCTAATATTCCATTGCACGTGAATTGCGAAAATTGACCCATACCTCTGTCTCCGCCGGGCTAGGTCCTGGGGGGGGCATAGTCGCTTGTTCGCAGTCTTCATTCCGGGGAAGGGGTCGCTTTTTCTTTCCTCGTCTCGAATACCGCATCCTTAACAATCAATATGTAAGCAAAAAATGATTGCAACGGTCATAATGAGGGCAGGCGTACTGGCATGTCGAACCCGTACTAGCGCAATTGCAGCATATCCGAGGGTCTGCGGTCTGCTGATAGATATCACATTTTATCTGCTGCCCTGTGAGCTCTCACCAGCCTCTGTAGACAGCATATACACTTCTTCTGTAGATTATTTAAATGTAGACATACTTTTTTCTCGTGGCAGCGCTCGCAGACCTGGCCAGCGCGCCTGTTGCGTTTTCGAGACTCTTCACCCGCAACCTCGGGATTAGTCTGAGGCATAGTGAGGATGGTCGTCGAGATACTCCGGTGAGAGGATCATCGCGGGATGATGGTTGTACGTTGTGACAGCAGAAAGTCTTATATTGTCGCTCAAAACTTGGGGCAACCTTCAAGAGGTGGAACGTGTGGGGGATCGCCTGGGCAGATGCGGGGTAAACTCTAACTTGGACCTAGACCTCGAACCCATCATGAGCATTAACCGGCCGCGCGAGACGTATAATATTCCTGCATGAAATGATGGTTCTAGTGCTTTTTTTTCAAGGATGGCGTAGTTCCTTTCTTGCAGGAGCAGACCTATTCAATCTTCGTCGTTATGGATTGTAGGGCCTCAGGAGCTTCCGTTGCTGAATGTGGGCTGGCAACACCACCGCCCTCGAGTGGTGTCATAGTCACGTGTAAAAGATCATAGCCGGCCATAACCGAATAGTGAACTCAAATACCTTGTATTGCCGGTGGGATGACATACCCCGCTAGATAGCCCGTCGTACAGAACCTTATGATTGACTGACTATTGATCACTTGTATGGGAAGAATGTGGCTATCCGTTGTTACAAACATGTATTTCTATGACATCCCATTGAAAGTGTTGAATTTAGGCAGTCTTCAAATCAACATATTGTAATCAGATGGAAACAAGTGTAGGAAACCGCGATCTTTATGAGGAATGGCGGTAGTGACATCGAAAGCCAATCAGCCAAGACCGCAGGCTATCGGGCAGCTGATGTCCCTCCAATATTCCGGAAAGTATCAGAACTCGTGTGGGGTAAAGTCTACCACAATGATGTTCTCAATTGCATCTAAAATAACAGGAGTGATCGAAGTATGGTAAGGGTCCTTGAATGTGTAGTAATCTCGATCTTCGGGTGTTTCAAAATCCCAGGTGAAAGCGTAATCGTAACCCTTCTATCATCATGGTCAGAAAGCATGTCGATGCGTGGATCCATTTAAATGTAATTCCGAGGTCATTTCTTACATTATACCCCTTTGGAGAGTTATTTTTACCGCCAATCAGTGACTTGACCAAAGGCTTGCCGGATGTTGGATGCACCGCTTTTTCCTTGATCATGCGGAGGCTAGTCAAAGCCTAAGACAATGAGTCACCCATTCTTTTTGGTAGATTTGAGAATGCTGAATGGAAATCTTACTTCTTCCTTTTGGGCATCACTGATGCCAGATTTGAAGGACAGGAGTACAACGTGGGAAACGACCATTTCGAATGTTAGGAACGATAAGTACAGAATTTTCTTCGTGACAGTTCTTGCAACAAGCGGGAAATATGAAGGGTTTATATAGCCTGTATCTAGTTGGATCTAGTTGGGTTGATGGCTATCGACCGAGTATTTCGTAGTAAGTCGGTAAAAACCCCTTCCTGTACCACTCTAGTTGTAGCCGAGTCGCCCTATCTATTTATGTCTTTATCCTAATTGCCGGTGGGCGATTGATTCACGATTGAATAAACGGATGCTGATGTTTCTTGTCAACATAGGGTAATACATGTATCGTCGATTCGTCCCATGAATGCATTCGTCATCTAAATAGTACACTACGCATTTACTATGGTAATTATCCACGCAATATGGCAATAGACAATGTTTTAGACACCTGGGCCGTGAACATTCATGTTTGCTCTCAGTTACGGACATAATCTCGGTATCGTCTTTCATACCCCATTCCAACCTTGGAACATTCGGCTTTTCATGTCAAGTGGAAAAGCTTCTCTCAGATCTTGCTAGAAATGAGGGAGATTGTCTTCAGATTTTCTTCATGCGAACTAATTCTTATCTGGAATACTGGATCCGCTGCACAAGACATCCACAGAGCAACAAGGTGGAACGTGGATCGAGGTCTCTCCTATGCAGAGAGGAGGGAACAAAGACTGGTAATGACCGCGGGAGAGAATCACTGAAGCGTGCGACCACGAAAAGGCAACAGCCACGCCGGGTTCAAATTTATGTCCTCATTCTTGAATCACGTCCTTGATGTAAGCTTTGACGCTCCACGGACCGTGTTCTGCATGTGGTACCACGTAATCACGGGCAAATCTAACATTCTCGTCGTCAGTATCGAACAACTCCAGTTCAAATTGTCGAGTGACGCGAGCGAGGACTAGGTAGAGCTCGGCATAAGCCATACTGATTTTTAAATCAGTATTAGGATCGCAGTAAAATATCGATGACGGCCTCTAGGAAATGTCGACTCACTTAATGCCAATACATGCTCTGGTACCCTTGCTGAAGCTCACGATGTATCTGGACAAGCGCTCCCCCTTTTCATTTGCCCGGGTCCATCGATCAGGATCAAATTTGTAGGGATCTGGAAATATAGACGGGTTCATGTGAACGAAATAGCTTGCTGTAATCATGGGTGTCTAAGTAGTCTCGTCAGTTAGATTACCAGAGTAGCAGAAGAGGACTGTGCCCTGCTTCAGACAAATTCACTTACCCCGGCGGGCACGACATACTCCCCGTACACCAAATCCTCTTTTGGGGAGACCCTGGGAAGTCTCCAAGAGCCTCCTATGGCCATGCGAAGAGTCTCATTTACGACGGCAGTCTTGTTGTGGCAGAATCAGCATTCACTCAGAAAGAGAGGGAAAACCGTTGATATCTCACAAGATACGGCAATTGCTCCAACTCTGACCATGATGGGCGGCTATCTGGCGAATTCATCACTTGTTTCAGCTCAGCCCGTAGCTTCTCCAGCACTGGCTTGTTTCTAGTCAGGTGGTAGGCACCTAAAGCCATTGTGTTTGCAGTCGTTTCTGATCCCGCGCCTAGAAGGATTAATCCTTCCTCGCTCAGCCTCTCAATCGTTTTCTCGCTCGGGGGCAGGCTTGGATCAAGCAAGGCATCAAAGATCGTCTCTCGATCACCTGACCCGAGCATTCCGCTTCGGTCAAGTGTTTCCCTGGACTGTTTATGCAATCTAGCTCGGAGGTATGACATGACTGATGATTTTGAGTCAATAAACTGCATCAAGATCGGGGGTAAGTTGTTAAGAAGGGCGCAAAGAGGTGGAAAGAAATACAAAATGTGATTCAAAAGGAAAAGCCCTCCAAATGCATCTCGCAAATCATTTTCAGGAAATTGGTCCTCAAGATATCGGTAGCTTTTACCGTAGCAGTAGTGTGTTATTACGTCGGCGGTCAATGCAGAGAAGCCGTACTCCAGCTTCAAAGGCGTTCCACTTGCATGAGCTTCCTTGAATCGTTCTGCGAGCTTATCCGCTTTGTCCTGTATGATGGGCTCTAGCTTCGTTACAGATCGCTTTGAAAAGAACTGGTTCATCACTGAGCGACGTAACCTATGATGGTCATGGGAAATTGTTGATATAACGGATAGTGATGCAGAGAGTCGTGGAGGGTAAGAAGTATCCTTGTCGCGTCTGCTTTTACTTCCAGAATAGATTTGTTCGTAGAAGTCTGGGTCATTGATATGAATTTGACGGGGATTGATGCGTACGATAGGCCCTATCAATCCTGCAGTTAGCATCTGGAAATGAATCAGCGGCTCAAGAAAGGCGAACCATATTTTTCGTGCATCTTCTCCACTTCCCAGATGAACTTCCCACCCTTGATCACATCATAATAAAACTCAACGAGATGCGTTGCTGCTGCGAGACGAGGCCCTGGTATTTTACGTAGGGGATGAAGGAAGAGCCGATGAATAATTCTCGCGATCAAAAATGACACAATACCACATAGAATGAGTAGTTGAGTACACATCTTCGCTGCTGAAGCTTATAACGTGGAATAATTTGAAAAGGTCGGGAATAAAACCGAAGTCGAATCAATGTGCCGACAGTCTTGGCCTTTACAGATGGGGTTTCTCTTATTATATTTCACCAGACTCTTGAGAGGTGCCGGACCAAAATGGCTATCAACGGCAAGATATTACCAGCGAACTATAGCCAGCCGGGGGGGGTATAATCTACTGACATATATCAATGAGGGGTGCCGCTTTGTCGCCGAAAATTCGCATGAATGTGGACCAGGCTTTGTGATACGAAAGCCCAAAGAGCCCCCGTGGTATCCATTTTCAATGCCGCAATCTAAACTTTATTGTCTCATAAATTGGGAATGAGACCATATTCGAAAGATGAGTAATCAACACCAATGAATTTGGACGAACCATAAGTATATCCACCTTTGAGAAATAACCATTGTTAAGTAAAAATATTCTCCTCTGTATTTGAATGATAAAAGAATGGATAGCTTACCTCCACAGTGCAGCTTGAGTACGACGGTGAATTAGATGAGAATCTCACTACGAATAATGTCGGCTGGGATATCTATGAGTAAAACCATTTGAAGAAGAAACCACTTACTCACTCACGAAACGTTGGATGCAACTATCGATGTAGAATGATGTATCACAAGATAAAAATTGGTGGGTGAAGCATCAAGATACCCCAAATTACCAACAACAAAACGCTTGATACAGACTACTGCAATATGATAAAGTTAATTGTGGAGTCGTCCAAACTTTACCCCGCTTAATTTCCTACTCAGTAATTCCAGATAGCTCGGCTCTAAGATACGGGGAGGGTTTATGGAAACATATTTGAGAAATTTTACGGCTACAAAGAATAACCTTGAGATTCTGCCAATGCTCCGGTAAAGCTACTGCTATTCATGAGTCTGATTGCCGGTATCTCTTGTATGCTGCGGGTGGAATTGCCCTCCCATACACTGACTTTCTTCGGCGCAAATTGCGGGGTAAAGCTCTCAAGGTTATATCTGTGTTAATTTTCAAGAAATTCACAGGTGTAAGCCGAGCAAATTTCCTCTCACTCCACATCCATACCAAGATGGGTCCAAAAGGAGCTTTTTATTTTGCCATTACCGTGGCAGTGTTCTACCAAGTTTTCCTTAAAAGCTTTCTCTTTACTTTTCTAAACATTCGCGGTGTACTTCAGCCTCTGGAAATTTTCGACTATGATTGCCAGCGCATTAGCCACCCGCTTCTAGAGTCCTGTGAGGATCTTTGGCTAGACCGGGATAGTCGCGCTCTGTATGCAGCTTGTGGGGATATGATTAGTCGACAAAATTGGGTTCCAGCGTAGGTCATCCGATCGCGACTTGATAACTTGAATGCTGGTTCAAAAGTTTGACAGAAGTGAAATTGACACGATTACGAGTACCTCAGTGCAAATGCCTTCAACGCGTCCGGAAGACGAAGAAAAGACCATTTTTCAGTTCTTCAAATTGACAAGCCAGGTGAAGATGGCCTTTACGGGCTGCACAAACTGCAGCTTACGGGTTCCTATCATGGGTCAGACAGCGACAATGATCAGGTGCTAGATTTGCATGGATTTTCTGCACGCGAAATAAGTGAAAGTCGGTTACAGTTTTCGGTTATCAACCACCGTCCTCCAGTGGATGCTATTTCTGGAAGAACTGTCTCCGACGCGATGGCAGTCGGTGCAAATTCCACAATTGAAATTTTTGAGCTTGATCGAGGGACCTCAAAGCTCGAGTTCATCAAAACAATTCATGACAACAGCATTATTGCGCCAAATAATATAGCAGTATCGGATCGAGGTCTATTAGTTTTCACGAATGATCATAGCACTAAAGGTTAGTCCAAACTCTGTTGGAAGTTTCTGTATATTCCAGGCTTTGGTTAGAACTGAGAGCTAACTAGTTCTACCGACAGCCGGTCGGGTAGGTCTTCTTCAAAGGTATCACTTGAACGATTTCACAAGGCTGACCTAGATACATTTTTTCTAGTTCCGTAGCTTCGAGTCTATGTGGGGCACAGGAAACATTGCTACTTGTGAGATAGAAAGTGGGAGAGTGCCGCATAGCAGCATCTCGGGGATTCTCTTTTCCAAATGGAGTTTTACAAGGCGATGATGGACTATTCTACGTTTCTCATTTCATCACCGGCAAGGTTACAGTCCACGAGATCCGACTCGACAACTCGCTCCACCAAGTTGATGAAATCGAGCTCGGCATGCCGCTCGATAATTTGTCCATCGATGAAGAAGGCACCATATTTGTTCCAGGATTCCCTGATATCAGCGCAGTGTTCAAATCACTTGCTAATACTGGACTGGGAGGGATTCCTTCGACTATCTTTGCCATTAAGAAGGTTACAGCTGGCAGTCAGCGAAGATACCAGGTTACTAAGGTACTTGAAGATAAAGAGGGGAAAATTCTTCCATCCGCAACGACGGTGATACATGATATCCACACAGGCCGACTGTTTCTCGGTGGTGTTGCTTCCCCTTTCATGAGCGTTTGCCAACGGCGTTGATTAATGTTCGACCGCCGCTCAATTAATCAGAAAGATCTGTGTTCAACTATTTTACCATCGAAATGTGATTTATATTTTAGTATAATTAAGCCCAGTGCATATCTATATCTTTGAGTTGATTCCTGTGGGATGCGGAATTCACTACGATCAGCTTATGTCGCCATTTTCAAATCAATTTCATCCAAGAGCCATGCGACCAATAACTACGCCCCCTCGTCAATAATACACGTACCCTTTGCAGTTCACATCAGAAGTGGGAAATTGACGTAACTGAAAAATAGTTTTGGTTCTATTAAGGCTCTAGGAAGCCACATGGGGAAATTTCAATCAAATTTAGACAGCTGATGAATCGGAGTCAATTGTCGCCAGTCGGTTGACAGTGCCTTGGCAGCTCTTTTTTAATATCGAACTCCATTTTTAGGCGTTGGATTAGATGATAATTCACTGAGTCTGCTTGTTTTCGGAAGTGTTGATCTTGCTGTGCTCAGCTAGGTAAATTACGCTTTTGTGTGTGTGTGTTGTATCATATTGTACCTGCAGTTCGTCAAAACAATACCCAGGCTACTCGAACGATCACAGGCACTGTGGACATAGATATCCTGTATCTAACCCAAATCCAAGTCTATAAGTCTCGCCGAGGCCTGCCGCGGTCCCGTTACCGGTTGCCGACAGGTATTGCCGATGGTTTGGCTATCATGCCCACGCGGTTATTTCCGGCACCATTGAGCATAATAATACGTTTACAAGTATCATATTCAATTACAGTGAAAACAAACGTTGCTCACGTAAGGACTTTCCTCAAAAGTAAGAGGAGCTGTCCCTCTTCATTTTCTCTTTACTCTCAGTTTGTCCCACACAAGACATATCAAGGACAACGCCATATTTGACTCTTGTCTAAATCATCACCATGTCAATTCAATCACCTATCATAGAATCTCCACATACGGTAGATATCCCGATTAGCGATATCCCATCATGGGTGTTCACTGCGGAGACCAGCGCGGCCCGCATCATGCCCCGATACTTCGACGCGGAGAATCCTAAGCAATGCTACACTCTTGCTGACGCTGAAATATACGTCAAACGGATCGCCTGTGGTCTTCAGGCTTTGGGTTTGCAGCCAGATGACAAAGTGATGCTTTGTTCTCCCAATCACCTCTTTATTCCAGTTCTTCTGTGGGGCGTATTAGCTGCTCGATGCGTGTTTACCGCCGTATCGCCAACCGCATCTAAAAATGGTGAGCATTGGCTTCGCTTCGTTTTGCCCCTTCCTCTTAATCAACAGTTCCAAAGCTGAAATTTGATTACCAGAGCTTCAATACCAATTGAAAAGTTCAGATGCGAAGGTGCTACTGGTTCACCCTTCGAAAGCTGCATTGGCTCTGGAAGTTGCCCAAAGTGTGGGCCTGCCACCAGGTTCCATATTTCTCTTTATGAACCCGAATGAAAGGCTCGGCGAGGCAACTCGTGCATTGAAGCCCTGGATGGACTTTTGGATCTCCGTAGATAAGGCGAAAGTGTGGCAATGGCATCGGATCAGAAATATCGAAGAAGCTAAAAGGACCACTGCAATTATCAACTACTCCAGTGGGTATGTATGGTTCCGAACAAATGCCATTGGCATTGAACTGACTTGCAATGTAGGACAACCGGAACTCCAAAAGGAGTTGAGCTATCGCATTACAACGTAATTGCAAACAGCGTGCAAATTATCCACAAGAGATCACTTGTCGCAAATACAGCCCAAGGACGAGCGAGACGAGCTCGGATTGAAAGCTCAGGAGAACGTTGGATTGCTCCTTTACCCATGTATCATGCATTTGTGAGTGTCTGTCTGCAAATTTTTTTGGCGCTCCATATCGGCTTTGACTAACCAGCCAGGGGCAAATCTGGTACTGTATGAACGCAGCAAAGCTGGGTGCAAAGGTATTCATCATGGCCAAGTTCGATGTCACGGACTTTCTTCGATACCTAGACATCTATCGCATCACGTTCGCGACAATGGTTCCTGTGATCATCAACTCGCTTATCAAGTATCCCCATCCTGAATCCTTCAATCTGAAGGCTCTCGAGGGGGTTGTGTCGGGCTCTGCCCCTCTCAGTCCAGAGATAGCACAAAAGTTGAAAACGCTATATCTGAGTGAGTATGCTACCGTCAAGCAAGGAATGGGTCTCACCGAGACAACCTGCTCTCTCTTTCAATTTGCGCAGGATGATATAGACGATGGAAGGTCTATTGGTTGGCTAAATGCCAACTGTAAGGCTAAAATCGTGCCGGTAGACGGCGAAGACTACAAAGAAACCGCGCCCGCAGATGTAGCAGTGGGGGAAATATGGGTATCCGGCCCAAACATGATGAAATGTTACTATCGCAACCCCGGAGCAACGGTAGCTGCTGTAACCTACGAAGATGGCCAGGACTGGTTTAAGACTGGTGACATCGGCTATGCCGATCACCGCGGCAGATTCTATGTTGTGGATAGGATGAAGGTATGATGACAACGGGAGGCGTTTCTGTGGAAGTCTCACTCATTCCTTCTACTAGGAATTGCTGAAAGTCAAAGGCCTCCAAGTATCGCCTGCCGAGCTTGAGATTGCTTTGCTACAACATCCAGACGTAACCGATGCTGGTGTGGTTGGAGCAAAAATGTAAGCCTGCCATATAATGGGTTTGAGCCCTGTCCATTGTCTGTCCGTCTAAGATGCTGACCAGAGAAGAAACGGGGGAGAATACCCACGAGCTTTTGTGGTTCGAAAACAGGGTAAGATCAATGAACATGAGATCCAGGAGTTGATCAAGTCCCGTTTTGCCCCTCATAAATGGCTCACTGGAGGGGTGTTCTTCATTAATAAGATCCCCCGTACACCCAGTGGGAAGATAATGCGACGGTGTCTACCAAAGATCGATACAAAGGGGAGCAAGCTTTAGCGACCATATCAGAACCATGGAGTTCATGTGCACTCATTGTTTCCACAAACACTGTCCGAGTGTATATCCATCTTTCTATGACTACTCTATACAAGAATATGTAATATTATGGCGCATAACAAAGTTTTGCTTGATCCGCTTGAATTGGCGATGAAATTCCGTATACATGAAGACAGGTCAGCGTACGCAAAATTGCGTAAAGAGCTCTCTACCCATCCCTGGTTTTACTTGACTCCAGTGATGATGACATACGGAAGAATCTTGTGGGTATGCTGCATTGACGAGCCAAGGCTTGAACCACACGCTTAAGCAGATATCAAAAGCAGCGGATGACGACCCTCGGTCTGTGGGGCATCCACCATAGCCGAGCCCGGCTCATTACCGTACACTGGGGCCTCGGCTCAAGTTCCTATCGTGCAGCATGAGTTCTAATTATGTCAGTTCTGGTATATTGAGAGCCAACGTCTCGATGTGAACGGAATCGAACCTGCTTGGGTAATTACCGTCGCATTCAAGAAGGCCGCCTCGTCTTCCAGAACCCGGATTAGTACTCCTTTCTCGGCAGTCCGTGCGGTCCAGGCATGTTGGCCGGCAGGGCCGTTAAGGCCAGACTGGCCTTAGGCCTATCTAGTCTTAGCCACCCGAGTAGGCAAAGGGATTCCAGTGGCATCAATTGAACAAGTCTCCGCATCCAGAGTGCAATATTATCTACCATATTTGGTGACGTCCCAGAGGAAATCTGCTCATGTCCATGCACGTAGCATTTGAATCTAAATTATAATCGTCTAGCTTGGCTTTCACAAGGACTGGCTCTTGGTGTTATATCTCTTGCTATTTTCTACCATATGGCAAGTCCCACCTGGGCCGCTCTTGGGTTCCAAATCCCGGCTAATTCGGTTACTGCTTAGATACTCACAACGTTTCGGTAGTGAAAGACTATCGAAGGAATAAATGTACATGTCAAATTATCATCGTCTTTCGAATGACTTTTCTTATAAAATCAACCTTCCTGATGATCACAGTGCTGAAACAAACTTTTCATTATCCATATTCAAGAGAAATACATTCTCATTTAGTTTCACAGAGCGACCAATATATTCGAAAATGAATATGTCGTCAAAGGTGTTTGCTGTTACCGGAGGGGCATCGGGAATGGGCGCAGCAACATGCCGTCTTCTGGCCGAAAGAGGAGCCTATGCAATTTGTGTAGGTGATGTATCCCCAAAGGGATTCGAAGCCCTTCGAGCGTCGATTGCTGCCATCAATCCATCTGTCAAGCTCCGCTGCAAGATTTTAGACGTCGCGTCTTCCACCTCGGTAGATGAGTGGATCAGTGATATCATAAGTGTCTTCGGAGAGCTTCACGGAGTTGCGAACATTGCTGGACTGCCCCAAGCTATTGGTGAAAGAGGAGTACCGGCGATTCTCGAAGAAACTGATGAGGAATGGCGCCGTATCCTAAACGTCAACTTGGACGGCATATTCTACTGTACGAGGTCAGAAATCAAAGCAATGAAGAACCTTCCCTCTGCCAACAGAGCTATTGTGAATGTGTCGAGCATGGCTTCGTTGCAGCACAATCCCGATGTCTATGCGTATCGCACCTCAAAGGCCGCATGCGCTCATTTTACTACAAGCGCGGCAAAGGATACCACCAGTCTTGGCATCAGGATCAACTGTGTCTCACCTGGTTTGTTTGTCCTGCTCCTTAATAATATAATTGATGATCTCTCTCTGTTTCTGTGCTTACTTTCTACAGGAGTGACCGATACTCCTATGCTGGGTAGTTTCATTCGCAGCGCTGATCAAGTCCAAGAAGGATGGATCAAGAAGGGATGGAATCTTATGAGCGCTGAGGATGTGGCGCGTGTTGTTGTTTGGCTCCTCAGTGACGATTCCATCCCAGTTTTTGGCTCAAACATCAATGTTGGAGCAGGTCTCCCGTAAAGGAACAGATCCCCAAGAACCGGCGGTTCTTATCTATATTTCAGGTCTAAATCTCCTTTTCCCCCTTTTTTATATACCTTTTACGTCTCTTTGTTCTTTGCCGTTGTAGGCAAAGCTGTAGACACCGACAATATAGGAAATAGACCTATGTATTCTCTGAAGTCCCTTGCCCTCTCAAGGGCTAACAACAATAAGATTTGGTATTCTCTGTGTCAGACCCAGTTCTTGCCCAGTTCGATTTCGTAGCTTGGAAAACGAAGACTCTCTCCAAATTTCTCCCTCAGAAGTGACGTTGACTCGGTTTGACCGTTCCAGCTTAGTGAGGGCCCGCATACTCCGATTGCCATCCTGCCAGCCTTAAGGCACAAGGCTTAAATACCACCGTGGCGTCACGAATCGATCTACTGAAAAAATCAAGTCAACCCATCATAATGAAACTCAAGACAGAATCGGGCTCAATGGAACGCGACGCTGCGCTACATGGACTACGGGAGACCGTGCGATACGTTACCGGCCTGGATTCTGTTGGCAATAGCGTTATGTTGATGTCTCCCAGCCTAAATTTTCATGACCGAGGGGGCTACGCAATCGCGGCCGTCTACAGCTTGGAATCCATACCCGCCAACGTCGAGGATAATAGCGATCTACGACACTATATGACTTCTCAAGAACCCCCCAATGCCAGTGAACACAATTCACTTCCCTCCCAGCTTGTCATCCCAGGTGGTGCAAACTTTGTTCAGGGAGATTTTGGCCCCTCCTCATGCTCTGTATGGCACAGGACATTGTCGGTTGACTTTGTTACGGTGATACAGGGTGAGCTAGTCTTGGAAGTCGGGGATGATCTCTCGAATACCAGCCAGGTCACCTTGCAAGCAGGCGTAAGTTATGGTCCTCTGATCCTTCACTCTATACCGGATTAACGTCCTAAATTCAAATGTAGGACTCGGTTGTACAAAGGGGCACAATGCACAGATGGTCAAACCCATCCTCTCGTGCTCCAGCTCGTTTTGTGGCAACCTTGATTTCATCTGCTCCCCAGAAAGTGGAAGGTCGCGTAATAAAACCTGCCTGGCATTCTGGACGGTCTGCTAGCTCTCCAAGGGAATAAAGAGTCAGATATGATCAACTACCCTCTGACCACTTCAAGCAGAAGGTAGCTATACTCATGTTCATAATTTTTTTTATTTCACTGAACTCCTATATTTTATTCATGGCGTTCATCAATCTCCACTTATTGTATTCATCTTTCGAAGTAGTATCGAATGACCGAGCTTCGTATCATTCAGTAGAATGACACGTTGGAGAGACATATTTAAGATACATATGCACGTTTGTAGCAAGCTCCGGCATTCAAGCAAGTGACCCGCCATCGACTGCCCACACAGCTCCTGTGACGTAGGTGCTTTCTGGTCCTAACAAGAAAGCAATCACGCTACTGATTTCCGAGACATCGGCTGTACGTTGCATGGGACGGGATGCACTCGGCCGCTCAATTGCCCCAAAGGCCTCGGTAGCCTGAACGAGAAGCTCAGTATCCGTCGGACCCCTGTAGCCGTGGTAAGTAATTGAATTTCGGGATGTAACCTGATATTAACATACGGCAAAATTGAGTTTACACGGATTTCTCGGGGACCGCCTTCAATTGCTGCACTTTTCGTTAGGCCGATGACAGCGTGTTTGCTGGGAGGGTACATGGCGCCCTTGTTGTATCCGCGCGCCGAAGCCACACTTCCGACATTGACAATGCTAGACCCAGGCTCCAGAAGACCCGGGACCATCGATTCGGCCAGCAAATTAAATGTTCCACGAACGTTGACGTCCATCACAAAGTCATACTCTTCTGAAGAGACTTCCCAAAGCTCCCTGAGTCCGAAGCTCTTGCCGGTTATCCCGGCAATGTTTGCGACACCGTCAACTCGGCCAAATCGGCTCTTCGTCGATTTCATAAATTCCTTCACTGCTGCCCGATTGGTGATATCTAACGCGTGGATCATAACTCGTGACTTCTCGCTCTCAGTCAGGGAATCATATGCGCTGCGTAGGTTCTTCTCATGAATGTCGCAAATACCGACAGCTGCACCGCGTGAGAGAAGGATCTTGGCTGTTGATAGCCCTATTCCAGCTGCTGCACCTGTAAGACAGAAGACTTTGTTTGTCAAATTGGCGGTCATTTTCTCTTGGTCTAAAGTTTTGACTTTTCTTTTGTTTTAGACCTATATTGTCAGGAAAAACCTTGAAAGGTACCAGTGTTTTAATATTCAATTCTAGAATTTTGACAGAAATTGAGTATTAAGTGTAATATTTAATTTTCTATCCTGAATGCCGGAGTGATTGCCGCACACACGGCAGCCGATGTTCTCACGTTCTTTTATTTCAAGGCAATTGCTTTAGGGCATATTGACATACATGAGTGGTGGAGGCTGTTATACGTAAAAAATTATCACCCGGTAAGTAAGCTCGATATTCTCGCCCCGCTTATTTCGTCCAAAGCTGTTGCTGCTTATCATTAATCCGGCTATGTAAGCAACGAATTAGTTTTCCCTCGGCAGTGAAGTTGCCGAAAACCCCGTGCATCTCTTTAGATTTGAGAATATTATGACGTCAAACAAGCATGATATTCATTTGTTCGTAAAGATGGAATCTTTATTTTTTGAATTATGAAGTTTATAGACTTTCCGAAAGTATCAATGTGTCAAGCATTGGACTTTTTCATTGAGAAGAACAACATTCAATCTTTAGCCTTGACACCTGCGCAGCAGCCCAGGAGTAACTGCTTTTAGTAGATACATATAAATAGCACCCTATCGCTGCATACATCATCTGAATACTCACTACTCATATGTTGGCATGAATGAAAGCTTGGAAACACAGGATTGAGAAAATGCAGTAATCATACATTCGTTCGCACGGAGCCAAAATATATGAGTGATCATGCATGAAAATGCCCCAGAATCGCTATGATTCTTACGAGGGCGTACATTAGGAGTTAAAACCAATTAATAGAAATCAATTAATAGATTCATTTTTCGCCGAGAAAAACGAGATAGTCAAAGAAATCTTCACCTAATTTGCTATTGCTTTCTTCGTTCTGCTCCATAAGGCGTGGCAATGCATCTTCAATATCACTACAACCGTTCATATTGGAAGGGAACGAGACAGTTTCCCAATCTCCTTCATCCTGAATTCCATATAAATTCCCAGAGCCAGAAATCCCTAGTTGAGGACTATGTGCTACCTCTTCGCCCTGGTAAGGTATAAGCAGTGGGGAGGAGGTATCAACGCCATCACCCAGCGGAAATCGATTTTCAGCTATCAACCCATCTAAGTAGAGATAAAGCTCCACGTAGATTTGTGGATTTTTCTCAAATATGTCGGAGAAAGAGGCACCACTGTATCGCATCGCTATATCGACCATTTTGGACCTAAAGAAATTGAATGTTTTCCCTATAAGAACAGAAAGACGTTTCGTGTTGAAGCGATTACTGTTTAACTGATTAAGTCGCTTCAGAAGGCCGAAATTTTGTGCATTGCGATATCGATCAGCGGGCGTTGAAGAGAGGAGAACGTTCGTTCCCCATAGAATCAGAGGGAATACCGTACATGCCAGACTGGTTCAGCCTGTTAGTAGTAGCGCCGAAGTCCTGGATGGGATGGATTTTAAACTTACGCGCTTGCAGGAAGATATTTCACCATGTTAGCATCAGCGAGGTCCTTGAAACTTTCTGTCATGTCGGTAACCGCGTCACAGAGCTCTGCGTTATATGACTTTATTGTTGCTTGTAGAAATTCTGACAAATCGTAGTCTGCAATCAGACGGTTGGCGTGGTTGCATAGAGCCATTCGAGCTGACCTGTCACATCTTAGTACGCCTGAACCGAGGCTGGGGGGCTTACATACTGGTAGTACATTGAAAGCAAGGACGAGAAAAGTCGTGAAGAATAGTGAACATTGTACCCGTCGCCTCCAGTGTAGGTAGCAAATTCAAGATACCAGGCCGAAAGTTTTAGCTGAATATCCATCATTTCTTGAAACATGATGTGAGCTTGACGAAAATCGCCTTTCTTCGAGCTGGGTTGTTCAGGGTAGACCAAGGTGAGGAGGTCTGTTGCAACATGGGAGAAATCGCATTGCGCAAGGAAGATACTCGCAAGGGCCTTTTTTGTATCATAGCCGTAGGCCTCTGACTGACTCATTTCATCTTCAAAATCACACAAGGAGAGTTTTCTCTTCAGAAACGGGCAGTTGTCAATTTTAATTTGCACTGGCCGACGCATGCCTAAGGATATGACCCGGTCACGAGCGAAGCAGCACCACCATAGCTTTTTCATCGTCAAGATTCTCTGGTTAACAGAAGACTTGGAGGAGGTTGATCTGTCGCTGTGTCCGATATCCGCATACTTTATAGAAATGGAAAGCCAGGATGAGTTGCACATTGCGTCGGTATCTGAATTGTGAAAGCTTAGGAGCAATGCGGCTTGCGATTTGCATGTCAAATTGCATTCATTTCCATGGAAAAAAAGTAGCTAGATCCGATTAGCACCATGCCGCTTCGATAAATCGCTAAGTTTAGGACCAATAAACCACCTACCCTCGCTTTGCGATAAAGATTGTTCCGGAGAGCAAGAGGCGATGTAAATCCACACCCGTTTGCGGTATTACTTGGCAAGAACTAAAGACTGTCTCAGCAGATATCAACACATTGATTTTTGCGGCGTCCCTACTGGCGCTGCTGCAAATAGCATGGCACGAAAGAGGAGCAGAGAAAACTGCCCTTGGAACCTTTTTGGTCGGCGATACATATTCCAGAATTTTCCTTCGTCCATAAAAGGAAGACAGGGGTGAACAAAACGAAAATAATGATTGATTAAGCTTTCAATCATAGACTGACGCGGCAAGTGTAAGCAGCCTTCAGAGTCGAGATAAGAAACCTCGGACTCCTCAATAGACGCCAGTTGAGATGGGTCGAGGAACGAGTAAAAGGCGAATGGCAAATTTTTGACGTCAGGAGTACCTGTTCGCAATATTAGACACTCACTGTACTGGACGTAGTATCATGCTAGATGATACGATTTCAATTTTCAATACTGGGAGCAGGCATACAAGGTTCCACTTGAGCTTCGTTATATTCCGACTCACTCCCGTAGATGGCCCTGCTTCGCTTCTTGCCCTCTGTTGGGCGACGCTCTGATTTTGGGTTTGAGGCCCATTTGAGACACTCAACATTATCGAGGCGGCAGTTTGTGCAAGGAAAGCCGTGGACCATTGCATCACAGCGGACCTTGCGCCCGTGACAATATTCACAGGCTACTCTAGCCCGTCTGATGCGTGGCTTGTTGGCCGGACTAGGCGGAGTTTGAGGAGGCATTTGAAAGAGTGCTGACAACAAAGAGGATCGTGTCACATCTAGCTTCGCGATCATGGAACAAAACTGGGCATGAACGAGAGCCCGTGAGCTGGAATTGGAATCTTTTTGTCAATCAGGGCTCACATGAATCCAAGTACAATTGCATGCACATCTGCATGGTGTCTGCGCCTTTCAAATGTTGTGCGGATTGGGGACGAGTGCCGTGTTAGCCGGTAACGGTACTTTCTTATAGCCGCGGTCGGTTATGCTGGCCCTTCTGGCTTTTGATCGCCAGGCATATTAGATATTGTTGGACTCTGTACAACGGTCATGCCTTATATATATATATTTCAGGCCCGATGATATACACAGAGCATGTAATGTCACTCCAGTGGTACAATAATGTTTACCAGTGCTTACACGTACGCAAATGGTAGATATGAACAGAGGCCGCACTACTTTGGAAGCCAACGTAAGTGCTCCAGGTCATCGATAAAGACCAACATTATTGGTCATGAATACTGCGAATATCCTGAGCATTTCCAAAAAGACCTTTCTGGTCCAATCATTGTATTCCCACTATGATATATATTCGACTTCGAGATATGTGGTTTGCCCACCGGAACCTCCCAAACTTCTTGAATGCTTCTTCACCTCATAAATCAGAACCAACAAGGAGAGGTTAATCTTCGCTTGTTTATACACGAATGTGGACTCCGCAGCCTTCTGTATGACGCGAGTGTTCATTTCATGTCAAAATTCTCGTAACCGTTCGCTGCGACCTCTTCACAACGGCGACGGAATTCGATATTGTTGCCAAAGTAACGAATCACTCTTCTTTGGCTCTTCCCGGGGCGGTTTGAGTTATATCCCGTCATCCAGGAGTTGACTTTCGCAGAGAGGGGTGTTTTGGTGCAATCATAAACATGTTGGGTCCATTTCTCTTCACCCTCAGCGTTGGGGTTGACATAGGTGAGGTCATGCTTCTGTAGATATTTTATGAACGTCGAAACCCATTCAACGGCATATTCAATTACATGAGGAATATTTCCAGTCGCTTGGTGAGGGCCCAGAATATTGAACATATTTGGGAATCCCGGGACGGCGAAGCCAAGATAGGTTCTGGGGCCACGCTCCCAACATTTCTTGAGGCTCAGCCCTTCTTCTCCGAAGTATTCGATCTCCTCGTAAGATCCAGTAAGCGCATCAAATCCTGTTGCGTAGATCAGAACATCGAGTTCAAAATTTTCGGTTGTGGTTTTCACGCTGGTCTCTGTAATACGCTCAATGGGTGTGTCGTAAAGATCAACTAGCTTCACGTGTGGCTCATTGAAAAGCTCATAGTACCCATTTTCCAAGGGAACCCTTCGCGTTCCGAAGCCATGGCTCTTTGGAATAAGCTTTTTTGCAACATTCGGGTCGGATACCCGAGCCCGGATCTTCTTAGACATCCATTCACTGTAAAGATCGTTGGCTTCCTGGCTGGTAAAGGTATCTTTGAAGTTCCCAACCCATTTGACCAATCCTCTTTGATTGTATTGACCCTCCCATAAAGCCTCACGCTCCTCTCTTGACAACTTTAAAGCTTCACGAGGGTCTGGTTGATACATAAAGCCCATCGGGCTTGACTTGCAGGCTCTGATTATATCAGGATATCGCTCGCGAATCGATTCCATCTCTGCCTGATCGATGTTGCTATTTCGAAGCGGAGCCGTCCAATTTGCGGTTCGTTGAAACACTGTCAGTTTTTTTGCCGTCTTTGCAACTTCCTGGATGGTTTGGATGCCGGTTGCACCTGTACCGATGACGCCGACTCGCTTCCCAGTCAGGGAGACATGGCCATCTGGCCAACGAGAAGTATGATAGGCCGCCCTTGAAAATCAGCCACACCAGGAATATCTGGAAGAGTGGGTGTGGTAAGAGGACCTAGGCAATTGATCAGAAATTTCGACGTGTATGTCCTTTTGTTGGAGTCGGTTAAGGTCCATGACCGCGTCGCGCTATTGTAGCGAGCGGATTTCACTTCTGTTTCGAGCTGGAAGTTTGAGCGAATATCAAATCTATCCACAATGTAGTTGATATACTTCAATGTGTCTGCCTGCGCAGAGAAATGCTCTTTCCAATTCCATTCGTCGAGCAGCTCTTTCGAAAAGGTAAACATATAGGTGTAGCTTTCAGAGTCGAACCGGGCCCCTGGGTACTTGTTCCAGTACCAGACTCCTCCTACCTCGGGCGCACGTTCAATGACTTTGACTCGCAATCCGAGACGTTTCATGGATATCGCAGTGTAAATTCCTGCCAACCCTGCTCCGATAACCAAAACGTCAGCGTCCAGAGTGACCCTATCTTTTGGAATTGTGAGATCCTCAATCGATTCTCCCATGTTGGCAAGATGACAATGAAACGAAGATGACAGATCTCTAGTGGAATTTCAAGAATTGATGGCGCCTACTCAACGTGCGGGCTAGAAATTTCCTTTAAATATCATTTAGAACCGACCTTGATACTATCATTGTAAGTCTCACGGTGCTCGGGTGAGGGCTGTTCACTCTCGAAAACCTCTCGGCAACAGGCACCATGCCGCCTACCACTTGCTGAAGCTCGGTTAAAAATTCGAATCAAATGTGCGGTTTTCCACGGAATGCTGAGTTAAAGCTTGACCTGTCGGGTACATGATAGCCGACTCTATAACCGGAGGGTACCGAAGTTGAGATCTTACAGAGAATATGATTACAGGACAAGGTGGAGCCGTCTTGGAACGAAAGCCAAAGCGTATTGTTACGTCGAGCATTCTTAATTCTCAGTGGCAATAATGTAACTATCTGCCCTTCGTCCTGACGGCTAAATGAATGCCGTAAGCAGAAAAAATCGCCCAAGCCAGCTTCAGCATTTCATCTTGCGCTTTGGATCTTCGAGATTTCACTTGCTTCGTCTCCTGGGATAATTCAACTTCGACATGACTTTATCTTACGACCAAGAATGGCTGAAGATGGCTAAGCCGGCATTAGATCAATCTCAAGCCATCAAGCCTGCAGTACATGATGTGGACGCCAGACGATCCAAATTTGAAGGGACGTTGAGCAAGAGGCAGGGTTGGATTCATTTGCCTGACAACATCGAACACATCGTGCACCACGTTCCGGTTGCCGGTGATTGCGAGATCAAGCTTCATCATGTCCGCAATACGAGTGTACTGGGCGATGATCCCGGTCCTGTCATCCTTCATATTCATGGTGGAGGGTTCTTCAGCTTCCAAGCGATTCATAGCGTGCCAGCCCTGGCACACTATGTTTCCTCTACTGGAGTCGCAATGATCTCCATCAACTACCGCCTCGCTCCGGAGAATCCCCTACCCCATTCCCCTTGATGATTGCTGGTCAGCCTTGATGTGGGTTCATAATCATGCCTCGGAATTGCATGTTAACCGGGATCGTATCGCTGTGATGGGAGAGAGCGCTGGAGGTGGATTGGCCGCAGGTCTTACGCTCCTCGCAAGAGACCGTGATCTCATGCCCAAGCTGGCGAAACAGATTTTGATCTATCCAATGCTCGATGATCGAATATGTACAGACTACACAGGGGGCTTGTGTTTTTTTGACCTCGACGATGCTATTACAGCATGGGCCGCGTACCTCGGCAAAGAGATGGGAACAGATCGGGTCTCACCATACGCTGCACCGGCGCGGGCAAGGACTGTGAGCGGCCTCCCACGACTTTATCTTGAGTGTCCCCAATTAGACATTTTGCTTTTAGAAAATCTGCGATATCTTCAGATGTTTGTTGATGCAAAAGTACCCACAGAGTTCCACTTACTAGAGGGATTACCACATGGCTTCATCAGCCTTGCGCCGACAGCGATGGTCAGTGAAACTGCGATCAGGACCCGAATCAGAGCCATGACAACCTTTTAGAGATCAATAAAGTATAGAAGTCAATTGTTAGTCATCCGTAGCTCAGTTATACCACATTATGTCTTTTCCTCTGCTACGGATATTCCTTATTAAGTTGGGGCTTGGAGACATGCCTTTCTGCAAAATTCTACAATCACACCTTTATTTCTGTACGCAGGTTAAGTCTATCCCGTGGCCAGTAAAGTGCCAGCCAGCATTTTAGATTAAAATTCAAACTAGTCACACTCGACCACTTTCGCCAACAACTCAACGAAGATTATAAATTCAAAACCAGAAAATATTAGGATTTAGCTAAAGTGCAGATTCTGATTTAACATATCACAGGTTTAATGAAGGAGAAGTGAATGCTAAAATTTTTTCCACAGCTGAAGTTACATACAGATGCTTCTTAAGTGAAAGGCTAGTAACACAGCCGCATGTGTAGATTGTAGTTTCGGCTGCACAAATCATGGTATGCTGAGAGTAAAAAGGAATTTATTCGCTGGAACGCTGGTAAGGAGACTTGAAGAGTTGCGTCCTTGAGATCGTTGCCTCTCTAAACTTCATGTTCCGATCTGGGAAGGCCAAATTATGATAATATCACCCGTTTGCCAAAGGAAGACAGAGCATGATGGCTATAAGTGAAAGCATCAGGGTGAATTTATTTGTCATCTAAGCTCTGGGGCGTCTCTTAATATAGCTATCGAGCTTACCGCTCGCTGAAAGAACAGTGTAGTAATTGTGCCACATATATGCAAGGAACCTGGCCTGATTGATGAGCATGAGTTTATTGTATGAACAATCTTTATTCATCATCCACTCTATATTGAGAATATATGAAGATTCACAAACTATCTTGCAATACTCTCATCGTGTAAATGGGCATACATGAGAACATATGATTGTAATGAAAAGCTTAATGCAGACATTCTTTTACATGTTACTCTTTTCAATGTCATCGCAAAATTCCAGAACAAGCTTCCCAAACTGCTTTCCACTTCGCATGTCATTGAAGAGTGAGTCTATGGCGCCGATATCGTCCAAACTTGCTCGTAGAACCTTTGAAATCACAGGCCGGATTCTGTGAGCTCTGACGAACTCGACCATCTGGTAAAACTCTCCCCGGGAGCCCATAGTCGAACCGCGTACATCTATATTTTTGATAACAGCCTGCATTGGGAAAATCATCTTTGGAGAGACAGTCATTCCATATAGCGAAATTACACCGCCAGCCTGGGTATAGGTATATATTAGTCATTTAAGCATTATATTTCAGTTTGGACTTTCGAGTGGCTAAACGGGATTCTTTCCAAACACACCTTCAGTAACTTCACAGACCTTTCGATGGAATCTCCTCCAGCTCCATCAATGACCGCGTCAAAGTAGGGTCTCTCAGTACTGAGCATTTCTAAAAGCGATTTCTCCCAGTTACCAGCATTGTAATTGACGCCACCCTTCGCACCCATCCGAATGGCATGTTGAATCTTCTCCTCACTAGAACTTGTGATGTAAACATCTGCTCCTCTTGTAACAGCGAACTGCATTGCCATCAGTGCTACACCACCACCAATTCCTGTCACCAGCACAACAGCACCCTTTCTGCAGTTATTCATTCCAGATTTCGTCATTAATGCTCTCCAGGCAGTCAACCCAGCCAAGGGAAGTGCAGCCGCCTCCGCATTGGTGAGATACCCAGGGACTACTTCCACATATCGTTCGTGAATAGCGATGAATTCCTGGAATGTCCCATTACGGTAGTGTCTGGTTCCTCCCATGACAGCGTAGGCTTCTTTATTATCGGGTCCTTCCACGGCATCATCCCAGCCTTTTCCGGGATTGAGAATGACACGCCGTCCAACCCATTCCTGCGATGCAGGGTCCTGAGATCCTACAGAAATAACAACTCCAACACCGTCCGACCCAATTGGGACATCGAATGTGATGCCAGAATTGAGCCTTTGGCGAATGAAAACGTCACGATGATTAAGAGCAGATGCTTTCAACTGTACAAGAAGTTCCCCTTCCTTCGGCACCGGCTTGGGGATATTGCGTAAGATGAGCGGATAAGAAACACTTCCTGGCTCTCCAGGCTTGTGACCACTATCGGCAAGGAAAATGGCCTTTCCCATTTTAAGAGTTGAGCCTCTGCGTATGCGAGGATTTGTGCTAATTATTTGAATTATGGATTTTCAGATTTTCTTCTAGTTCTTTCAAACCTCCGATCTGTCGGTAGGAAATCCTGGTAAGCTTACCATAATAGCCGGCCCGGCTGTAAAATGGATTTTCTTCTAGTTCTTTTACACCTCCGATCTGCTGCTAGGAAATGCTGGTAAGCTTTCCATAATAGCCGACCTGGCTGTAAAATGAGCAATGGTGTTGGTGAATTTAGATATGCATTCTACATTTCTTATTTCTCCTTCGTCCGATTGTTGTCCAGAAAACGGCTTCTCAGAGTTATTTTCCTGGGATCAAGAATCCGTCTGGCCGATAGTGAGACTCTAGAGCTTAATGCGTATTTGATCCCCTCCCCCAAAGACGTATATGCTGGGATTGAGGGCAATACTTTGTTGGGTGTTGAACCTGTAAACACCCAAGTAATTTCTCACATTTCAATTTCTCCTTTACCATAGTGAGCTTAAAAACAAATAACGGCATGGATTTACCGAATGATTGAAAACATTGCCAAGAAAGATGCCTAACTTGGGAATAATCAAGTGAGAGATCAAGCTTGCAGATCCAGTAATCTGAGTGTTGAATGGTGCGGGGAATGCAAATAGCTGGAGAATGCCGTTCTAGCTTTAGACTTGATTATCACAGAGTCATTTTGAAGGGCCTTTGCTTCGTCCAACGGAAGAGAATACGAGACTTTGTTAATTTTATTTCATTCAACGACACCGAGGCCTTTCAAGGGGATACAAAAACAAGGGTCGGTAATATCGGCAGTTGATAGCAATAGCCACCCGGCAGTTGAATGCAGATGTCTTTCTCTACCATTTCGCCGTATTCTCTACTTGGTAACATGATATAACCTCCTTTATATCATTCGTCCTCCAGCTGCAGCATCTGCAATGTCTTCATCCAAAGCTTCGACGCACCATCCTCGTCATATGCCCACGGGGCATATCCCGGAACAAAGTTTCCTTTGGTGACATCATGCGGGCCGGCAATCTGGCAATTGTCCAAGTATTTTCCACCCTGTCCCTCTAAATCTTTCGTGACGGCCGCCCATACAGTTGTGGCTGCTCCTTGTTCCGGGCTCTTCCAATAGTTTGACAAAACATCATCGCTGGCCCAGGTAGCTTTCTGTTCATCCGAGACATGGCGCAGCAATTCAGTCTGGATTCCGCCAGGGTGCAAACTAAATGCATGTAGACCATGAGACCCATAACGTTTTTCAATTTCATTGGCGGCCCAGACGAGAGCTGTTTTGCTTTGACCATACGCTTTCCAGGGTTCATATTCACCCGTAAGGGTAATGTTGTCAAGGTGGACACTTGAGACGCGATGAGCACTGGAAGCGACCATGATAACACGAGAATTGAAATTATGGGCGGAAGAGTTGAGCAGGAGAGGTTTGAGAAGATAGAACAGAAGAAAATGAGCGAGGTAATTGGCCCCAAACTGTGATTCGAATCCATCGGCTGTTCGACCCTCTGGACATGCCATCACCCCTGCATTCGCAATAAGGAGATTTAGAGTCCGACTCTTTGACTTGAAATCTTCGGCACATGTACGGACAGACGACAGAGAGTTAAGGTCAAGATGCAAAAAATGGACCCGAGGGCTATGAGCAAGGTCGCCTAAGGTCTCTTTCATTTTTTCGACGTCACGGGCCGTCAGGTAGAGTGTAGCACCGGTGTGATAGAGGGCTTGTGCTGTCGTAACACCTAACCCTGAAGAGCAGCCGGTGACTAGGATAACCTTGCCAGATAGCCCGCTCACAAGCTTTTCATCTTCTATGATTTCCAAAGCAGTAGGACGGGCATCGCCCGGTCCGCTGGGGGTGGCGTGGAGGGCAGCATACTTGGGCTCCATGGCAGAGGTTCTAACCGTGTATAATGGAATGGGTAGATATCAAAAGCAGTAAGAAGATTGAAAGCAGTTCAGGGGATTCTGAGACCCTAAATAGACAATTGTTGGACTTGTCTTCTCATCCGCTCTCCTTCAGAAAAAGACTTGCTTGCTGACTGACACACAAGGGCGATGACACGGTTATCTTTTTATTTCCGCCTAAGCCCGGAAAGATAGAGGCAGGCTATCTCCGATTTTGGTCGACCGTTGACCGACAGTGGCCATTCTAATGTAAGCGTTGCTTTCGGCCGAAGCACCATCGGTTGTCATCAAGCTCCGCTTCCGCTATCTCCGAATTACATGAGCCTTGCCGTAGCAAATTTGCTTCTGCCTCGTACTGGTTACTTATCTACGATTGGCAGACTATGGAGTATTAGGAAATAGGTACGTGACGCACTTTACAGAGTTGACCATTCAATGCAGACAGCCTGAAAGGGATTTAAGCCTCTGTAATGGGCGCGGATGACGAGTTCAAGAGTTCCTTTATTTTGCAATCAGTCTGGTCCTGAAAAAAAAAGAATATTCCTTCCAAGCCCGACTGATTCTCCCGATGGCTTAAATATACGTAATCATGTCACCATTTAAAAACATACCTGTACTTTAGACAAATGATAGATGCAGTAGTTGGGTCATGAAAGTGTTCGGCGTTTCAAGTGCGTGGAACGCTGATGAACTAGGCTACTGCCCCGACGAATCAATTGATTTCTTGCAACAATGCTTTCGTCCGCTTGTAAGGGTTATCCATATAAATCACGTATCTAGTCTATAAATATAGCTGGTTCAAATGAGGTCCGTGGAAGTCACCAGCATCAAGTTTCGCGACCGCTCACATTCCCACGGTCAAACAGCTTCGATAATTTCTTTTCACGCTGGCGAGCTGGAAGCAAGAGGAGCCCGGGAACCATCTAAAAACCGCAGAAGTTCCACCCATACTACGATACTTTCCCTACCAGTTTTTTCAAGGCCATTGCATTATGCTTGCAACGTCTCGGCCTGGGGCCTCGTCGCTCTTCTGTCGCCGGGAGAACTTGCTAGCTTTGCTCTCACTGCAACGAAATCAAAATTCAGTAGATAGTTTGAAGCTTGGCATGTGGTTGATTATGCTATCCCGCTCGTATGAGCTCTACCATCCGCGGTCAAATTACTCATGCACCTACAAAGCAAGCCCAAGGATTTTGACTCGATTGACCCCAAAAATTCTACCAGTCGCATAAGACCAGTATGTAGCAGATGCTTAATTTAATATTGTACACGGGTGATAGGTACATAGCGCCTATGGATTAATCAATTTGTTTGGAATAGGTTAGTCAAGGAAGACCCGGATACCGAATTTGTTTAATCTTTAGACTCATGGCTATGGCGCTTGGTCGGCCTCGAATGGTATATATGGATCATCCGACAGCGATTTCAAGCCTTCTCTGAATAGCACTATACCTGAAGATGCTTGCAGGGCGCACTTCAGATCGCAGGTCATGGTAAACTTTCTTTCTTACGACATCACACCCGTGACATAGTATATCCAACGCGGGTATCCCAAAAGCTGCTTTTCAGACCGCTCGTGAAACACATGATTCCAAACATCGGTCTCTTTCACAAGCCAAACGACATCACTACCACCTATTTTATGTTTCATTTTGCACAATACAAGCCCCTTATATCCCTCATTACAACCAGGTTTCCTCCGTAGGTCAGATAAGTAAAATGACAGGTTGACCACAGCCTCTAGCAAACTATTGACAGGCTTTCTGAGATCAATACTTTCAACCCAACAGCGCAACCTAGCTTAGGTGTTCTCCAGCGTTGCTGTCAAAATCTCAAACTTGCTTCCAGATCGCCAAGTAGGGCTTCTGAAACATGAAAGCGCCATACAGCGGATCCTGTGAGGGTGTAAATAATTTCATCGGAAAACCTGCCTATCTGCTCCATTTTATCATCCCCGATAGAGCTTTTCCAAGCATAGTTTTCTCAGTCCAGCACATCTTCTGCTCTCAAACCTTCGCTTCAAGCCTTTCTGACTCTCCGAGCCAGCTTTCATCAGACGTGGTTGTGGATCGGTTGAATATTCCCCACCCCTCTTCGTCTGGCCAGAAACCTGACTGTTCTGGGGAAATTTTGAGCGTTAAATGATTGATCTTCTCTACTTATGGTGCTGAGACTATCTCTCCGGCCTAAAAGCTCAACACCTTTTTATTAATACAAAACGCCCCTTGTTTTGCATAGTTTTGATACAAGCACGATTCTTGGACCATTAGAGGTAGTCTTGTCAACGGGTGACGCAGGTTTGTGTATCCATTTCCCAAATTTTCTGGACTAGATGAGCGGGTTGGTTTGGTTGCACTGATCGAACTAATCGCATTCTATTTACTTGACAAACTAGACGTAGGGCGTGTCAAATGGAAATATATATCTCGCCAAGGACGGCATCGTTGACAAAGTTGCCGCTTGGAAAAGCAAAATCATTGCCTGTACTGGCGTAATACAGCTTTAGGTCTCCATCTCCCGACCTCCTCAGCCTTACCGCCGTCGGCCCGGGTATAGCTACTATCAATTCGGGGATCGAATAGTCGGGAGGGTGAGCAATTGATAATCCAAGTGTTGAGACGGCCAAATATGCCGATCCATTGGGATGAAAGATGAAATCATCAAGAGGACTCGAAATGTTGAAAGTTGTCATGTTGAATAGAACTTCAAGCTCGCCCCGGACATGTCCAGTATCAGGATAAATTGGCAACCTTCCGAAGCACATCCGAGCAGCATTTGTGAAATACAAGTATCCGTCATCGTGAACTTTGATTCCGTCGATACCTACACCAAGTGAGGGTGTTCTTGCCAAAAGCTTATTGCTATAAATTATTTTCGAGCTTCGGTTGTGGATGCTGATGGTGTGAATATCTCCTTTCACTGAGTCACCAGCTACCAAGCTGACCATCGTTTGAAACAACCCATTAGTGATTTGGTTTAATATATGCGTGCCTGTCCAATACCACTTACAGCCCCTTTTCACCGTCGAGTGTCGCCAGACCGTTGAACCAACCGGCCGCCGGGAAATCCATAACTTTGCGAATCTTCGGGTCTTGGGAAAGAGAACGGAAATCCAACTCGTAGAGATCGGCACTGCCCTCGACACCTTCAAAAGTCCCGAGCGAAAAGTTGCTAGCAACTGCATAGAACAAATCCGGTTCTGTCTCCGCAAACCCAAACACACCAGTTTTGTCTTCAAAGGTGTGCGTAATCTTGCATTCATGGGTTATAGGATCGATTTCAAATATTTGTGGAGTTGACAGGAGCCCACCAAGGACATTGCCATTATGTCGTAGTATTATGTTCTCGGGCCATATACCTTTACCAAAGTCATATATGATTCTTTCTTGTGTACTTCCGGCCGCTGGGGTGGAATATGAGTCCGATAAAGAGTATGCGGCAAGCACAAGGATTTGAGACAACAGAAACATCCATGCTGTGCCCATATTGCTTGCAAGGGAATTTGACACCTTGGTAATTGAAAAAGCCCCGATATAATATCGCTCGCTGGAACAAATTAGGAGTTATTTACATTCTTTATGCTCTACCATCGTCTATTGTCACTGAAGTTCCATAGCGGGCAATAGAGGTCCTCAAGTGCGGGGTGGACGGGCTGTCGCTGTTTAGGGCGCGTGGCTTCGTCACGGATACCCCTTCCCCAACAATTACCCTGTGTAGAGCCTATTCCATTCAACACTCGACATCAGTATTGCCGGCATCTGAAAATTTCCGGGTTATGACTAAATAGTTACTTAGTAGTCAATGTCCACCGGGTATGGGTTAGTCGCTACAATACAGCAGGGTTCTACCAAAGCCGGTACAAATAACCGAAGTCTGCCCGGCTATGATACTCCAGGAGGGACTAATTCTATGAGTGCCCTATGATATAAGTGGTTATAATGTTGACTTTCCGTCATTATTCCCCAGGCAGCTGGTATAAAGACACGTCAGCAAGCTTCACTGGGGGTTGGAATTTATGTTCACATGCTCTTCATGATCACTCAATGAATTAAACGTTTTGATCTTCCCTGGGAGCTGACTCTGCAACATTTCCAATATGTCTGTGCCAACGACCTACCGGGCATTTAGACGTTTACCGGGCGAGAACTCGGGGACTATCTTTTCGACCGTGGAAAAAATGCAGTCGCTGCAATCACATGAGGTTTTAATCCGGGTACATGCTGTCTCACTGAATTACAGAGACATTGCTATGCTTCATGGTAAATACCCTATTTCGGTCAAGGAACAAGGCATTCCAGGATCCGATTGTGCGGGTGAGGTTGTGGCTGTTGGGTCAAATGTGAGCATGCGTATCGGAGATCGCGTGGCGCCCATCTTCGACCTAAAATACATTCAAGATGTGGACCCAGAGGGAGCAGTAGGACATTTAGGTGGAAACATAGACGGTGTGCTCCAGCAATACGCGAAGTTCGATGAGAACGTTCTGGTCTATATTCCGCCACATCTATCCTGGGAAGAGGTATAACTGAGTTTCAAATTTCGACTTTTAGGCCACATTTTGAAAGTCTACTAACACCCATTAAAAGGCTGCTTGTATCACATGTGCTGGAACTACGGCTTGGAATGCGTTGCACATGTCCGAATCTGAAGGCCGACCAAGGTCTGCCTTGATGCTGGGTGAGGAAACCTGGTTTTATGCGCATGGTTAAAATGTATCAACTTCTAATAGTCATTAGGAACTGGCGGTGTATCAACTTTCGCACTATCCATTTGTCTAGAGGCTGGTATTCGACCAATCATAACTTCCTCATCCGATTCAAAGCTCCAGGAGATATTATCACTGGGCCCAGAAGGAGCCATAGAAGTCATCAATTATCGGACTCACCCAGAATGGGAGATGGAAGTTCTCCGTCTCACTAACGGGAAAGGTGTTGATGTCATCCTCGAAACGGTCGGGGTAGTAGCATCAAACAAAGTGTGGCATGTGCCACAACAAGGGGTTTTATCTCATGGATCGGTTTCTTGGGTGGCTGGGAGCGAGAGGGCTTTGTGAATGCCTTGGGGGACCTTTTTCTCAAAGCTGTAACTCTTCAGTCGGTTTCTCCTCCTCGGCCTTATTCCGTGGTCATATATGATACTAATATCTCTACGATAGACCAATACAGATCGGCTCTAAGCTTGATCAAGGAAATCTCTGCCGGTTTCTGGAGGAGAAGGAGATTTCATTGAAGCATATCATTGGAAAGGTCTTCCCTTTTGAGGAGTCCCCTGCAGCATTTGAATATCTTCATTCCGGCCGTCACACGGGAAAGGTTGTCATAAGAGTTTAAAATGGACATATCGACAGTAAGCTTTGAAATAGTTCGTGTTTTGGGAAGATACAATTATTGAGCTTTAATCTGGAATCCACTTGTGTCTGTCCGAGGCGAAGAGTAGCGGAGACATTTGATCGATCTTTCGATATCAATTTGAGAGCGTCTTCCGAAATTATAATACTTTTCGTTTTCGGTGCGGCCTCCAAGGCTCTTTATGGTGTATTGGCTTGCAACGCTCGTTAATAGCACGGACTAGACGATTGGCTTGGATTAATTCATATCGACCCTATCTTTCAAAACCTGGCATTGTCGCCCAATCTTTTTTCGTCAAATATCCTCCAGATTCTTTGTTCGGAGCTTGTATCTTATTCACGGCGTTCTTGATAACTGTTTCCACCCACGTGATTGTCTCTGTGTCAATCGGCAGCGGGCGCGGCAAACGCTATTGTTGTTGCCCAGCAACAACAGCGTTGAAGACAGTCCTCGCACAGCTGGATGGTATATAGATGTCTTTTAAACTTCAGAAGCTGGTGCGGAAGATTTTGACTGATTTAATATAGACTCGGGTGAATTGTAGCAGAGATGGCGCTAACTGGGATCTGACATAGCTTACCTGCCATGGTAAAATGTGCTGCCTGGGAATGTATTAGTCCAACTATCGATGATATATGGTCCACGGTACTCCCTTTACTCGAATGGTTTACCTCACGGCAGATGCTAATAGCCTCGCGAGTGATCAACAATCAACACCAACTGTCGGAACAGGGTTTCCCTGACCATGTATCCCATAATATTGACGACCACGTCAAGGCGGCCAAATCTCTCTACGGCTGGAAAAAGTGCATTGATGATATTCTTGCTGGAAGTTGTAAAACCCCAGTATCCGGCTTCGAAAATCGTACTGACCAGGACTTACCCATGCAAGATGAACAGCCGGTCCCTGTTTGTATTATCTGACTAAGTGATGTATGACAGGATTGGTATGCACATGCCAAAATATATGTTTCAGAGTCGAGCCCCGTTTCTGACATTCCCTCGACAACTTGTCGTCTTATTTTAAGACATCGCCGATGTAAAGGAAATCAAGAAGCAACTTGAAGGATACGATAGTCTTTGCTTTGGAGTACTAATGAAGGTGGTTCCCCCCAAACAATATCTTCCCTCATTCGAGTTACCCTGTGGTTTCTTTTCATTAGCTTTCTTGACATATGCACGTAGCCGATGACAGGTCGTTCATTTTCACATAAATCAACAGAAGATTTACCTATACGCAAATATACCCGCAGCTGTACTTAAAATTTATGGTTTCCTCGCACGGCGCTTAATCTGGAAACCATTGAGCTTCGTATAATCGTAAGCACAGAAGTATACAGTTTGTAGTAAAGTAAGCCGGATTGCATTTTCCAGTGGCTATTCCGCTCGATATGCCGACTCTCATAACCTGATGATGAGAATGTTCTTCTGATAGATACTTGAGATGTCTTCTTTTCATGAAAGCTATGATACATTTCAAAGATTTGTACTTCACCTGTCATTTTCAGAGGAGGTAGTTGACTCTTGACCATTTTGACTGTACCGTAACGGGTCCCGCTAGAATCTTTCATTTTCATTCAATCCATTCAAGTAATGACACATAGGCCTTGGAGGTAACACCGGAAGTTACCAGAAGCTACTTTCTATGATTTGCATGTCAGCCCCTGAGCCGAAATGGTATGCGCTATTCGGCCGATCCGTTAACTCCGCTGTCAGCACTTGGATTATCTCCGAATGTTTTGATAAATCTATGCTTGAAGGGATCGGTATACTTTCCATCTATTCGAGACAATTTTTCTCCTAATTCAAAGAGGACTAAACGGGCAAATATCATAAATCATGCAGGGTGTATTTTGGAAGTATGCTGCCAAAAACATCCTGGTTGACTCGTAGCGAGGAAACGTAATTGTTCGCGTTCGTGTGCTTCACGTGACATGGTCGGCTAAGTATCATGACGTCAACACTTGACCGACAGTACTTCCGGGTGGACGATACCGCTTAGGTCCTTGGGCCGATAGATTACATTTACTGTTATCGTGTGCTGCCTGTGCTGCTGAGTGAACTATATGAGCAGCATCAATGGCGACGCAATTTACTTTCGGATACCTTCCAATTTGTCACAACATCACGTCCAATAACTCGCTAAGCCACTGTCATTAACGCTTTTGTTCATTTGTACCACCATCGCCTTCTGTGAAACTTCGCAGTAATGTGTGAAGTGTCGATCAAGAAGGGCCACATTAGCCTAGCAGGCATTCTCTGTAAACCCACAGCACAAACTGGCAAGACTGCAGGTCTTATTGTTGTCCACCCCGGCGGCGGTGTCAAGGAACAAACCGCAGGGACATATATGCAAAAAGACTCGGCGATGCCGGTTTCACCACAATTGTCTATGATAGTGGGGGAGAACCTCATTTTCTCGAAGAACCAAACTAACGTGTGAGCGATGTTTACGCCGCCATCGACTGCCTCCATAATGTCTACTTGGAGTAGGTTGGCGTTCTCGGAATCTGCGCTGGAGGCGGCTATGCTGTGCCAAGTGGAACCATCAACTGAAGGCTGTGGCCAGCGTCAGCATGGTAAATATCGGAGACTCTGCCCGTCTCGGATGGCATAGCGACGAGCACCTATCTAAGCAGGCCGACTCGCTACGTGCAGCAGCCGCCCAGATTACAGCAGAGGCTAAGTGTGCTGCGCGTGCCGTTGCACCATACGTGCCTCTGCAGCCGGGCGACAAAACCCCTCGAGACATGAGGGAGGCTAGTAATTACTACCTGACTCCACGGGCACAGCATCTCTGTGTCGAAAACAAGATGCTTTATCTGAGCTTCCTTCGCGTTCTCATATTCGACGCTTTCCATCTCGCGGATGTTTTCTTAACGCAACCTGCCCTTCTCATCGCCGGAGGCTGCGTCTTCCTGGCACACAGGGATGTTGGATAAGCTCATTGGCGGTGCAAACAAAAAGGTAATCGTCCTGAAAGGAGCTCACATGGATTTTTACGATAATGAAGACTATGTGGGACCTGCTTTGAAAGAGATTTCAGTGTTCATGAAGACGAATCAGGCTTGAAGCGGCGATGTTCGGCGGGCTCGCGTAACTCAGGTTGACCTTCGTGGACGCCCGGGCGCAAAAGGAGACGCAGATGGCTCTGTGCAATTTTTGAAATGAATCCACGTGAAGTGAATTTTCCATAGAAGAGTATGATAGTGTATTCTGATGGAAATTGAGCCAACTGCCTTTTATAACAATAGATTGATCTACCAAACTTGACTCTTGGCCATCTACCGGATCTGTGGAGTAGGAGTAAAATAGAAAGGATTTAATGAGAAAAGTACTATTATCGTTGTTAGCCTCCAACTTCCAAATGCTCCCAGCAATAGGCGAGCGCAGGATCAATCCCCGGAGGTACTATCATCTAAATATGAACCTGGAGGCATCGTAAGCATTGAATTTCAAGGGTGACGGCATGATATTTGGCTTGAATATAACGACTAGATAAGATAATATCCAATTGTCGACCTTCACCCCGACAACAGTCAATAATATTAGGCGTAGATATACAGTGGTTGAACCATACATGGTGAGCTTTGACCGCTCAATGTCTTTCTAGTAATAAAGTTTACTCCTTTGGGTGTCGGCAATAGATGAAAAAGAATGGGCGCTTGACAAGGTTCTCAATTAGTGCCTTGTACAGAGAAGCTATCATTAAAGGGTAATAAAATTACCGGTTAGACCTCGCCAAAATCATGGGCGGGTTTTGATTTTGAGAACGCGGCCCAAAATTCCCAATGTGTAACTGTACAGCCCGCGAAGCAAGGAGGAAAGTGATTTGTCCCAGGCATAAAATTGTGCGGTAATTTTGGCTTCCATCGTAGTATGAGAATCAGTTTGTTTGGAATGGAGGGATATAGAGGGAAACAAAATAATAGGTTGAGATTGGATAATAATAGACTAGTACATACCGCTCGTGAGTATGCAGTTGGCTTGATGTCATTGTGACCCTTCTAGTGGATTTGTGTGAAATCTGCGACCGAGATGTGTGAGCTGCGATTGGAGGTCGATGCAAATGTTCATCACCTTCGTACTCCGCATTCTCTATGGTCTCTATTTGATATTTTTTTATTTTTTTCCTTCTACAATTTGGAGCTTATTCCATTGCTAACATATTCTACAGGCCGCTTGTATAACATGCGCTGGGACTACAGCTTGGAATTCTTTGGAAATAAGTAAATGCCATGACCCTGAAAGATCGAGCTTGATGCTCGGTGAGCTCTGACCCTGAAAAGTCAAGTGAACGATGTGCTAATTCAGAGATGCTATAGGGACCGGAGGCGTGAGCATGTTCGCACTGTTGATCTATCTAGCTGCTTGTATCCGTCCGATCATCACGTCCTCTTCAGATAAGAAATTACGGGACGTCGCAGCCCTTGGTCCAGATGGTGTGATCGATAATATCAATTACAGTACCAAGCCTGACTGGGATCAAGAGGTCCTTCGGTTAACCTCCGGAAAGGGCGTTGAAATTTTCGGAGCCGTGAGTATCGAAAAAGTGTCACCTCTATGACCAACCGCGGTACCATCTCTTGGATCGGGCTCCTGGGTGGACTAGAGCTTGAGGACTTCGTGAAACTTTGGGGGAGCTCTTCCTGAAAGTCGGAACACTCAAGTGAGCTTTCTGTTGAAAATAATTGGTAATAGATTAAGTGAGGTAACTGAACAATTACTAGGGCAATTCAAGTCGGCTCGAAAATAGACCAAGAGAATTTCTGTCACTTTCTAGAGGAGAAGAAGGTTTCTTTGGAGCCTATCATCGGCAAGAAATTCGATTTTAGGAGTTCCCCGAGGCATTTGATTATGTTCACTCGGGGCAATGTGTCGGAAAGGTCGTTATTACGGTGTCTAAATACGACGATTCATGTCAGAAAAGCATGATTGGGGTACTGAAGGCTATGAAAACCCAGCAGGGGTAGTTTCTGGGATCAAACCTCTCGGGTTGGTGTGAATAGGCTATGTTGTGAAATGGGCTCTCTGATAGGATTTAAGGTTTATTGCCGGGCTTGGAGAGTAAGTAGTTGAATGAACTAGCAAGTTTCATATTTGGCGAAAGGAACAAATAAAATTCGCGAAGACCGTGGAGGAAGCGAGCTATATTAAAGGTGTTGAAAAGGGAGAGAAGACTCGAGAGAAAACGCTGCAACGGTGATCGAATATCGATCTACAACACGTACAGGACTTCGATGAAAAGATGCTGCTCGACAAAAAATGGCTTGAATGGCTTCTTTGATTTCATCAGGTAATTCATTCCACGAGTAGTTCCACAAACGATATGAATTGCTATTTGTCAGGGACCCCTCTGAGTCCTGCAAGAATTGGTAGGAATACGGTACAAATGAAGACCTCTGATGAGGTCATCCAATAGCACTAGGGGTGCGAGGTGTTGTTGTGATAAGAGGCTGGAACAGAGCAGGAACAAAGCCGTACCATCGGAATTATCCCAGTATTGCCAGTGGCAACAAAAATGAGAATAGGGGAAAGGGGCATGTTTGAGGATGATTCAACTATTCCTGAGTAAAAGATACGTAGAGTATAATGAGATACGCTATGACTCAGGTCACACCATGGTAGTGCTTTCTGTCAGTTTATAAGATACCTCCTAGTAGTTATTTAGCGTTCTCAGCGGAATCAATCATTACAGTATTCGAACGAAACTTAATAGCGCATTACCTAAGCGTGATACTATTGAAAATCATAAATTTGCCAATAAAAAGGATGAATTATTCACAGATTATTTGTAATGTCGCCGTTGGCCTCCCTGTCGTTGGGAACCCGGTGGGACCCCGGTGGGATCCCGATGGGAGCCGGATGGGAGCCGTGCTGAGCTAACAGGTTCCCCTACAAACAGCCAATACCCGCGGCATTGTCAATCTTTCCGTCTCCGCGAATCTGGAACATGATCGATTAGTGAGCCACACTGGCTTCTAGAAATGATGTAAAATTAGTAATTTATAAAAATCATTCAAAATTTCTCTTGGACTAGAAGAACGACTGCTTAATATATGACCAAGGCGAAAGCCCGATTGACTCACTGCCTCAATGATATCTCTGGAACTTCACCGGCTATCGAAGTATAGCTCGAAGCCCGAAATTCCAAATTTGCCACTCAACCAACCATTTCTCTGCTGGCCATATTATTAGACTGTCTTTTTTTTTCTCTTTTGCTTTGCTCTTCATATTTTCTTCACCGATACACATATATACCCATAATGGTGGCCCGACAATCAACACGATCGTCCAACCGCTCGCACTCCGATAATGCACGCAAGCGCGTGTGCAAGGCCTGCGATCGCTGTCGTTTAAAGAAATCTAAGGTGTGTGAAAATGGAAGGAGGATGGTGCACTTAACCAAACTAAACGGACAAGTGTGACGGAGCCAAGCCATGTTCGCGCTGTCGCGCGGATGATGCGATCTGTGTCTTTGAGGGGCAGAAGAAGGCCCAGGATAAAGTGTATCCCAAGGGGTGAGCATGGCAAATAGAGACTAGAGGGAATAATTAAGTCAAGCTGACCATACCTCAACTGATAGGTACGTTGGGATGCTCGAACAGCAGCAAGTCTGGCTGGTCTACGGCCTCCGGGCACTCTATTGTCGTAGTGTTCAACGCAAAGGTTGGCCTGGTGACCCTTTGAAGCCCATGCCGAACGGTCACCCTCTTACCCACGACCTTCTCACTCGCCTTGGCGCCCTCGATCACATCCAGGGCGAACGCTATGAGGAAAACCCCAAGGTCATGCAGCACAAGCTGTGGCGCAACGGCATGCAGAACCAGATTTACTCTGACAGCTCCTCCGAAAGACCTCAGAGCCCCGCTGCCCGCTCGTACCTCTCCTCTCATGTCTTCTCTTCTTTCCAGCAGAATACTTCTCTGATCCGAACTGCCTATAACTCCTCTTGCAGGACCACGGCGCAGATTAAACCGGAGCCCGGCATGGCCGTCACGCCCAACCAAAAATGCCAGTATGCGCTGTCTATCCCGGGCATAGTGAATCCATTGGCCCTTGAGGGTGAGTCTCAGCAGTTGTCAGGGCATAATGGGTTCGATCCGTTTGACGAAGTGGATCTGATGACGATGGCCGATTATGTGCTCAATTTTGACGGCTCCAACCCGTCGCGGATGTACAATCGTCCCATGCCAATGAACTGGATGCCGTCTGGTAATTATGACGAATTCCTTTAGGTCCGGTCGCATTTTGTCGTTCCATAGACTACTAGTACATCAGTATAGCCAGAAACACCTGGGCCATACTGCCGAGATTACTTATTGCGCCATAAAGATCCGTGATCGGGCGTTGAAACTACCCCACTGCTCAGAGGCTGCGCCTCCGGACTGAAGGGCAACATTTGGCCAGTGTTGCGTCATTGTGTGACATTTTGGTAATGTTACTTTCGATTGAGAAGTGTGGAAACCACTGCGCAGATTGGCGTCTCGTCAAGTACTTTTTTCACCTTCTCAGTAGCTACCTTCAATGCTACCACCTCGATCACTGCATAGTCTGGAAGGCCTTGGTGACAGGTTTTGAGAGCTCTATCGAAGTTTGGATGGTGTCAATTGCAACTCGCTTTCCAAAATGGATGGTTGGGAGCTGGAAGGGCGTTCGTCTTGTGACAGCAGAATTTTGTCGGGGGGATGCTTCGATGGTGACTGGTCGTGATGTCCGCTTCTAAATTCGGCTATCACTGAAGGTGCAGAAGCGAGTGAGCGATGCACAAGATCCTACTTTGAGTACTGCGCGCGCAGGCGGTACAGCATCGACTTCCATATTCTGCTCCCTTTAACCTGCGTCCCGTCGATATATGTTGGAGAAAGAATGCGTTACGCAGAGCCAACTTTGATTCACTTTGTTTTCATTTTCCATTTTATTTAACTGTATCTAGCGTCTATGGAAAGAATTTAGATGGAGCAAACTCTTTTGTTTGTCACCGTGTAAGTCTCTCAGCTGGCGAAGGGCATATCGTACCTAGTGTTGTCTTATCGATCTGTGCCGGGGCAGGCGATCTTGGTATCAGTTAGTACTGGATGAATGGTATCGAATTGAATGGACTGAATAGGATTAAATTCTTGATTGCAGATGAGTGTAAAGCGCTGTTGAAGTGCAGTATAGATTTCAGGGATTCGGCTTGTGTTGAATTTGTATCGAGCGCACATCTTCGCAAAAACGCAAAGACCGCGACCGATTAGTAAGTTTTGAGGCAGCAAAATAGATTCGGAGTGGAATCAGATAATTAGTCGAATATTCGAAAATAATTACCAATGTTGAATATCACGGTTGTCAAACCCTGGGGGGATCACCAAGAGACATAAGTAAATGAAGGGCCCTACTTAACAACTCAACAACCCTATCTCACCATGCGCAGCCTTAAATGAAACTCATTCTTGGCTCGATTATCTCTTTCAGCCATCACCGACTATTGTAGGTCATGATGACATCGCACGGGCGCCGATATTCATCTTTCTTGGCCACATCGGCCGACGGAAGCTTATTGGCGGCTCAGTATCGGCCGAAACTCTCCCAATTTCTTGCGCCCTCGATCCATCGGCCGAAATTGATCCTTAGCCCGACGGTGCGTCATCGACCAGCGCTGCGGCGCGGAGATTATAAATAGGGAGTGAAAAGTCGCCGAAAAACAAGAATGCTACATTCCAGGCTGTCAACCTGACGATCTTCCCGACTCGAACTACTTTCTAAACCATGTCCGCGATATCGATCAAGAAGGGCCCTATCTCTTTATCGGGCCTGCTCTTCAAACCCTCCGATCCAACAGCAAAGAAAAAGTCCGGACTGGTGATTGTTCATCCAGGCGGTGGGGTCAAGGAACAAACGGCTCAACTCTACGCTCAGAAACTGGCGAACGCTGGCTTCACCACAATTGCGTATGATGCATCCTACCAGGGTGCCAGCGGAGGCGAACCTCACTTCCTCGAGGACCCAAATGAGCGTGTGAGTGATGTCTACGCCGTTGTCGACTATCTTCAGAATCTCGATACTGTTGACCCGGAGAAGATTGGTGTCCTGGGTATCTGTGCTGGAGGTGGTTACGCAGCAGCTGCTGCAAAGGCAGACCATCGATTGAAAGCATTAGCAACCATTAGCATGGTTAACATTGGAGACTCCGCTCGCAAGGGCTGGGATGGAGACGAGGATCCTTCTAAGCAGGTCGAATCGCTTCGTGGAGCTGCAGCTCAGATTACCGCTGAGGTTAAGGGTGCCGAACGCGTTGCTGCACCTTATGTCCCTCCTCAACCCAATGACACGACCCCGAGGGACATGAAGGAGGCCAGTGACTATTACCTAACCCCGCGTGCACAGCATCCCCGAGCCGAGAATAAAATGTTGTTCCTTAGCTTCCCCAGGGTTCTCACATTCGATGCTTTCCATTTGGCTGATGTATTCCTTAAGCAGCCTTCCCTTTTCATCGCCGGTGAAAAGGCAGGCTCGCTTTGGCACACAGAACGATTGGATAAGCTGGTTGGTGGCGCCACGAAGAAAATCATTGTCCCCAACGGAGCACATATGGACTTTTACGACAATGAGGCTTATGTCGGACCAGCTGCGAAGAATGTTGCTGACTTTATGAGCCAACATCTCGCCTAGTGGTTTTCCAGTTGGCTTCAGTCACATGGATGCTGTATAGTAATGTGCAAGTTTGAGATGTCTCAGAAAATAGTGTTGCTGTACTGGAGCCCCAGGAATACTACATGGAAATTTACAAGAACTTTCCAAGATGAAATCATCGTTGATTAGACTAAGAAGCCCATTTATCGCAATAGACTCTACGAGCCTTAGCATCCACTGCGATACCACAATTTTAAACAATACAACCCCAAGGAAGACCCGTGGCAGTGCTCAGAAGCCTGAAGTAAGTGCACAGGCAACCACTGTTTGGAGAACTGCACATCTGATATCCTTGAGTACGCGGCCTGTTAAGAAAACCACATAACTCAAAGATCTCCACTCCACAAACTTGGACGAAGCGTAGAAAGTGATCAATAACCAAGAGCAAGAAATAGCGGCCAACCAGGAATATCTCCCACCATATACATCTAGTATCCAGTATATGGATGCACACGGTACGATATCGCAGGATTTTTGGCATATCGTTATCGTTATCGTACCGTCCATTTTTTGGCATATCGTATCGTATATCGTAACAATTTTTCTAGCACCCAGCGATATGATATACGATAATAATCATTATAATTATAGCGTGACGATACGATAAACGGTACGATATAACGATATCGCACGATACAACGATATCGCCATGTAGTACTAGGGCCTATATACCAGCCACAGTGGCGTTGGCTACAGTCGCCTGTCGGCGACGGTCACCACCACAAGGGCCATCCAACATCGCTACGACGCGCTGAATCGCTCGAATCTGCAATAAAAAATAAACCAACCTCTGTTTCCTATCTAGGACTAGCTCCGATGACCTCCTATAACCTCCACATCCCCCCTATGACTACAAAATATCGTCCATCAACATCAACATTCGAATTGTATCCCCGTTTAATCTACCTCGTCGGATTTTCAAAAGATCACGTCTGTAAACGCTTTAATTTTTATAATTGCAGGTAGTAGGAAATCGAATGCTTATTATGGTATGACATTTTCCCCCTTGTCATATAAATTTGTATGGTAAGTATAAGAAAAATATATTGCATGTACACGGTGGCTCCTACCACCAGATATATATTTATCATAGAGGTGTGTGGTGCCGCAAACTGAGGCCTCTCATTGGCCAGCGTCCGGGGGCTCATATGACTAAGGTCCCGTGACTAAGCTTGGCATTATCGCAACGATGATATCGTAATGCAGGATTCGTATCGTTATCGTATCGTCAGAACAACGATATTGACGGTACTATAGGCGATAGTTATCGTTAAAAACTTTGAAAGAACGGTACGATACGCGATATCGTATCGCAAAATTTTTTCCTCTGCGGTACGATAGCGATAACGATAAAAACGGTACGATATCGTCAAAAAGCGATATCGTGTGCATCCCTAATCCAGTAGTACAGTAGAATTCATAGGACATAATAATTCAAACAGGCTGACCTCGGGAGAAGACCTGGAACACAACTTCGTTGCGGAACAATCAGTCATTGCGATCATGTGATTCACGTTTCAATCTCAAAATCACGTGTTTTCCTATGAACACCACTGTAGGCTACCATAGACACCTTCATTGGACATCAATTTGAATGTATGAGGGCGTCAGGTATCCGAGAGGATGATGACATCCTACAGCCTAATGCCTATCAAAAAATTGAGGCCCCATGACCCGACATTGCAGATCTGCTTATCTTCCCCAATGTCACAAAACTCGTAGTACCCATACAAGTCCCCTAGAGGCAGCCTCAAAGAATATACAGTCATTAACCTTAGTCATCGAGGCAATTCGTCATACATATCAACAAGTCCAACAAGACCACCCAGACAAAGCCGAAATTATGATGCAGGGAACTTTAACCACCACAGCGAGTTGCAGGAAGGAGGGCAAAGTGGCCACATATTACCATCAAGGGGAGGCAGAGTCAATTCTACAACTGATGGAAGACTGGTACTTGAGAAGCTTATTTGCGAGAATATCACCCTAAAGGAATTGCCTTGGCGGTCGACCATTGATATTTGCCTCGTGTCTAGGTTTCTAGGTTGCTAGGCTATGAGATGTAACCGAAGCGCCGCTGTTCAACTACATGGGGGCTCTTCTGAATCTTTACCGTACGGATCTAAACTGTCAAATCTATCCACTGATAGAACAAAAACAGAAGTATGTGGGATTGAGATACTGATGTAGATGGGTACAATGTGCAGTATTCCGCGCCGCCATCCTTATACCTGCTTGTTTGATTAAGAAAATCCTCAGCGAGAACACAAGTGATATGCCTAACGTAGCGCATAATTCATCTATAGAGAGTCGTACAAAGCTGCTCTCTGACCTGATCACATTATATCTCCCATGGACTACCTCAACAGGAGGATTCTATCAATTCCAATCAAAGGCGCTCTTTGTTCTTGCTCATTGCTATCCAAAATCTTCGAGTGAACTAAGCAATGCATGGGAACAAATTCCCAGTTTGGATTTTCAATACTGCCTTTGGCATGGGGAGTGTTGCACTTTCATTTATTCTTCTAGTTGACGACTGATTTGGATGTTTATTGGAAAACGACACCGCGCGTAGACACCGGCCAGCCCACTTTTGAACATATGAATCAGGCCCCTTGTTCAGTAACAGATTTGAGTTGATAATCATCAGCAAAATTCTTCAATAAAAGTAGTGTGTACAGCGCTGACGGGGATTAGGAACCAGGACACGATACCTGAGAGGATTTCCCAGCAGCGCGAAGATATTTTATATAAAACCCTAATATTATGCTTTCCCCCGAACAAAAGAATGAGTCTTTGATTCACAACCCAAAGCAATCTGCCATTGGAATTTCCGGAAAAGCCAGTACTTCAGCATTGTAAATTAATACTGTCCATTCAATTCTGCAATATTTGAGTGAAGCTAGCTTCACAAGGGCTCAGAGAGCTACTGATGATATTGGTCTGATTTAAATTTGCCTTTATTTATCATGTGCTATCTGAACGAAAAGGCGCCGGTCTGATGGAGTGCACGGATCGTATGCTTCTGGGGACTTCAATTAGCATTTTAAGGGTTGGTTTCGCCCACTGCCAGATCGCTGCAGAATGACAAAACGCTTGAAGCTCTGTGGATCTAAATCATCATTGGAAGCCCTATATTCTTGGACTAAGAATTTACTGAGCATCACTGCAGGATCTGTATGAATTTAATATTTATTAATCCAGTTGTACGCCTTTAGAAAGCAAGATCGGACGTGAGCGGATCGGCCGAAATTTATCGGAGATAGTACACACCGCCTAGTGCTGAAATAATCTCTCCCACTCTGCTTTTCCGATTTTGAACATCGAGCCCGAAAATTATCGGCTTCGCCGATAATTGACGGATTCAGTTACGTCATGACATCCTATTGCCGAAATATGATGTATCTCTTTGAAGCCTATAAGAACAAATACGCGGGCTTTATTCCATTCTCTGCTGTAAAAACTCTCAAATATCGATTTATCCCACACGGCTACAATCATGTCCGGCAGAATCGAGACGGTCAGCATCCCAAATATTGCGTGGAAGACCGCAGCCGATATCCACTTTCCACCCAACTTTGACGAGAAAAAGAAGTACCCGGCGGTCGTTTCTGCCCACCCTATCGGCTCCTGTAAAGAGCAGACCTCGGGTAACATATATGGAAAGGCAATCGTGAAGGCAGGGTTTGTGGTTGTCACCTTCGACGCTTCTTTCCAGGGCGCTTCCGGTGGCGGGCCCCGCTTTATCGAGGACCCTGAGTTCCGCGTCTCGGACTTCCGCTTTGTTGTCGACTTCATCCAAACACTCCCTTATGTCGATGCGGAGCGCATTGGCGTGCTCGGTATCTGTGGCGGAGGTGGCTATGCCATCAATGCAGCCATGACGGACTACCGCTACAAATGTTGCGTCGGTATCACGCCCGTGAATTTCGGCCGACTCTCCCGAGAAGCGTTTGGTGATTTCGACCCTGTGGCCTCGCTGGAGAAGATGGCCAAACAGCGAACTATTGAGGCTCAGGGTGGTGACCGCCTTGTCATTAACCTGCTGCCACCTACCGTTGACGATGCCAAGAAAGCGACCACGGACATTGATGTGATCGAGGCAACCGAGTACTACAAGACCAGCCGCGGCCAGGCGCCAAATGGCTGCACCAGCGGTCTTTTCTCTTTCAATAGTGCCGCGCTCGCGTGGGATGCTTTCAACCATGCTGAGGTACTTATGACAAAGCCGCTCATGGTTGTCGTCGGTGATAAACCCGGCGGTTTTGGCGCTTACCGTGATGCCCAAGAAATCTATGGACGGGCTGGCTCCAAACAGAAGCACATAGTAGCACTGCCAGGAATCTCGCATTATATGCTTTACGATAAGCCCGAAGCTGTCCAGCCCGCACTAGAAAGGGTCCTCCCCTTCTTTAAAGAGCACCTTGGCGAAGCTAGATAGATCGGAACATTCGCACTGCAAAATGAAATCCGGAAATGAAGTATCTTATCATTCAAATTTTCCAAAATGCTATACAGCGAAATATCTCACATATCGAAATTTCAATCTTAAGTTACATGTTTGAGTATATTGGAAGATGGTAATTTATTAAGTCGCTGATGACATCTATTCATCACCCCAACATTGAAGGTTGATAGGGCAATTTCGGCATAACTTCATATGTCGTCGTGAGATGCTGAAATAGAGTACAAGAAGTTCTAGTCTATTAATATCTCGCTAGATGATATACTCGATTGCTGACTATAGTTTTTGCTGACTATGGTTTTTAACTTAACACTTCATTGATTTGATATTATGAGCCTAAACTATATCACCTCAATGAGACACTGTAATTACAACTTTCCCAAGGCATTGTCCTGAGTAGAGATAGTCGAAAGCCGCAGGAGATTCGAAGAAGTCAAATGTCTTCCCAATGATCGGTTTCAACGAAATGTGATTCTCTTCGAGAAATCGGCAAAGATTTTCTTGGTCAGCCTTCGACCCAACTTGAATTGCCCTATGAGTTGGTTAGTTCAATTCGTCTTGCGTGTTCAAAAGCTGTCTGTTTCTTATATGATAACTCACTTCAAGGTACCGACTTTCAAAAAAAGCTCTCCCAAGGATTTGACAAAGTCGTCTAGTTGCAGCCCCCCCCAGGAACCCGATCCAGGAGATCTGCCCGCGGGTCGACATAGAGTTGACACTCTTCTTGATGCTCATGCCACCGACAGTTTCGAGCACAATGTCAACACCTTTCTCTGCTGTCAGATGAGCTACACATTCTTCCCAGTCAGGATTTTCACGATAATTGATGGTATCAATAGCACCAGTTGGACCAAAAGCTGTGACATCCTGCAGCTTCTTATCAGAAGAAGATGTAATTATCGGACGAATACCGGCGCCTATACAGATCAACAGAGCGAACAAACTGACGCCCCCAGTTCCTACATATCACTTGCTTATCAGCCTACCGGACAACTTTCTGACATCAAAAGGTCGGGTTTTGAGCATACCAAGCATCAGAGCACTCCTTTCGCCTTCGTGAGATTCATTCATCTCCAAGGCATTCCAAGCTGTAGTGCCGGCACATGTTATACACGAAGCCTAGACAATCGTTAGACTTAATCCAGCTCGAGAAGGGGATATGATCGGTAAGTGATGGCAACTGTGAACAAAGTGACGGAATGGACTGGTTTTAGTCGACATACCTCAGCCCAGGAAAGATGTGGTGGAATATGAACAAGGACGCTCTCATCAAAGACAGCATACTGACGCAGGACTCCATCAATATTTCCGCCTAGTTGAGCAACCTTGCTTTCAGGATCTACCCCGTCAATGTACCTCAAGTCGAAAATTGGGGACACGCGGTCTCCCAATGATACTTTGCTGACTGCCGATCCGACAGCAATCACCTCCCCGGCACAGTCAGATGCTGGAATTCCCTGGTCTTTGACTGAAACAGGATATCGGCCGTGGAGCATTCCAACGTCTCGATAGTTCAAAGAGACGGCGTGAATGCGAATCAGAACCTCACTTGACTGTAGCGATGGGGTGCGTTCAATAGATGGAATAATGGCCTCCGTGTTCTCACCCTGCCCACGTCGAAACGCGCTGTATGTTGCTGGCACCGTCATCTCCTCGAAAGCAGACTTTCTTTCGATGATCAACAATTCGATTGCAAATCCGCCTCGAACACCCGGAAATATTCTGTTTCCCGCTGACACGAGACCATCTTTATAAATGAATCCTAGCATCTATATTGACTCAATCATCTTAAAAATCATTTGTCATTATGGGATCATCAACGGCGTACCATTGCAAATGAAAAGGCTCAGAATTAGTAATATGGCTTTCGAGCCGAAATCCGATGAGTTCGCCCGCCGCAATCCCACCAGCATTTCGGCCGATAACGCACCGAAAACCGTATGTATCCTCTACCGCACAACTATCTTTAAGAATCAAGTGGGAAATAAGTGTCTCCACATGCAGGATTTGGAAAAGTACATTGGATTATTAACATCGTGCTCGATTACCAATGATTCCAACTTCAGCTTATAGCGCGAGGATTTTCATAGCGTCCCCCGACTTTTGGGTGTGTGGGCATTGCTTCGGCCGAAATTAATTCAATTGTTCGGCATTAGTGCGGGGAATTAGTATACCAACCATCGGCTGACGACCTCGTCTCAGGACATCCCATAACGAGTAAATACTCTACTGCATCATTTTTCATGACCGAAGCCTGCCCGGGTATGATGCTTCAGAGATTGATTCGTCCATGGTGAGTCTTATATTGAAATTCACTACACGCCACGATATAGTTTTACTGATGGAACTTATTTTCTTTGCTCTTTTTATAATAATTGTCTGTTCCGTCGCGGGAGAATTACACAAGCGTTTCAATATGTCTGTACCTACGACCAACCAAGCATTCAGACGTTCACCAGGTGAGAATCCGGGAACGATCTACTCGACGGTAACAAAAGAAACTTTCGCTTCAACCGCACGATGTTCTAATTGAGGTACATGCCGCTTCTTTAAATTACAGAGACGTCGCTTTGCTTCATGGTAAATATCATATATCGTGTAAGGAACAGGGAAATCCGGGATCCGATTGCGCGGGTGAGGTAGTGGCTGACGGGTCACATGTGAATAATGTGCTTGTTGGAGATGGCGTGGCCCCAATTTTCGACTTGAAATATATCAATGATGTGAATCCACTAGGAGAAGTATCACATTTGGGGGGATATATAGATGGTGTACTGCGGCAATAAGCAAATTTCGATGGAAAGGTTGTGGTTCATTTTCCGCAACATCTTCGTCGCGGGTTCAATCCCTTTCCTTTATGCTGTCCACCTTTTTTTTTTTACAAAAGTAGAATTAAAACTGCCACTATTTACTTAAATAATGATATGCCCACTGATCGTCTTCTTATCGAGAACGCTTGTCCGATCTCTTTGATGCGTGGTGTGACCAAGTCCTATCGATAGAAAAGAGAATTGTTTCGTTATTTTTATAACCACTATCCGATGGGTATCCAGGATTGCCAATGAGTTCTAGTTATCAAGAGTTGGTGGCAGCATAGAGGTCCTAGATTGGAATGCAAGATTCGATAGATCGGAACGTCGAAAGATGCCCCACCTAAATTGTTACAGGGATATTAGCAGAGAATAAACATCTCCCGTGGATTGATTCTCTTGAGTGCTGAAAACAGATTTATATAACAATAGAGCTTCAGTTCTGAAATCGTTTTATATCCGTCCGACACGAGCAGTCGCCGAGACGGTGGTTCGGCCGACAGCAGCGGACTGTAAAATAAAGTGAGTTACAAGCATCTGTCAAGAATCTTTTGATAACTATATTGTAGTGGCAGTCTATAGCAAGTTCATGCTCACGTGGCGACTACTGTCACTCTTTTGAGTGATCTCTTCTTTGTGACAGTAAATTGGCTTGCGGCCCTCATCAATATTGCGGACTTGGCAACCTACGTGAGTAAACTTCATATCGCCCCCGCCTTATAAATCCCAAGGTGCCCTTGATCATCATTTGCCTAGCATGTTTGAGTCTCCTCCTTCTAAGCTTGCGTCTCATCCGGCATGTCTTTGATATCTGCTTGGACCATAGGGATTGTCTCTGCGCCAGTCAACAGCCAGCAAGGCAAAGACCGTAGATGTTGCCCACTGACGCATTTGAAACGAACTTTGTACAATTTTTTGGAGTGGAAAATGTCTTTTGAACTTTCGTATTGACCATATACGACATTAGCGGGTTTAATGGATGTTGGACCCCCGAAGCTATTCCCGGATGCTTCTTGGCGCAACTACCATTAACTTAATGTTCCAATTTGGATCTATCTCTTTGAAAAAGAATTCAGTGGAGCTACCAAGCGCAAATTTACTATCATATCTAACAGCATCCAAATTGTCTCATCTGGTCTGCGCTGACAGGGATCTGACACGGCCTGGCTAGCATTATTAGATGCGCTGCCTGGGAATGTTAGCAGTCCACCAATGGATGAGATCTGGACTATTGTGGCCCCTTAGTTACAGGAATTTGTCTTGCGGAATATGTGAACGGCCTCTTGAGTGATGAACACTGGACGCCAGAAAAAGGCTTCCATTTGCAGCCGAGCGTACGAGTCTGGGACGGAATCGGTGTCTCCCACGACCGCATATCCCGCATTGTTGACTGCCACATTAACGCTGTCAAATCTCTCTAAGGTTGCAGATAGAGCATTGATGATGTTGTCTTTTCGTGTGACATCAAGCTTGAGCTTCAGAACGTTGGGTTCGTCAGGTATGTAGGGGAGCGAGGCCACATTCCGAGCGGTTGCAACAACCTGCTGCCGGGCTTAGTAAACCACATCGGATGAACAGCCAGTGACTTTTTGTTGAAAATGTGAAAGAAATGCTCAGTACATGCCGAACCAGACAGTGCTTGAGTCGAGAATCTCCGAATTTTTGATCTCTTCGCCTATTCACCAGTATATGAGAAACTGAGATATAATTCTCTGCATCTGACCTTGCCGAGGCAGCAACTCTACCACTGAAAATTGGGGTTCAGATTACAGGAAAGCATCTAAACACGGCTCAATATCTCCTGGAGCATGGAAAGACATTTATATTTCCTAAATGAATCCCTCCAATGTCCTCTCCCGCGGGTGCCGTAGACATCCATTCTGCTTGATTTGTCCTGATTCTCCGCGCAACCTGCTGAAGCTGTTTTAACGCGAATGTCGTAGTAATTGCAAATTTTGGACATCCACTATATAGTTGTAAGAAATATCTTTGCTTATATACTATTCATAGTGTTCACCGGTCTTAATTGATTATCAAGAAAATATAGCTGCTACAGTGATATCAAAGAACGGTGGCAAGATTCATATCGCTTAATCAATTGTATTTTTTCATAATGAGCGGGTATACTGCTAATTTTCCCCAAGAGTACCTTTACTGAAGCCATATTGCTAAATGAAGGACTTTATGGCTTTTTATCTTGAATATATAAACTAAAAGGTAATTCATCATAAAAGTCACTCGAAAATGGAAATGTTTATAACTTTTCTGATCGAATTACACTTCAAAGCATCATTAATTAATTTTATTATTTAAAAACTGAATTACTACAAAATTATGTAAATTAGTCTTATTACCGAGGCTTTGCCTTAAGCGGGATGCGGGAAACCCGCGGGAAATAGGGAATCCCACATCCCATTTCGATGTTTGAGCATGGGACTGAAAGAACGGGAGAATGAGCGAGATGCGGTGGATTTGGAGATGGTAAACTCTTATTGTGCACTTCCGACATGGTTTTTTCCTCAGCGCGTCGTGATTTTTGTTATCGACTTAAGGGTCGAAGCTAGCCGCGGGTACCCACAACCCGCCTGCATCCAGAAACTCGCATGGCAGCACAAGCCATCTGCTCATTGCAGAATTACTACAATTCACATAGAATTGGGAGGAAAGTAAATTACCAATTTCACCGTTCGTGACTAATCTATTGTTTCCCGAACTAACGTAATCCACGGCCGAGCTGGCCACACGGCCGAGCTGGCCACCCACCCCCATTGCAAAATTTCAAAATTGATTATCTTAGCCAACACCTACTAATTTGACTAGATAATAGGATTTTTACATGAAGTAATCCTATGCCCTCTCACTCCACATCCACTACAGGTAGGAGGAGCCCTCCTAGCCGGTTGAATCGGCTGATTAGGCAGATCGACCTGTTCATGCAATACTACCTCATCAGCTTCTATAGGCTCATTTAGCTGTTGAACTAGCTGTAGGCCCTCTTCGATCGATAGGCCCTCTTCGCGAGTGATCTGCTTAGTCGAACGAGTACGCTTTTGGCGTTTCTTTTCATTCGCTGCGCGAAGGTTTGTATTATCCTGCGCTAGTAATGCAGCGCCATATAACGATAGATAGGCGCCCTTGATAATCTGATTAAGTATGAGTTTTGACGGTGTAGGCGGGCTATGCGATCGCTGTTTTAGAAGCTCTTTAAGCATAGAAGCTTGCTTTTCTAGCTGAATCGCTGTTCTAGGCGTTTTTGGTGTAAATTGGCTAGATCTGCTGCTTGGTCGGCTTGATGGTGGTGAAGGCGTTCGGAGAGAAATATTAAGCTGCGAAAGTACTCTATCGGCATTAACTGGTACAATACCAGTAGCTGCGAAGCTGCTTTGAATAATATTCGGCTGAAAAGCTTCTACTCTTGCGCGTGGATAGTCTGCAAGAAAATCAAGCTTATCAATGTGATTATAGCCAGTACGGGCTAAATCACTCACAAAGCGACCGTAGGCACGCTTTAGTACTGCAAAGCACCCAACATCAAGCGGTTGAAGTAAGTGTGACGAATATGAAGGCATGCAGACTGGTATAATATCATTTTCGGCACAGATTCGAACGAATTGAGGTGTAAGATGGCTACCGTGCCCGTCAAGGATCAATAGCCGAAATCGTCCTCGTACACGTAAATTAGTATATGGAATAAAGATCTTTTGGAGCCAGCGAAGGCCGATTTCATCGGTAGTCCAGCTATTATTCGATACTTCAATTCGCCAATCTCTAGGGAGATTCGACGATTCAAACCAACCAGCAATATAAACCTGGCCTTTGAATATAATACAGGGCGCGCAGCGAATAGCCGTCAGCGCATATTGTTTCGATCGCAGTGACCCATTCGCGATTTCCTGGCTGTAGAATTGATCGCCGACCGTAGTATTCTGCTCGTATAACCACCTTTTGCGATGATATAA